TTTCTTTTCTCACTGGATACTGAATGTAATGAGTTGAACTCTTCAGGGAATACAATTCTGGCCTCTAGGCACCTCGTATGAACTTTTGAGCAAATTTGGTGAAGTTGTATTTTTGGGTCAAAAACTGACTTTTTCGATGATGCCGGCTATGGAAAACGTTGAAGTTTTGGGGGCATTTTGTAAAAAATCTAAAAATTGTCTTTTCTCACTGGATACTGAATGTAATGAGTTGAACTCTTCAGGGAATACAATTCTGGCCTCTAGGCACCTCGTATGAACTTTTGAGCAAATTTGGTGAAGTTGTATTTTTGGGTCAAAAACTGACTTTTTCGATGATGCCGGCTATGGAAAACGTTGAGGTTTTGGGGGCATTTCTTAAAAAATCTAAAAATTTTCTTTTCTCACTGGATACTGAATGTAATGAGTTGAACTCTTCAGGGAATACAATTCTGGCCTCTAGGCACCTCGTATGAACTTTTGAGCAAATTTGGTGAAGTTGTATTTTTGGGTCAAAAAATCTAAAATATTTCTTTTCTCACTGGATACTGAATGTAATGAGTTGAACTCTTCAGGGAATTCAATTCTGGCCTCTAGGCACCTCGTGTGAACTTTTGAGCAAATTTGGTGAAGTTGTATTTTTGGGTCAAAAACTGACTTTTTCGATGATGCCGGCTATGGAAAACGTTGAAGTTTTGGGTGCATTTCGTAAAAAATCTAAAATGTTTCTTTTCTCACTGGATACTGAATGTAATGAGTTGAACTCTTCAGGGAATTCAATTCTGGCCTCTAGGCATCTCGTATGAACTTTTGAGGAAATTTGGTGAAGTTGTATTTTTGGGTCAAAAACTGACTTTTTCGATGATGCCGGCTATGGAAAACGTTGAAGTTTCGGGGGCATTTTGTAAAAAATCTAAAATGTTTCTTGTCTCACTTGATACTGAATGTAATGAGTTGAACTCTTCAGGGAACGAAATTCTGGCCTCTAGGCACCTCGTGTGAACTTTTGAGCAAATTTTGTGAAGTTGTATTTTTGGGTCAAAAACTGACTTTTTCGATGATGCCGGCTATTGAAAACGTTGAAGTTTTGGGGGCATTTTGTAAAAAATCTAAAAATTTTCTTTTCTCACTGGATACTGAATGTAATGAGTTGAACTCTTCAGGGAATACAATTCTGGCCTCTAGGCACCTCGTATGAACTTTTGAGCAAATTTGGTGAAGTTGTATTTTTGGGTCAAAAACTGACTTTTTCGATGATGCCGGCTATGGAAAACGTTGAAGTTTTGGGGGCATTTTGTAAAAAATCTAAAATGTTTCTTTTCTCACTGGATACTGAATGAAATGAGTTGAAATCTTCAGGGAATTCAATTCTGGCCTCTAAACACCTCGTGTGAACTTTTGAGCAAATTTGGTGAAGTTGTATTTTTGGGTCAAAAACTGACTTATTCGATGATGCCGGCTATGGAAAACGTTGAAGTTTTGGGGGCATTTCGTAAAAAATCTAAAAATTTTCTTTTCTCACTAGATACTGAATGTAATGAGTTGAACTCTTCAGGGAATACAATTCTGGCCTCTAGGCACCTCGTGTGAACTTTTGAGCAAATTTGGTGAAGTTGTATTTTTGGGTCAAAAACTGACTTTTTCGATGATGCCGGCTATGGAAAACGTTGAAGTTTTGGGGGCATTTTGTAAAAAATCTAAAAATTTTCTTTTCTCACTGGATACTGAATGTAATGAGTTGAACTCTTCAGGGAATACAATTCTGGCCTCTAGGCACCTCGTATGAACTTTTGAGCAAATTTGGTGAAGTTGTATTTTTGGGTCAAAAACTGACTTTTTCGATGATGCCGGCTATGGAAAACGTTGAAGTTTTGGGGGCATTTTGTAAAAAATCTAAAAATTTTCTTTTCTCACTGGATACTGAATGTAATGAGTTGAACTCTTCAGGGAATACAATTCTGGCCTCTAGGCACCTCGTATGAACTTTTGAGCAAATTTGGTGAAGTTGTATTTTTGGGTCAAAAACTGACTTTTTCGATGATGCCGGCTATGGAAAACGTTGAAGTTTTGGGGGCATTTTGTAAAAAATCTAAAATGTTTCTTTTCTCACTGGATACTGAATGAAATGAGTTGAAATCTTCAGGGAATTCAATTCTGGCCTCTAGGCACCTCGTGTGAACTTTTGAGCAAATTTGGTGAAGTTGTATTTTTGGGTCAAAAACTGACTTATTCGATGATGCCTGCTATGGAAAACGTTGAAGTTTTGGGTGCATTTCGTAAAAAATCTAAAATGTTTCTTTTCTCACTGGATACTGAATGTAATGAGTTGAACTCTTCAGGGAATTCAATTCTGGCCTCTAGGCATCTCGTATGAACTTTTTAACAAATTTGGTGAAGTTGTATTTTTGGGTCAAAAACTGACTTTTTCGATGTTGCCGGCTATGGAAAACGTTGAAGTTTCGGGGGCATTTTGTAAAAAATCTAAAATGTTTCTTGTCTCACTTGATACTGAATGTAATGAGTTGAACTCTTCAGGGAACGAAATTCTGGCCTCTAGGCACCTCGTGTGAACTTTTGAGCAAATTTGGTGAAGTTGTATTTTTGGGTCAAAAACTGACTTTTTCGATGATGCCGGCTATTGAAAACGTTGAAGTTTTGGGGGCATTTCGTAAAAAATCTAAAATGTTTCTTTTTTCACTGGATACTGAATGTAATGAGTTGAACTCTTCAGGGAATTCAATTTTGGCCTCTAGGCATTTCATGTGAACTTTTGAGCAAATTTGGTGAAGTTGTATTTTTGGGTCAAAAACTGACTTTTTCGATGATGCCGGCTATGGAAAACGTTGAAGTTTTGGGGGCATTTTGTAAAAAATCTAAAAATTTTCTTTTCTCACTGGATACTGAATGTAATGTGTTGAAATCTTCAGGGAATACACTTCTGGCCTCTAGGCACCTCGTATGAACTTTTGAGGAAATTTGGTGAAGTTGTATTTTTGGGTCAAAAACTGACTTTTTCGATGATGCCTGCTATGGAAAACATTGAAGTTTTGGGCGCATTTCGTAAAAAATATTTAAAATTTATTTTCTCACTTGATACTGAATGTAATGAATTGAACTCTTCAGGGAATACAATTCTGGCCTCTAGGCACCTCGTATGAACTTTTGAGCAAATTTGGTGCAGTTGTATTTTTGTGTCAAAAACTGACTTTTTCGATGATGCTGGCTATGGAAAACGTTAAGGTTTTGGGGGCATTTTGTAAAAAATCTAAAATGTTTCTTTTCTCACTGGATACTGAATGTAATGAGTTGAACTCTTCACGGAATTCAATTCTGGCCTCTAGGCACCTCGTGTGACTTTTGGGCAAATTTGGTGAAGTTGTATTTTGGGGTCAAAAACTGACTTTTTCGATGATGCCGGCTATGGAAAACGTTGAAGTTTTGGGGGCATTTCGTAAAAAATCTAAAATGTTTCTTTTCTCACTGGATACTGAATGTAATGAGTTGAACTCTTCAGGGAATTCAATTCTGGCCTCTAGGCACCTCGTGTGAACTTTTGAGCAAATTTGGTGAAGTTGTATTTTTGGGTCAAAAACTGACTTTTTCGATGATGCCGGCTATGGAAAACGTTGAAGTTTTGGGGCCATTTTGTAAAAAATCTAAAATGTTTCTTTTCTCACTGGATACTGAATGTAATGAGTTGAACTCTTCAGGGAATTCAATTCTGGCCTCTAGGCATCTCGTGTGAACTTTTGAGCAAATTTGGTGAAGTTGTATTTTTGGGTCAAAAACTGACTTTTTCGATGATGCCGGCTATGGAAAACGTTAGAGTTTTGGGGGAATTTGGAAAAAATCTAAAAAATTTCTTTTCTCACTGGATACTGAATGTAATGAGTTGAACTCTTCAGGTAATTCAATTCTGGCCTCTAGGCACCTCGTGTGAACTTTTGAGCAAATTTGATGAACTTGTATTTTTGGGTCAAAAACTGACTTTTTCGATGATGCCGGCTATGGAAAACATTGAAGTTTTGGGGGCATTTTGTAAAAAATCTAAAATGTTTCTTTTCTCACTGGATACTGAATGTAATGAGTTGAACTCTTCAGGGAATACAATTCTGGCCTCTAGGCACCTCTTGTGAACTTTTGAGAAAATTTGGTGAAGTTGTATTTTTGGGTCAAAAACTGACTTTTCGATGATGCCGGCTATGGAAAACGTTGAAGTTTCGGGGGCATTTTGTAAAAAATCTAAAATGTTTCTTTTCTCACTGGATACTGAATGTAATGAGTTGAACTCTTCAGGGAATTCAATTCTGGCCTCTAGGCACTTTGTGTGAACTTTTGAGCAAATTTGGTGAAGTTGTATTTTTGGGTCAAAAACTGACTTTTTCGATGATGGCCGGCTACGGAAAACGTTGCAGTTTTGGGGCCATTTTGTAAAAAATCTAAAATGTTTCTTTTCTCACTGGATACTGACTGTAATGAGTTGAACTCTTCCAGGAATTCAATTCTGGCCTCTAGGTACCTCGTATGAACTTTTGAGGAAATTTGGTGAAGTTGTATTTTTGGGTCAAAAACTGACTTTTTTTATGATGCCGGCTATGGAAAACGTTGAAGTTTTGTGAGCATTCTGTAAAAAATCTGAAAATTTTCTTTTCTCACTGGATACTGAATGTAATGAGTTGAACTCTTCAGGGAATTCAATTCTGGCCTCTAGGCACCTCGTATGAACTTTTTGAGCAAATTTGATCAACTTGTATTTTTGGGTCTGACCCCCTGTTTCTCTGATGATTCTGTATATTAAAACTGAAACTGCAACATGGCTGCAATATTTATTCTCTATTTCACATCTACTTTTACCGGTTCTGTTAAAAACTGACTTTGCAGTAGGCCTAGGCCTAGGTCTGCCTAGCTGGAGTTACCCAGCCCTCAATGTCATCATTGGGTTGTCATTTTGGGTTGTCCCTAATTTGACTAGTAAATGACAACCAAATGATAAAATTTAGGGCTGGGTAACTCCCGCTATGGTCTACCTGATAAATTGTAAGTCATGCAATTTGTGTTTAAACCATGCATTTATTCCCCTACTTCAGGCAAACAGACCTTTGTCATCAAGTGGCCGAAGATCAGCAGGAGGTACAGGGGTCAATATGGGGTCACGACCCCAGTCCAAGGCAGCCCCAAGGGACCTCATGAGCCGAGAAGAAGAATACATGTGAGTATGGCCTTGACTCACAATGATGCCTAGCTTGAGTAACTCGCTCCAACATGTCCAATGCTCATCAGGAATTCGACATATAGAGCTGGAGCTAAACTACGTTACAGAAACGTAAGAGTCCCTAAAAACGGGACCCTGTATCGTATCTCAAGTGCAGCACAAAAATGGTCCATTTTCCCTCTATTATCCGAACCGAGATGCCATTAGTGACCCAAATATGAGAAATATTGATGAGTACGGTGGCTTCTCCAGAAAAAAAATGTGTACCACGGCTGTCATGCGTGCATGAAGTGAACGTGTGACGTTGTTGTGAACAAGCGTAACCTAATCACAATTGCTGTTTTCCAAACCCAGGCTTCGGCTCCGTTTCCGGGTCCAGCACCATTGCAAGCTGCATGAATGCAGCAGAGACGGACCGGAGCTAGGGTTTATAAACCGGCAATTGTTATCGCGTAACACATGTAAACAACGACGTCACACATACAATTCATTTATTTTTTGATAGACATAATTTGTATTCCCATAGTGTTTCTCAGTTGTCGGTTCGGTCATAGTTCGGTAACCATCTTCACTCTTCGATGACTTCAACTTGACAACTTTGGGTGAACACAGTCAGAGAACGGCATTGCAAGCTTAACTGGACTCAGATTTTTCAACAAAGGTTCCTCTTCCCAACAAGAAGCAGGGAAACAAATGCTAACAAATCTTCTTGTTTTGGTTTGCTTTTTCATTTTGGTCAGGCGTCTTAACGCAGAGCTAGAAGCCAAAACTGCTGGACTCATCCAAGAAGCAGAGGATGTGATGGTGAGTAAAGCATATACCCTGACCTGTACGAGTCTATCATTCTACAGCAAGTATCAAGCCAGCATTTGGGCTCTGTGAGCAAACAAGAGAGGGCGCTTTTTGACCACTTTCGAGGGCCCATTGGGCTGGTTTGCGCTCATATAGCCTGAAGTACACTCAACTCATTTCGTTCTGAATGTGCACAAAGGAATAGCATTGAATGCGTTGAATTGTCTCTGCCAGAGGTCTCCCCCAACTTTCTCTTTTTTACCGTTGAGGGGGTACTTGTGCACGGAGCTTATGTCCAACATAACGTTGGTCTTGATTCAAAGTTTCCAACTAGGGAAGCCTAGTAAAGCTGGTCCCAAAGCCCACACATTTTCTATTCAGTTGATATCCTTTAATGGAGAAACTGTTATGCATGCAATTGTACAAAGCAAATGCCCTGTGACAAATTATCTGAACAATAATTAGCACAAATATTTTGCCATTGAAGGGGGCCTTTGTGATAAAAGTGATACGCTGCCCAGATTGGTCTATACTGTATAGTAAGTATTATGTACACATAATACTATGCATGCCAATGTGTGCATATGAAGCGTGCTCAGAATTGCTCGGATCTGTGTGGCATTTTTGATCTTTGTTTTTTTCTTCTCAGCGTGAACAGGAGGAAATGTTGAGCAGATCTTTGAACCGTCTTTCCTTCGGCGATGCAGGAGACCAGCGTGGGATGGCAACGTCTCCAATCTTTGACACAGAACCACCTCTTGTCTCAGATGATATCTCCAAGGTGAGCGGTGTGTCATAAAGACCGTAATTGTCAGCACATCAAGTAAAGTCTGTCACAAGCCAGTATGGCCCATCAGGCAAGCGTTTAACTCCGGTTTTCTTGGCATGAAACGACTGAGAATATATCAATTCCCCCTGGATGGGATGCCAGTCCATTGCAGGTTGCCCATTTGTACTCCTGGGTGGAAGTGAAGTGGCTTGCCCAAAGACACAAAATCTTGCTGGTAGCTGGATTCGAACCCCTGACCCTCTAATCATGAGTTACGCTAAGCTTCCCTCTACCCCCACCCCGTAATTTACAGCACATGAGTTCACTGACGCCATGTTGGCACACAAAGTGACATGATTTCAAGGTTATTGACCCAAATATATATCGGAAATGAATTCAGAAATTGGATGGATACAGAAATTTGGTGCATACAGAAATTGGGTGAATACCATGGAAATATCACATTTATTGAAGCAATTCAGTGACTTTCCAATTTAAAATTTAAAACTTGCACAAAAGTAATTTCTGAATTAAGGCAATATCTAAACTTACATCAATAACCTTGAATTCATGTGACTTCACAACATGGTGTCATTTCAGTGTCTAGAGTTGCTAAAACAAATATAGCCTACGATAAAAAAAAAAAAACAATTAAAATGTTGTGAGCAAAAATCCATGAATCAGTTCTCTTGTCTTGTTGCATGATCTGTAAAATCGAATGAAAATTCAAAATTTGTCTTTTGTTCCAAATGCAGCCATCTTCCATTCCCTCAACGAATCTCGCATCAGACAGGAGACCGCCCTCTAGGGGCAGACCCCCATCAGCCAATGTCCGTCCGGCACCCGCTAGCGCCAGACCACTGTCAGCTGGTACCAGACAACCGTCAGCTGGTACCAGACAACAGACGTCAACAGCACGGGCTGTGACGGCAGGCGGTCGGCCGGCATCAAAAGCAAAAACAAGGTATGAAGGGTTTATACTTAACTATCTTAAAACCTTTTTAATATGATTTCTCTGCACATGGGAACAGTGTTCCTACTACAGTTACACAATCCGTTTGATTACGAAGAAGACGCCAACAAGTGGCCAAGGAACTGTGCTGTGCAATTGCGAATAATTCAGAAATAATTTTAGAGCTTGGTTTCAATCAAATAGTGGAATATTCAAAGGGTGTTGATCAGGGTTTACATGCACCACAAGCATTAATTGCAAGCGCTGGTCGTGAATTAAATGGGCCGCCGATTGGGATTGACAATTCGGGCGATTCACAATGCAGTGCGCCACCAACAGTTAGCCATGGAGAGTCCATTTTTCAAGTATACGGTCGACAAAACATGGACAATTTGAACGAGTGTCAGTAGACAACTTGAGCTAATATGTTATAAATTGGGGCATAGCGTTCTGCCGCCTTACAAAAAAACACCATATTGATGACAAGAAAAGAAAAGGGCAAACAGATCCTCGAATTATACGCTTACGACACTACTGGCTGGAAAAACTAAAAATTTCAAATGTGCCGCGCTGCGATTTTGTCGACCATCTCCCACAATGCACTGGGAAAAATGGTGGCGCACTGCATTGTGAATCGCCCGAATTGATCGAAGATTGACAATAAGCTGAATAAAACATTAAGAACTTATGTATCGATATATTTTTCAAGGTAGCAGACTAGCTATATACTTGAAAGATTTTAAGGATGCAATTTAGAGCTAGTTTTATTCATGGGACTCTCAAATCATGTGCGTAAAAATGACTGTCGACAAATATGTGGCATTTGACAAACAGTAAAACCATGCAGCTTATACAATTTAAATAACATTACTGACTTTTGGGTTCATCTTCTCAAGACCTCAGGAAAAATGCTATGGATATATTCGACGGACCTTTAAGTGATACAACCTCTCTTGTGTAGAGACACCCCCCACTCCCCCCACTCCCCACCCCCCCCCCTTCCTAGCTTAGATAAAACACAATGTGGCAACACTGTACACCAGCATCATGTTTGTTTAGCCCAAGAATTCGACCACAGAATTTGAGGTTTTTTTTCAGCATTTATTGGCAAAACTTTTTTTCTTTTCTATTTGAATGTCTTACCCTCAGGCCAAGGGCCAAAGCAGCTTCAGCCAGCGCCTATGACGATGTCGCCATACCTGATGACGGGGTGGGACACGAGGGGGCGGGGTCGTCCATGGGCGTGGCCAACGACTTCTCGTTGGCTGACACCATTCATGCTATAGAGGGCAGGCTTGATGATGGGACGTTACCCTCCGATACCCTGGATGATGTTCTGCCTCAGGCTGCAGAGGGAATGGGCTCAGGTAAAACACGAATCATGTCAATCCGAATCTAACCTAGCTTATAAACTGTACCGTATGTACAATCTGTACTCCATCTATAATGGAAAACTAAAAACATAAGAGGGAAAAAGGTTCAGATATTCTAAATGTGGCATGAGAATCCATTGACTCATGGGCAAGTTGGGGCAGTCTGTTCTTGACACGAATATATTGTTCTTGCAAAACCCCGGCGGATAGGTGGTGTGTGATCCTGTTCAGAGTGCAGTGTTCGTGGGTCGTGTTCCCGCGGTTCAATCGAGAACAATGTACCCGTGTCAAGAACAGACCTTTTGCTCGGCTTTGGAGTTAATACACCGTTAATTTCATTTTGAATTCTGTATTTAGGATTATACATCAATTACTATTCATTTGCAAAATGACAGAAAATCTTTGGTTACAAATACTCGGTCGCGATGATGGTGTTTTTTTTTGTTTGAAGTGGTGAAGTGCGCACAGTGATTTATGTTTATTTTTTTGATATCATTGTCAACTTGTGCCACTTCAGAATTACATGGCTACGGCTTCCAATTACACATGCATCTATGGAAGCCGCTGAAGCCACTTCCCATAGATGCATGTGTTTCTGTAAGCCATAGCCACATAATTAGGACACAGGCACAGACAATGTTCTGAATTGGCATGTCTTATTCTTATCTTCACCCAGAGGCCACCATTCGGTTCCTGAAGGCCAAACTGAGAGTCATGCAAGAAGAAGTAGACCGACTATCTCATGAGTACAACAAAAAGGTAACGAAAGAAGATCACATTCGTGAGGCGTTCTGGCAAAATGAGACAGGACTGAGCAGAGGTCGAAATGAGGGTTTACGGGTATTAGGAAAGAGAGTAAACTTCTCCTTACAATACTGTTTGTTGCACTTCAATCAGACATTTCGTTGACAAGTTATGGTTGTTTAAAGTTCGCATTTATTGACATGTCAAATAAGTACAATACTGAGAAAAAGGCCTTTATAGTCTTGAGTTTTGTAGTTGCGAAAATGGAAGATTCCAATTTTTTCCTTAATAAAAAAACAGTTTTATTCTTAAGATTTGTATACTTTTTCTTTAAAATATGTGCAGTAGACATATCAAAGATTACAAATCTGAAAATTGAAAAAATCACCCCATTTTTCTCCACTATGGCCTGTGCCCAGTTCCTTCTCATTTTGCCAGAAACCTCACATTTTTCCACATGATGTGGTGTATGTTCTAATCAGGATTTGCCGGTCCCAGAATGTCCCAGAATGTCTTGTGCTCCAATACAAGAACATTTATCTATGGGCATGATTTCCCACTCCTTGAATCAAATGGAAAAGTAAGGTAGCACTTGAAATGATCAACTAGAATGAAAGTGTGCATAAGCTTTCGTTGCTACAACTACGTCATCAGATGTTAACAATCAATCCATTTGATTCTGCCTGACTAACACGGCTGCCTACCACTTTCATTTCACTCTTTGAATATTATCAATAGATCTAATTTTTATGACATCACATTTTTCATTCAGTGAGCTTCGAATAAAATTGACATAACTATTTAGATATATTGGCTCCTGATCTCCAGCAATTTGTCGTCTCAACACGTGCAGAGTGAAGAAAATAAGAATGGAAAGACAGAAAAAAAAAAAAAACCTTCCATATTACTCAGTTGTTGACGATTTCTTCCTCTGCACTTTAGGATGAGCAGAACTCAAAGCTTGACAGTCGTCTGAAGGAAGCAGAGGAAGAACGAGCCCGCCTCCAACGCACCAACACCACCCAGCAGACACAGATCGATAAGTACAAGAAGCTATCGGAAGACACTAAGAGAAAGAGTGACGGGTTGGAAGGACAGCTAGCTAGCCTCAGGAAAGTAAGGCCAAGTCCCAATTACCTGGCTATGGCTTGAAGGCACACATGTGCCTATGGAAATGGCTGAATCCACTTCCCATTGACACATGTGTTATTACCAGCCGAAGGCAAGTAATTTGAATGCGGCTTAAGCATGGATTGTTTACTAAACCTATGGACACATTTGACAAAGTCGATACTTACTGTTTCCGACGTTGAACTGTTCATGTACATACTTGAAATTTTTGGTTCCTTCAACTCTATAACACTGGTTTGAAACACGGGTGTTGTTCACATTGGTCAAGTCAAAGTCCTAAAATCGTCGAAGTTATGTGCAAGCCACAGTCCTAGATCACACACATTAACTTAAGTGTCGAAATCCTAAACCATGCAAGTTCTTAGTAAGGCAGGTCCAGTTAGAGTTGCAGAACAGTTCCTGTCCAACGTCAAACATCAAACGTCTGTTAAACAACGAGCCACAGTAATGGCTGTGCTTTGTAGTTCTGCGAAATGTGGGTGTAAATTTTGCTGAATTCTGTTGAGTGTGCTGCACAGAGATGGGTAATTTAAAGCTACAGTCCATCATTTGTAATTTATGCATTTTGTTCGTTTGAAGCAACAAAAGAGTTCAAAATCTAATGAAGGATACTGAGCAACTAACCTGATGAAGTTTCAGCTAAGCTTCAGCTGTACATTCCGAGAAAAACAGCATTCTAAGATCTCAATTTCTAATCAAAAGTTACTGAATCATGTTTTGAATTGTTTTGAATTGCAGCTATACGCGACGTCGCGCACTGATCCGACGAATTACAACAACCGCGCGCGCGTCGTTCCAATACTTGTGCGCGCTGCGCTGAATAACAAAACGAACTACTAATTTAAATTTTCCTACGGTGCTTCTTAAGAATCATCGTTGGAAATGCCTTCTTTCGTTGATTACTTCAAAATGACAGCTTCCCAGAAAGAATAATTTCACAGGGAGTTTAGTTCCCTTACTATCTTTCAACCAAGTTTGTTTTTTAACAATAATTACGCCAGTTACTTTTCGGATGGCTGCAAATGATGGACTATAGCTTTAAATGAGAATGCTCTTCAAGTGTTTTATGGTTAACCAGTGGTATTTTTAGTGATGTGTTAAAGATCGTTCTTTGATTTTTTCCCAAGGAAGTGGATTCCCTCAAGCGTAACCAGAAGCAGTCAGCTACCAGTCAAGGAGCAGTCGAAGTCCGGCTGAACCGAGCCCAGGAGGAAGCTGATAGGTACAAGGCTGAACTGCAGAAAGCAAGGACCACATCAAGGGTAAGTCCAGAAGTCCTGGCAATGGACTTAATTATACAGAAGCAGGGATGTAGTCGAGTCTATCACAAGTCCCTGCATGTCCGTTGCAAGTCCATCACAAGTCCTCCAGTCCCAATTCAACTCACAAGCTATTCAAAGGAGATTTGACAAACACGTTCCTTTGTTCTTGTTCATCCACTGTTACTTGTGAATGGACTTTTGATGGACTTGTGATGTATTTTACTACATCCCTGTTTATAGTCTTGGGGCTAAACGTTATCATGGTTTGATACGCGATAACCCGCCACTACGATAACCCGCCGCTGCGAGAGGGCGTTATCACGACCAACCAATATCATCCACAAACCGTCAGTAACAATGTCTAGGCCAATTCCTAAAACCTCTCCCCGAAAAATGGGGGAAACTAGTGCGCATGCGCGACTTCTGCAGGCAATTACGGTCCATTTTCAGTCCCACACATACTACACACAACAAAAGAGCTGACCAGTGAAGTTGCACAAAAGTCTTGCTGCATCTTTTATATAACTGGAAGAAATTTGAGAGTTTGCTTCGGAACAACTATGATTGTTTTTGAATGCGCGCTGCGTATATTAGGCCAAACAGGTGTGCACGCATTACACAAACAATACTAATTGGCCTAGACATTGTTACTGACGGTTCGTGGATGATAATGGTTGGTCGTGATATCGCCCTCTCGCAGCGTCAGGTTATCGCGTATCAAACCATAACACAACTATCCCCTAGACTACCCTGTCCATAACATTTATGTCAAGTGTTTCAGACTTGCACTCCTGAATGATATGAGGAGCATCTCAGGTCAACCCAAACATTTTTTTGGTTTCAGACAGACAAACACTTTCTTTTAATTTTCCATTGACAAGGCTAGAGGCATTTGAAAGATTGCCACGATACATCCTTCAACATAGTCACTTCTAATTGTTTCAAAATCTTAGAGTGTTGTCTTACAGTCTTAACCCGTTCAAATCTTGTAGTTAACTCAAATCTTAAGAATCATTTAGTTTAGGAGAACTCTGGAATGTCAGTTTGAAACAGGTGTTTAGTTTAGTTTCTTATTCAAAATATTGACCTAAATTCTAGTTCCCTGCTTTCATCCAACTTTTATCCCCCAGGAGTCTACAGAGCAAGAGAGGAAGCGAGTTGAGCAGCTACTCGCTGAGAACAGACGTCTTGAGAAGCAGAAGAATGAACTCATGAGCGGCTTTAAGAAACAGCTCAAACTCATCGATGTGCTCAAGAGACAGAAGGTAGGTTCAGGCTCCTAGCCAAAATAAAGATCAGTTCATCTGCTTTAAGAATCGCAAGCTTGCAGCATATATATTTTCATCAGGATTTATCACTTGAAAATGGCAGAGTATGGCTGGAATTGTTTCAGATGGCAAATATCTATTGCTTTTAAGATATAAGTAAAGCAATAAATATGATATCTTTGTCAGATTCAATGCAACATTAATTTTGGTGACCACTGCCATATCAATTTCCAGTCGGCCACAACTTTTCCCCAGACATTCTTATTGCACCAAAAATCTAAAAATAAATTGTGAATGAAAGGATTCACTTGCAAGTTAAATCTTCAGTTTTGGTTTCTTACAGCTAAACCAAACGAACAACATGATCTCTTGTGTTTCAGATGCACATCGAAGCAGCTAAGATGCTGTCGTTCACTGAGGAGGAGTTTGTCAAGGCCTTGGAGTGGGGTAACTGAGATAACACAGGGAAACTTCCTACTGAAACTAAGAATTATTGAATCGCTTGGTATTTCCACAATCCATGCTTCCAACTTCCACAATAAAAAATTATGGAAACTTCATGGAAGAGTTAGTCAGGGCCTAGGAGTGGGGAAACTGAGATAACTGGATGTCAGTGTTAGTAGAACTAACTAAAAATCATGGAATTGCTTTCACTGTTTACCCCAGACCATGCTTCCAAATAAATCGAAATGACCCAAGTTTCGTAGGTGAAAATGTTTGTTGACTGTGGCTTCCCATCCATTCGGTGTCGTAGTTGACCCCATCACAAGTCCATCGGAAGCCCATTACAAGCCCAATCACAAACAAATCACAAGTCTAGTCACAAGTAACAGATAATAATAATAATAATAATAGTGGATATTTATAAAGCGCATGTATCCACCAGGTACTGGCGCTCACAGCGTTACATCAGTATTACCCCTGCTCATTGGGCCCATGAAACGTTCCAAATACCATCTCGGCTACCTGGGGAGTATACAGCTTGATGCTGTCTGTTAGGCGCAAGGTAGCTCATTCAATCACAATAACCATCTTTGCCACAGTTAAAAAAGTGCGCTCGTGAAAAAAAGGGCACTTGTGAAAAAAGGCACTGTTTACAAAATATTGGGGGGGGGGGGGAATACTTCCCTTACCCCCACTGGCTACGCCACTACTTATGAAACTGAACTGTATTCCCAGCCTTTCATACAAATAACACCTTGTCAAGCAACATTTTAGATGTTAATTATGGAGCATAGTAATGTAACAGTGCCACGTTTTCAGTTGGAAATTGTGCTTTTAAATTAATTAAAAATGCACAATTGTACTTTTTGGTACAAATGTACATTTAATTTTTAAAAATTCCCAAAGCTTGATTATCCACAATTATCCATGTGGAAATATTTACTTAGAAACCGACATCTATAGCCGTTAATAGTCTGGTTCCCTGACCGGACAATTCCACCCTGACGTCTATAAATTGTAGGTCAGGCAGCTGCCACTGGGCTAAAAATAAACACGACAACCCTTTTTCAAAGCTCGGCTTCATTTCCACTTTGGCTTTATTATTAAAATCTTTTAATGTTCCGATCAAATTACCAAAAAAATCACTTGCTTCATAACATACAGTTGGATATTTATGTAAGAAAACATTAAGTAATGTTGAGCTGGAATCTTCAAGTTAGGACCCAAATAGCAGGCAAATCCAAAATGGAGAGGACGCCGAGTTTCGCCAGATTCAAAATAAGCAGAGCTCGCCCTCGTATGATCTGAGTGCATACTTGATGCACAAAGTCATTGTTAAATTTCAAGTATTTTCAATGCAATTATTAAATGAATATTTATTATCAACTCCTTTCTTAAATTTTTAATAAGCATGGCAGGTAAATAAAACCTATTTTATACCCAGAAATTCCCGGGCGATATTCAAAATTGTCGACGAAAAAAGGGAGGCATTCCTCCCGTTTTAGTCACGTGCTGTGGCGGCTGCCTGACCTTGGATTCATCAGAGGTAGTCAGATTCTTTTGGTTTGAGAAATCTGTTTTCGTTCCTCCATGACTATAGCTACAAACTTTGTTTTCTTTTCCAAATGAGCACTAGGGTTATGATTAGGTTAGGACAAAATGTTGTTGCATTGAGTCTTGGTCATGAGAGTGATTCGTCACAGTTATTGTTTTTCTGTTGTACAAAGCTTGACTTTGTGTTTGAATAAATGAATTTTTTTGTTTTATATAATCTGTAAAGAGAATCCCTTGTTAGCAATTGAATAAATGAAAACAATGCCTTGAAAAAAAAAAGTTGAAATATTTGGTGTATTTCTTTATTTCTTTGTGATATTTCTTTAGTGTGTAAATTTTGTTTAGCCATATAGTTGTAGTTTCTCTTGTTACAATATTTTAGGTCTTGGATTGATAAATTGACTGGGTAATGTTATAGCAGACAAAAGGGAAAAAGGTTTCATGTTTTGTTTGTGGGATAAAGATTTGTAAGGGTTAGCAAATAAGGTTTTACATGTTTTATGATTATTATATATTTCTGGTAATGAAACCAATGATTCCCCAATGGCACGTCTCTAGCTCGCAAGCCAGAAGAAACCTGTAGAGAGAAGACAATGAGAAGAAATTAAAGTTTTAGAGGTGGGGGAAAACCCCAGAAGAATATCGCCCGACCATCTCCAAATGTTAAAAAAGGCGATTCGCAGAGTCCTTGTTGCTCGGACTATCATTCGTCTATGTGCATCTTGCTTCTTGCAATTCAGTTTCCCAATCTACTTTTGCATACTGCATTTAATGTGTGCCAAATTTTTTATATATAGTTTCCCAATGAATGTATACCCAATCTAAGACTGAAAATGAGTTCGATGAAAAATCATTAAAAACAAACCCGGATTCGGCTTTAAACCACTTCAATCATCACGAATTATGTCCTATGCTCAACTTAGAAAAACCAGATAATCTGTCCAGCACAAGCTGACGGAACATCACTTATTATATTTATCTTTTTCTTATCCTTTACGGCACGTACGTTTGCCAAATACGAAAAGAAGCGAAACAAACATTTTGCGCAGTAAGCGAAATGACGACGCACCAGCTGCCGCTAGCAGACGACACTGTCTCACTAATTTATTACAGTTCCTTGAACTTTGGCCCTCATTTGACCCAATCAGCTGTTAATCACGTGATCCCGTTCATCAGCAACAAAAACAGATCGACAAAATTTGCCAAGAATTCCGTGGCAGAGCTACGTTGACAACAACTGCGAACGGCTGATGAAATCCACTCGAGCGCAACATATTGACTGCTGAAATTCTACCAAAAGACACCTAAAATCGTACCGTTTTTAGTGTAGACATGGGATAGAAGGTGCAGTGATACTGCGTGAGTGACAAAAATCGTAATTTTTATCGAGGAACTGATGTGAAAAGATGAAATCTGCAGTGGGTAAGTTACGTTTTTGTGACGAGTGAGCGATTGTGTGGCGGCGCGGGGCGCGGGGTTTTTCATTCATCTTGCTAACAACAGCGCTCGACTACGTTTTGCATGCACAGCACAGAACGTGTATCAAGTATTTTTTTCAGTGAAATTTGTTCCTTACATTATGAATAACATGTAAATAATTCTCTTTAAATGGTTTCCTAGACATGCTAGATTTTTAAGTGATTTTCCGCTCATTTAGTTTGTCTTCAAATGTAACTTCCTGTTTTCTCTTGTGTTGATTATTGCATCATCATGATCACCCTAAGCTCAAGCTGTAGTTTAGCCGAGGCTAATGACGGACAACCGTAATGTTAAATTGTAGAATTGTGTGGTTCCAGAATGGACACATTTTGGAGAAATTTTCATTAGTTTGGTTTAATATTTTTTCCCCATAAATAATGATACAGAATTCAGCAGTAGCCTACCAAGCATTGAAGCCAACTTCATGAAATGTATCCAAACTTCCAAAGTGCAAGTGTTTGCTAAATTTGTATGCCATCCTACTTGATCGTTGATACCTTTTGTTGATAAAACCAAATTTTGTTAGTTTAGTAAAAACTATATCCTACATGAAATGATGAACGCTACAAAGTTCTATACTCATACGTGTTAATTACCTATACTTGTCTTTTCTGTATTTGAAGATTCTCCTCAAACCACAAGTGTTTTGTGTATTGCACTACAGACATTCGTTAGGCATTGTATTTGTCAATTTTATTTTTAGGTGGAAACAACGTACATGTATACATCTTTTACTTTTAGTACCAATGAACTTTGTAAAACTACTTAAACTTTTGCAATGTTTTTGGTAGTATTGTGCCTTCAAAGTGCTGTGAAGTTGGTAATAAAAAAATAACTAATATAGTAATAACCACTTTCATGGTATTTATGTGCCATCTTGCTAACCGACAAATTTTACAGGCTGTGAACGCATCGGCAATCGACAACTTTTGCGCTTCCAAATCATCATGCGTTCTTTCCAGAATGTGCCCGTGTCTAGACACGGTCCAAGCCTGGACTACGCGTGTTCTTTTTGCTCTGTGAACAAGATGGCGCATATTACCTAGAAAGTGATTACAAGTTACATGTACATTGTTTTGCAATTCATCTTTACAATAACTTTTGCAATGAGCTGTGTATAATACATACAAAATGTCGACTTGTTAAAAAAAAAAAAAAAAAAAAAATCTCCACATTTTGTATGCTTACTTGATTATTTGGTTTCTTCAACAAAAAATTGAACGCTTTTGCATACATGTCTACAAAAACGTAAAAGGGAAGAATGTTTAATTTTGTCCCCATACCATGCAATTGAATTTGATAACTTGTGCCCCTCGGATTTGAGATCCATACTACAGTTCAATTTTTTTTGACAATTATGAACTTCATTTTAATTCGGGCACTGTAAATGTGCATAAATGGATATGTACTGTGTACGTGTACATGTACACATGTGAAAGCGGACATATAACAGCATCAATCGGTGTATTCATTTCAAGAGTTAATGATGTACATGTACATTTCATTGTACAGTTTATAATCAATCATGCAAATTCCCAACTTATATAATTGCAATTTGTATAATCAGATGGATTTCCTAGGGAGTGGGGGGGGGGGAGAACCAGACATCCAATGCCATGGATCACATGCAGTCTGCATGATTACACGTGATAATGATGTGGCATCATTGGGGTGGATTATGAATATTGATCCGCTTGTTTATGCCAATCACACACTATGCATTGCATTCTGTAGTCAAGTTTTGTTGTTTTGAAATGGTTCACTGCTTCCAATGTCCCTTTCCTGTGGTTGGGCTATCTTTTTGTTGCAGGGGCCTGCAGATCTGTTGTTGCAGGAAACACCACTCCCTGTGATTCATTGTTAACTAGACATGTAGAGTACATGCACATATGCACAGTACACAAATGGTATACTTTGTACATGTAGAGTTTACTTTATGGTCACCCCTTGACCATCTACAGTGCACATGTACATTGTACAGGGCATTCATGTACTTATCAGTGGCGGATCCAGGGGGCCTAATATGAGGGCTTGCCCGCACCCAAGGGTCCCCCCCCCCCCCCCCCCCCCCCCCCCCCCCCGCCCAGCACCCAGCAGTAATCGAAATATTCTCAAATAAGGCCATTCTTTACTTGAGAGAGCTGTTATGGCGTCTCCCCGCCCCCCCCCCCCCCCACGCACCCACGGCACACCCTCCGCCATCCCCCTCCTCCCCCCCGGCACACCCTCCGCCCCCCGGCCGTAACCTCTCTGGATCCGCCCTTGTTTATTCTCACACATCGTGGTGCGGCTTCTAAAATCATGTTTGGTTTTAAAATAATCATAATAGGATAGAATTATTGCACAACCCAAGTTTGGCATTTCTCACAGTATCATGTGATTAACATATTCCTAATCTATAGGTAAATCAAATTGAAAATTTACATTGATATTGAACTTTGCAGACTGAATGGGGATTTAATAATGGAAAGTTCACCAACCCCCAATAGTCAGTTTGCACATTTTTTTTTTTTAACCAGAAAGATTCATGTTCGGGGCATGCACTTTTTGTACCAATTCATGACTCCTAGATGTAGTTGTAGTCTATGGACTATATGCTTGCAGCTATGTTGTGTTTGCAGATTATGAAAATGCAAAACAACACTGCGTCTTGACCTCCAGAATCATGACATTCAGTGTGCGCTTTCCATTGTGGCTTTGGTAACCCCGATGTTGTATGGGGAAAACATGAAAGCTATTGACCAATCCAGTCAGCTTTAATTGGCTGAATTTTGCTCCAAGTGACGTCACAACTTCTAAAGGTGGGTCAGATAACAGATTGGTTGGCGCGAAGGGTTGCATAAAATGTGCATGCTCGGATATAAAACGTTGTAGTGCGGCTCTGCACATGGCTGATCCTCAAACTATAAACTCCTAAACAGGGAACAACGTGGAATTTCTTTTTTGTTGAATTATTTTTTTAATGAAAACAATCAATGAGAGCTAGGCATATTTCACCGACACATTAAAAGTTTTTGAAATTGCCAACTGCCGTTTATGTAAATTATGTCAGGATCAGTTATCCCTTGACGGCTTTGGTTATCTAGCCCACGTAGGTTGTTTACGGTGTAGTCTCAGGTCAGTTCATTTCATGGACCCTGGTTAGTTTGAGTGCTTTTTATGACATCAGCAATGGAATGAAGTACATGTATACGTGTACATGTACATGTACATGTACATGCTGGGTACATACATACATGAACATGGACTGTAAACATTTGGGTGCACTCTGCGTTGTACTGAATGTATACAATTTACTTGTGTACAGTGTAACTTTATACACATGTGCGTCTCTAAAAGGAACAAAATATCAGGCTTTCGTTAGAAGTATCTTTCGTCAGAACTGATTTACTAAAGTCATGCAGTGAATTACTCCCCCAGTAAAAAAAGCCCTGTTTTACCTCATACATGTAGAATTAGTAACTTCCTTAATGCTTTCCTGCATGCAAAATGCATGAATCATTTATTCCGTAATGACTTGTCTGCACCTGCATTTCAGAGACCTGATGCTTAATATGTCTTGGATGGTGTATGGAGTAATTACTACATGGTACATGATCATAGCACATAGGTAGGAAATCTGTGTGTTTTGCTCCATGCAGCCTGAATTTCAGGCCTACCACACATGTATGTACATACAGACCGTTTTTTTACCGCCATCTTTATGATGACGTGGTAATTTTTAGGAATATTTCATTAAAAAGTTGTTTCATCATGCTGAGGTCACAATGCATGTTGAGACGTATTTTCAATGAAATGACCTCAAAGATTACCACGTGATCTCACAAAGATGGCGATATGTGAACTTCCATAATTTTTGAACTAAAGATGGTATCGGCATGCGGTTTTCACATCAGGAATGCTGAGATTGTGCTCTTTTCAAAACTGTTTAAAAAAAATGACCAGGGTGGACAAACAACTCAGTTAGCTTGATCGCATCACATATGTGCATTGTATGAAGCACATTAATTTTACGTACTTCATAAACATGACTTTTTTGTTGGAGTATGTGTTCATGTGTGTACTTGACCAAGTATGCTGCTCAGTGCTCCCCAGAGTTTTCATCACCATTTCCTGAAGACATATCAAACCATGGAACACAGATTTGATCCTGGCATGCCGAATCCTGTTTCTCCTCTGCTTTGACATAACATGTTCTTATCAGTTGATTTGCAAGGAAACAATTTTAGCAGTAGTTTCCCTGTTTGTATTCGCTGGGAAGGCCATGAAACATCATAATAACAGTGATCAAAATAGTATCTGACATACATGTACAAACAAATCGGAGTGATTTTGTGGTCAACTGAAGAAGTACAGCTGTTTGTACATTATGTCCACTCCCTGTCAGCCCCCCCCCCCCCCATTTGTCACCCTGATTTGTCATGCATAAGTAATATCACTGTATGCAAATGAGTTGCTTAATGCATGTGTTGTCCGTGAATGAAATCAACCGTTGATCTTCAGATACTGACCTTGTTTATTGTACCGTGCTGGTTCAATAATACTGTAGGCCAACATGATAATTATGCAGCGTACGTAGTGATCTGATGGCTTGGTGTCTATGTGTACGTGTACACGTAGGGTAGTTCCAATTGGTTTTGGGAGGTTCTATCTGTATGGATGGTGCAAACTGCAGACATGGCAGACCGCAGAGGATGCAAATTGTTACTTTTCGTGTCTCGATCTGCCCTAACAATAAAATAAATTACACGTTCTTTGATGTATTCGGATAGTACTGGTATTGTCGTACATCTCATCTCTATGATTTACAGTACGTTCGTTCATGTTAACTTTATTTCAAGTGCATTAATTAATATGTTCATGGGCAAACATTTGACAAAAAGGTGATGTTCAGCACACCAAGGCAATGCACTAGCTCAGCAAGCATAATGTCTTTTGAATAGGAAAGTTTCAAAATAGTATTTGGACCTACATGTAGAGCACATTATATGCATGAACATTTTTATTACTGAGTTTTCATCTGTCAAAACATTGGATTCAGAAACCTTTAAAACGTAAACATACATGTATGTATGATTGTGAACAAGCCAACATTCCGGCTCCTGCATACCTGAATTAAATACATCATTATCATCCATTCAAGCCCAGATAGCGCACACTAGCTACATGCAGCTATGTACGTGTACACACAGGTATGTGAAGCCCCAAGTTAGACTTGCCCAAGTCAGCTGCTGTGAAAACAACCATCGACTGTTTCGCGTCAAGTGGTAATGTCAGGAGGGGCAATGAAAATATATTAGGATACTACAATGGGTTGAGGCACTCAGGCAGTGCTGATGACATCGATGCAGTGCGGTTGATATCAAGCATTTAATGTAGGGCTCAATTATGCATGACTGGACGTAACAATGCTAGGCACAGCCTACGAACTCGACACAATTTAGTGCATCATTGCCCCCAAAGTCAACCGACACACTTTGCCATTCTGTCTCAATCCTCCCAAATCCTCCAAAACCGCTTGAATGATTTTGGGATTAAAGGGAATAAACATCATTTGCTTTTGCTGTAATTTTCAGAAATGGATGGAATTGGGGGTTGGAAATATATAGCAAATATATAGTTACACTGACTTTTTTGAGGTTTTGGGTTCGAAAATGCTATAAAAACCAAGAAAAACAATCATTTTCCTGTAGTCTGGTTCCCTGACTCCATTTAAGAAGAAACAGCAGTTTACATATATTGGGGAATTGTAAGGTCAGGGAACCAGTCTAGCTGGCTTGTACCCGTTCATAGGTGTGTAATCGATTGCAAACAAGTGCGATGGTCAACTGGGGCCAGTATTTGAAAAAAAAGCCAGTTTTTTCCAACGCTGGTCGGCCGATCAGCGTTGGAAATTGATACAAAAATACCACTTTTCTTGAAAATGACAGTATGTACCAGGTGCCATGATTTTACAGGATGCTTTACACTGTCATTCACTAACAGTCCAGCAAGATATTTCAAAGTGATTTGGTAGTTTTATTTTTTGATGTTTGCAAATGTTGTATTTTCCTTTTAAGCAGGGTTAGGGTTAAAGTGCTCTTAGTTGTCCTACAATATGGCATGTCCGTTGGCCTTTTTGAGAGATATGGTGGACACAATAGGACTCTTTAGGAGGGTGGAATTTAGAGTGCGCAAACAATTTTATATTAACCCAAAATTTACCCACTCCAAGGAGATCCCTTCTATTGTGTCTGCCATATCTCCAAAAGCAAATTTGCTTATAAAATACATGCTGGGTAGAACCCATAGGAGGCATTGTACAGTTTCTCATTTTGACCATCTGTTTCTCAGTTAGGTCTGTAGTCTTGGTTTCAGACGTTATAATTTTATTTGTTGCGCAAAACACTTTTGATCAATATACAATTTGGAACTGTGATTATTTGCTAGTTAATCAACTTTACAAGTCAGGAATTAATTAGGTAGGATGGAATCAATTGACCTATCGCCGTTTGCGAGTTAGCCACGCCCCTTAGACAACCCTATGGAGTTTTTGTACGCTAAGTTTTGCTTGTCTCAGATTTTGCGCATTTACGCGTCCATTTTTATATCATGTAATTTGACAATATTTCACAATCTGCGTTGACGGGATTCTAATGCGATTCTTCTGCGATAGGTCAATTCTTATCAGGGTTCGGATTAATACTTTAAAGCATATCAGAATCAAATACGATGACGAATCAATTTATTTAACTGAAACAGCGCCCTCATTTTCAGAAGATAACGAGGCGGGGCGTGCATAGAAAGGATAGGAGGGAAGCATTATGGTCTTGGAATCAGGACTCTTATAGTCCAACAGTATATGGAATGAGAATAGCGAAGGGACTTGGTCAAGTCTAACAAAATTGGACAGCTGACAAAATGACAGTTGCTTTATATACACAGCTGATGTTTAAGAGTGTGGGTGCTCATCCAACGTTATTGTGTACAGCTTCCATGCACACCGTTCATTGTAGGAGGTGTTGTACACAGACCAAGGCTGCTTTGCCATAGTCACCAACCAGCCATTATAAGCAAAGGGCACTTTGTGTTTGATTGTGGGTTTATTCTGGATCAATATGGATACAAATTTGTATGTTTACATTGTACATGTACATTGTGTTCCTATGTTTTTATGATATTCCTGTTCTCATTTGTACATGTGTAGTAAACTTTACCCATTTCTTTGCGCTCTGGTCGTAATTGATGGCAAAATAAACTAAATAGAATAGTTACATACATCAGGCAAGCAATTTTTCCTTGGATCCGCTGATTTCCTCGTTGTTTACTTCTCATGAATGCCATTACAAATTGAAAATATACAACCACATAGTCTTATGTGGTTTGGAGTTTCCTCGTTTTTGCTAAATTCGCAGTTGCGCGTGCCTGATATACATTCAACTTTAGTTATTTAAAAATTAAATTCCAGACTCTGTTATTTCAAATCTTCATGCAAGTTTGACTACCATAAAAACCACACCCATGTTTTTTTGCAGTACATGTGCCTTGAGTTGAAAGATGTTTGAATGCATGAATGCAGAGCTAAGCCATTCAATTATTTTTTTTAATAGGAAATATGATTAATAGATGTTTGGGTGTGTCCTCTTCATGGAACGCTGCCATATCGTACAATGCCTTTGTTGGTTGGTTGGTTTGGTTAGGGTTTTTTGGGGGGGGGAAAAGGAAGAATCAATATTTGATGAGTCATTTTAATTACTAATCAGAAAATGTCATTGTATCTTAAAAGATACAATGACATGCATGTAGTCTGCTTTTAGCTAAGACTAGATACTACGGTTCATTTTTTTGTAAGTTTTTTATCCTAACTAAAGCTAATTCACAAACTTCAAGTTTTTTATGCCCCGCGGCGAAGCCGAAGGGGCATACTGTTTCCGCCTTGTCCTTCCGTGGGTGGGTGGGTGGGTGGGTGGGTGGGTGGGTGTGTGGGTGTGTGTGTGGGTGGGTGGGTGTGTGGGTGTGTGTGTCCGGACAAATCTTGTCAGCGCGATAACTTGAGAAATACTTAACATATGAACTTCAAATTTGGTTTGTGGATTGTTCTTGGTAATCCTAAGAAGCCTTTCGCATTTGGGGCCAAAAGGCCAAAGGTCAAGTTCACAGTGGCTAAAACAATAGAAATCTTGTCAGCGCGATAACTTGAGAAATACTTTACATGTGAACTTCAAATTTGGTTTGTGGATTGTTTTTGACAATCCTAAGAAGCCTTTCGCATTTGGGGCCAAAAGGCCAAAGGTCAAGTTCACAGTGGCTAAAACAATAGAAATCTTGTCAGCGCGATAACTTGAGAAATACTTTACATGTGAACTTCAAATTTGGTTTGTGGATTGTTTTTGGCAATCCTAAGAAGCCTTTTGCATTTGGGGCCAAAAGGCCAAAGGTCAAGTTCACAGTGGCTAAAACAATAGAAATCTTGTCAGCGCAATAACTTGAGAAATACTTTACATGTGAACTTCAAATTTGGTTTGTGGATTGTTCTTGGCAATCCTAAGAAGCCTATTGCATTTGGGGTCAAAAGGTCAAGTGTCAAGTTCACAGTGGCTAAAACAATAGAAATCTTGTCAGCGCGATAACTTGAGAAATACTTAACATATGAACTTCAAATTTGGTTTGTGGATTGTTCTTGGCAATCCTAAGAAGCCTATTGAATTTGGGGCCAAAAGGTCAAGGGTCAAGTTCACAGTGGCTAAAACAATAGAAATCTTTTTTTTATTCTGAGATTATAGGGATTAGGGATTAATTCATATAAAACCTACAGAAGACACTAATGCTGTCAATGAATGTTCCATGTGACCAAGGTACATGTAAGTTGATGTTAAAAGAGTGGTGTTATGTCATGGGAACAGTCACGGTTGCGGGGCATTTGTGTTTGTAAACACACCTGACTTGTTTCCTTCTGCTTTCCCAACAGCTGAGTATCATCAACAGCCACCGACTATGATAGCAGGGGCGGGGCGAGTGACTCCCTCAGGGGCGGGACTGATGAGCCAAGTCCACGATGACCTGGATGCAGACGACGATGACCCGCGTCCTGAGCCCACTGACCTCTTCGTCGACCTAGGGATGCTGATTCTGGAAGGACGGAAACCGGAGCGGTCGGTCAAGGGGCGTGTGGAAGGGGAACACTGCCCGCCTCGTTATCCGAACGACAGCAGGCATCAGTGTACACCGGATATGGTGGCAAGGGTAGGTATTCATCAGATGGAATTTTTTTTTTTTAATCCATTAGCACCTGTATTACATTGTATTACATTGTATTACATTGTATTACATTGTATTACATTGTAGTTACTCCTTGTTGAATCAAAGGAATAACTGCAGAGCGACATAGGCATTAACAGGCTTGGTGGTTTAAGGATATAAGTTTATTGCTATAAAAAAAATCAAAAATAAATGGTTGACTCTAAATTAGCATCAAATATTCTGCTTTTAAGACTGCATAGTTTTCTTAGTTTACACATGTATATTTGAACTTAAAGGGAATATACATCATTTGCTTTTGCTGTAATTTTCAGAAATGGATGGAATTGGGGGGTTGGAAATATATAGCAAATATAGTTACACTGACTTTTTTGAGGTTTTGGGTTCGAAAATGCTATAAAAACCAAGAAAAACAATTATTTTCCTGTAGTCTGGTTCCCTGACTCCATATAAGAAGAAACAGAGCAGTTTACATACATTGGGGAATTGTAAGGTCAGGGAACCAGTCTAGCTGGCTTGTACCCGTTCATAGGTGTGTAATCGATTGCAAACGAGTGCGATGGTCAATTGGGGCCAGTACTTTTCTTTAAAATGACAGTATACCAAGTGCCATGCATGATTTTACAGAATGCTTTACACTGTCATTCACTGACAGTCCAGCAAGGTATTTTAAAATGATTTGGTAGTTTTATTTTTTGATGTTTGCAAATGTTGTATTTTCCCTTTAATTCTAGCCATTACTTTGGGATAAAGAACTGAGTACTACAGAATCAATACTACAAAAATTATGTATGCAGGCACCACATACCAAAACATACTATGAGTGCTGTGCCCACTTATATGCTGAAGTACTGCATACTACAGTTTACTACTACATGTAGTAGTATTTTGTAGCTTTGGGTGCATGAGGTTAGGGTTAATAAAATTGTCAGAATGCCATTAATGGTTCCTGAACTGAAGCATTAAGTATTTTGTTTGAAATATTCTCTTTTTTTTCAGGAATGCATATTCCTGAATAAGCTCTCAAAGTGTACGTACATAGATAGATGCTGAAAGTATTACCTCGATCCTGTTGTAGAGTGCATGTGGAATTCTTAGCATTCAGATACCCTTATCAAAAGAATATCAGCCTTACGCTACAAACTGTCTTGTGATATTGCACTTGTTAGTGTCTTGTACACTTCACACTGTTGATTACTATTCCTAAGCACTCCAAGCACATTTTGAACCCATGACCTCACTAACAGACAGTGTGAAGAATTGAATATAGCCCCCAAAAATCCCAAGGATCTCTGTGTGATAAGTGATAAATGAGCCCACAAAATATCAGCTCGGCAACCCTTTAGCCGTAGGCCCATCCTGTGCATTTAACTCCACTCACTTCAGATCCCCGCTGCTATTTTTATCCCACGGTGGGTCCTGGACATTGCTGCCTTTTTTCCCTTTCGCTCAGGCTTACATGTACAGGAAACCTGATAATTCACCCGGTCAAGTTTATATAGTTGTCTCAAAGTGGATTAGTTCAATCCACAGAGAAGCCCCTGCCAGTGCAAAGCAGCACGTAGGACTTGCACTAATTGTGCACGTACAGTGTGCCACGACATGTCATCCAGGAAAAGCCTTGATCATACAGACATGTACGTTAATGCTAGCAGCTAGGTGATGTTAATTCAATCATGTAGACCGATATCCTACTGCTCATGAAGCAACACTGATACAGCGGACAAAATGTAGCACTTAAGTTTGTACAAGTGCATTGTTTGTGTCTGCAGTTTACAATATTTTTTTCCAGACGAAGGCTTTTAATTTATGAATTTGACATTTGGATGGACATGCTTCTGTATATATATATATGGACATGTTCTTTTAAACTGCAAATTCTTACTACATGAATTAAAGATGCGTTCCCGACGCTATTTTCAAGATTAACCTCGAAAAATAGATTAGTTTTTCAATTGCTTATTCTTATAGCAATGTAAAAGTTATTCACTTTTGAATGAAAAATCCACAGACGCTGAGTTATTGAAATATTTCCTCAAAAATTTTGAATTATTGGCTGCCAGACATAAGAGCAGGTTCATTTGTGCGCGAAATGAAAGTCACTTTTCAGAGGGTTGCTGACGCCCAAAATCAGAATATAATTTTTTTTTGTTAAAACAAAACATACAAATTGAAATTCGTTAGGAGAAAGAAAAAAAGATATATTTTTTTAAGAGCATGGGTATGCTACTTTAACAGCATCCCTTATGAACACTCAAATATGAGGGTATGTTTTACCTTTCTTGAAAATTAAAATTAGGCTTGAGAGGAAGACGACTTTGAAAAACCTACATAAGTATGTAGTTACATAGAGATACAGTGTGGACACAGGTTCGTTCAGTAATTACACTGTGTCTGTGTACAGTGCGTTATACATCCACTTATTGATTGATCCCGAATGAAGGTGCTGACAGTTAATAAACAATGAATACATGTACCTTGCCAATTTCATTATAATCTTTTAATAAGGTAGAAGAATGGTACGTTAATAAGACAGTGTTATGAAGACCCATTCTTTACATTCATGAAATAATTGGCTTATATCACAAATGCGTACATGCACTATATAAGTACATGATGTATGATTAAAACCTGAGTGCCATATGACAATATTGTCAGACACGTTGTTATGATCTTGGGTTCTTTTACAATATTATTATGCAGTTTATCAAGTTCAGTACTAAAATTATGTCATTGCTGCAAATTTAGTTTATTCAGAAGAAATCAACAAAATACACTGCATGGAACACAACAAGGATAAAACAAAATACAGTCACCGGTACCTTATTGGAGACAGCTTAATTTTTCCATTGGGGCCCGTTATGTCAAATTTTAACATCATAACCCTAGTGCTTCAGTGATATTACAAATGTACCATTTACGTTTTACAAGACCTAGGTCAGAAAGCTGTCGCAGGGTAAGACAAGCATACTTGAATTAGACAGGCTGGCATGCCACTACCATATAGCTCCATGGTGCTATATACCCACAAACATAACGCCGATAATTCCTGCATTCCAAAGTCTTCATCTGACTATGGCTGCGGCTAGCTGTTACACATGCATCTATAGAAGCAGCTGAAGCCACTTCCCATAGACACATGTGTTACTGGCAGCCGTAGCCATTCCAGCGCGCCCTTTATCACGGTGATACATACATGTACACCATTCATCTAGGGAGTAGGGACTTGTGAATTCATAGCATTTCTAAGGTGCAGAGAGGGATGCAGATTTGCAGCGCATTACACCTCAGTGACCTAATGGAATAACCAGATCTTGTAAGCATGCAGTTGTACGCTTATAATGCAGCTTCCCATCACTTTGTGTAAATAAAAAAAAATATGGAAAGGAAAAAACAAATATTGTGGTCAAAAAGTAATTCCAGTCTGAACAATTACCATCTGACATTCAGTTACTATAGTATCATTTATGAGATGTGTGATCTTTTCTCCAAATGCAGTACTAAAAGTAAAACAAATGTTAAAAAAAATTCAAGTTTCATTCAGGTGCTAAAATTCCTTCCACGTGACACAGAAGAACATGTACCATAGCCTATATGTGTACCGTATTTATGGAAAGGTATGGGTTTCAAAAAAAATTAAGTGCGAAACTACAAATGAGCCATCGCTGTAGCCATAATTTGAAGCATACATTTACATACATGTCCTGAAGATATATCCTGAAGAATAAATAATGAAGCAGATGCATTCCCTGTGTTATTTTCCAGTTTTTCATCCTGAAAAATAGTTTCCCATTTTTTTTTTTTAAATTGCTGTGTTTCCAGCAATACAAAAGGTGTTTACTATTCACTGTGGGATGAGACATATGTACATTTTCAGCAGGGTTTAGGATAAATTAATCACTACAGTAGGCCCTATAATGATATTGAATGTCTGACGTCCAAATTATGATACCCCAACTGATCCACATCTTACAGGTAAAATGTTTCTTTACTGTGTACAAACATAGCAAACATAATTATCATGCCATAATTAAGTTTTCTTATAAATTATTCTCTGCAATGCTAAACAGCACTATGAAATTGATCCCTTATCTCTCCTTACTCGTATGTCCTCCAGGCAATACACAGTGAACTTGTACTTTTTCATTGCCAGTTCTATTGATCTTGCTTCCACTTGAGACCTACCTGGTACAATGTACATGTACTGTATGTAGGAATATTTGCACAGACGCTTTGGCATAATTTCATGGAACCTTCATTCGTGTGTACATGTGTCTATAGTCAATCGCTGATGAGTTTTTGAGTCTGAGACTGAGAGGAGTAGCTGACTCCCTCCCCGACTTCACTGACTGACTCTCTCCCCCTGACTGACTGACTCCCCCATTGACTGAGTCACTCTGACTGACTAACTGATCGAGTCACTGAATGCAACATCCTTTTGGGTCCACCTCAACGAGGCAAACCGAGTGTTCTAAAACCCTCTTCACATGATGCCAAAACACTACCAAGGTTTGAGAAGCAAATTACCAGTGGGGGATTGTTTTCAAATGTACTATATCATGACAAGCTTGACAGCATTTGCATGCTTTCACATGACAAAGTAATTAATTCTCCAGCATCTCTTGTTACACGTATTCAGCCTGTACATAATAAGATTCCCTATCATTTGCCACCAGGCAGTGAGACATAGACATGAACTGCACTTTGTCTTGTGTTAAGCTGTAAAGCACTGCTCTGTGGTTCACCTCTACATGGTCCTAGCTCCATGCCTCTACATATCATTCAATCATTACGCCTTGACTAGTCACCACTGACTCACTCAGTTAAGATTAGTTTCTGCATCACCAAATTACACAAAGAAGCCACCATCTGGTTCCTGAATAGTTATCCTTTAATAACATATGGTGACACATTTATAGATTGTTTCAATTTGCCTGGTTTAAGTAATTGCAAGTTTTGCCCGGTGTCTCATGGAGTGTGAAGTACATCAGCACATTACCTTTCTTGTGTGGTATAAATTATTGTTGATTCAAGAAAGTTACAATGTCCTACTTAATCTGAAATCCTGAAATCCTGAAAGCTGGCAAATAGATTTTGCAAATGCCCCATAAAAGCACATGTAGGCACACGCAGCAGCAAACTGTATAGAATGCGTGCTTGGTTTAGGTTCCGATAACAGAGAATTATATAAATAGAATTCTGTTTTCCCTATTATTACATAGTTGTCCTCAGTCTGAAATTTTAATTGTCATTTCAGTATTCTTGCTCAGCACAGCAAACTGCACTTGAAAACATACTTTAGCTGTATGTATGCACGTGCGTGTTTAATTATGGTGTGAATCGAGGACATCATCGATAAATTGAGGACAGAAACCGAATCGAGGACTCCTCGGTTGGAAAACATGTACAAAACCAATTCAAGCTGTTGCAAAAAAAAATAAAGTACAAACAAAGGAAAAGGGAAGAGGAACAAAAAATCCTCAATTTACACCACCAACAAACGTGTGCGTGTGTCAAAATAATACTTCTTTTACGCATGCACGTGAAAGGTCACTGTACTCCAAACAAATTATTATTTTGTTGTGGTATGCCGATTATTGTACTTTGCCAAACAAAGAAAAACATTCCTACACTTGTGTGGAGGAGTCTAATCCTTGACTTTGCATTGTATGTAGAATACCTGTTTTTCCCACTTATGAGCTCTCCGTGTTTGGGTGTTACAGTGTATACAGGTTAACTCCAGTGACCCAACCCATATACAAATATGACTAATGCTGTTTTTGGTTTCATATGCAAGCCAAGTGTTGACGTGATATTCATATCAAAAAACATGTGTCATACATTTTATAGCTCCATGGTCATTACAGCAGTACTATGTTTCAATGTCTACCTGTATTTATAAGGAAAAATACATCTACATGTACATGCACATTTTGTACATGTACTTCACATAAATATCCAGTATGTAAACACACGCATACCATTATGTATAAACTGTGAATGCACATGTACATGTACATGTAGATGATACAGGTGAATGCAGTACATTTGTATGATACTTCTGCTACATGTATGCCCATGCACATGTACTTGAAATTTGCAAGTGAGAGGATAAGTTCCGACACTGTACCAGCATTAAAAAAAATAAAAATTCTAAATTTCCAGCCTAAGCTGTCACATCCTGTCAAATTCAAGTTCCATTGCTGTACTGTCAGAGTTTGACCTTCGTTTCCAAAGTTGTCCTTTCATTAGTTTTGTCAGCGGCTTTTAAAAAAAAATCAATTCGGTTATGGCGTACGTGTGCATGTGCGCATAGCCGTGGCCATGCCACGGAGCTATAAATTGTATGACACATAATAGCCATGGTTCCTTAACTTATTCAGGATCAGCTGATCCGAAGACCCAAACCATTTATTGAGGCACAATTTTTAGGTGTACACTAAACAATTTTGATAACAAGTAAGAGTACTAGTTGTGTCTATTTATATTTCCACTTTTTAAATATTGTTCATGATCCTGAACCTCTTGCTCTGTAATTTCCATCCAATGGCAGCATTCCCAATTGATTTATTTCTCAATTATTTATTTCTGGATTTGACATGTTGCGACCCCCCCCCCCCCCCCACTCCCTTCTGCTTTCATGCCCCGTATCCCACAGAGGTAGTATGATAAACTGTATCTCACATACATCCCACGGAGCTTATTAATAAACTATAATATAAATTTCCACAGCCCTAATTCATCAAAGTACACGTAGCATTCAAGTTCTGCTGGCTCTGTATCAAGTTACTAAACCGAAGCCGGCAATAATGAACTCTCGGATTAAATTCACTTTCATTTTCAGGTGCGGGTATTTTTACGGCTCACGTAGTACACTTAATTTAGAATTTACATCATAACCGTTGTTTTTAGAATTGGGTATTTTTGTTGGATGTGTAATACTTTCAACCATGATTCCCTTTTATGATTAATTTTAAGTTTAGCCAGATTTGCTTAAATAGGATTCATTCTTGATTTTTTAATGTTAGTTTTAAAACACAGATAATCAGTTTTGAACAATGACAGCACAAGAAGTACGAGAAAGAAATTCTTGCCAAACTTTTTTTTTCATAAAATGAAATTGAATTATTGTTTTATCCAACTGAGTAGGGATCATTCTATAATTGTTTTTTCCTGTCCCCGTTACATAGATCTGACATCTATGATGTTCTAATTCTCATGCACTCCTTAATGCAGTCATCCTCCAAGAGTAATTATGAATAGCAAACTATCTACCCAACTAATAGAAAATTGTTTGAAGTCATTCTTAATGAATGGCAAATGACAAAGTACCAAGGTAACAGGGACAGGGAAAAAATATCACTCTTTGGACCCTAACTTTATTGAATGACCCTTTGACGGCCAAGGGCTTCGTGCACAAGTTACCCCCTCATGGGCAAGAAAGGGAGAGTTGGAGGAGAACATCGAGAGGCATTCGAATGCATCCCCGATGAGGCCTGACGCTCACGCGAAGACGCTATGGCTTTGTGTACATTCAGAATAAACTAAGTGGTGCGTACTTCGCGCCATACGTGCGCGAACCAGTAAAAAGCGCCCTCTCTTGTTGGCGCACGGAGCCCATACAGTTTTTTTTCCTTTTCCAACAAACTGGGCTGTGACATAAAATTAACACGCTGCACAATTCTTTCTCTCTTTCTCATGTAGTGCAAGCAAATAGAAGCTGCTCATTCCTACATCTGCTTCCTATGTCTCAACAACATCCCGATGTCCGTGGAGGTTCTGCTCTACCCGGACTGCTGCCTGGAGGACCAGGAAGACATAGAGATGATGAGCTCCATTGAGGAGACGGCACAGGCCCTGGACCAGCCCTCGTCTCATCTGCTTCTGGAACAGTGGATTGTGCAGCTGTTACCCAAAAGGTAATGTACATCAAATGCAATAAGATCATATCATAGTCTCCTTGCACCATATTCCATTCCGTGTCCTGATCATGTACTTGTCCTGTCCTGCCTTGCTCTTTGTCTGAACCCAAAATCAAAATCTCAGTGCAGATTTCGAGGCTAACACCAGCTCTTGTCCAACTCTAGTCTCTGGATTTCTAGTCCAACTTGCGGTTGGCCAATTGCCGTGTGATGCAAGGGTCAACGTATGAAGAGGACACTGTGTTCCACGTAATGCGAAACTTACTGGAAAAGTACATGTAGGCCGATCACACTACCGTTAAGGCTACATCGTCAGTGTGCATAGCAAACAATTAGATATCAGAATCACCGAGGGCATTGCCCGTCCTCATATTCACATGTGATATGAGGTCAGGCCACCCCATTCGTTCTCATGTGAATATTTAAAAGAATTTGACCCCTACGTCATTGGTCAATGTCGTTCAGTCTGGCAGATAAGGTAAATTAGTTTTGACTAACAAAAGGTCAAATTTCACTCAAGTTTTTACATTGCATTAGTCATTCAATTCTTGTCCACCTGGATCTAATAGTCCTGGGAAACTGGGTGTACATGTACAGCATATCTTAGCATGTCATTCTTTGCAAACCAATTTGTGACCTGTTCTGTCAAAAGCAGACGCTTCTGGGCAGAGGTTGAAATTGAGATAGGGCAAAAAAATCGCTGTGGATCCTGAACATGTCTAAAATATACTGTAACGGTTTGAAACCCTAATTTGAACTCTAAATATAGTATTTTTGGTGATTTGTTAAAGTATATCAGTCAAAGAAAGTACTGTTTTGTGACATTCGTGGCCATTTGCTCCGTTTCTACTTTTCGACACAGTGACCTTCAAAATAGCATAACTGTGCCCAGGAATGACCGGTTTCAAAAATTAAACCACCTATTTAAAGGAAAAAGAACATATTTTAACAATATGCAAAAATCTCATTTTTGACCTTATGCCCAGAAAAATCTGATTTTGACAGAAAAGGTCACATTTATCAACTATCTATTGATGATATGTGTGTGTTTATCCCACAGGTTCCCTGATGGCCATTGTCACAGTCATCTACTCTTCCAGGCCGTCAGGTCCTTCTTGCACTTCTCTCAGATCAGTGCTTGGCTCAGCTCCACACAGGGACGATTACCAAAGAATATTGTCTACAGGTCAGACTTTGTGCATTCATTGTTTGCCATTGTGGTGCTTGTGATGGATCGCAAGTCATCACAAGTCCATCTCAAGTCAATCACAAGTCATCACAAACTCATCACAAGTCAATCACAAGTCATCACAAATTCATCACAAGTCAATCACAAAACATCACAAATTCATCACAAGTCAATTACAAGTCAATCACAAGTCTGTACAAATTCATCACAAGGCAATCACAAGTCATCACAAATTCATCACAAGTCCATCACAAGTCATTCACAAGTCATCACAAATTCATCACAAGTCCATCACAAGTCCAACACAAGTCCATCACAAGTCATCACAAGCCCATCACAAGTCCATCACAAATCATCACAAATTCATCACAAGTCTTCACAAGTCAATCACAAGTCCATCACAAGTCATTCACAAGTCATCACAAATTCATCACAAGTCAATCACAAGTCATCACAAATTCATCACAAGTCATTCACAAGTCATCACAAATTCATCACAAGTCCATCACAAGTCAATCACAAGTCCATCATGATTTACTTGTGATCCGTCACAAGTATCTCAACTACTACAATGTTTGCATTTTGTTAACCTCTTTGGCAAATGGTGCTTGCAGTTGTTAGTCATTACCGTTATTCCCATACTCTCCGAGTATTAAAGTGCCATTAACTTCTGGCTTCGAATAATGTCACTTTGTGGTCACTGTGTAAAAATATGCACACGCATACTCCAAATTAGATATCCTTAGGAAGATAAAAACACTAGACATTTAGAATCAAACGATGGCAGAATAATGTCATGTTAGATTGGCCAACCAACACAGGCAAGCACTGTCTTAAAGAGGATAAGATCATTTGCAGTTTAACCATAACCACAAAAGTGAAATTAGAGTGATACCACTTCCTACCCATGTTCCGACTTCTTTTTTTACAGTTTAACCATAACCACAAAAGTGAAATTAGAGTGATACCACTTCCTACTTCTTTTTTACTACGTCCTCTATAAAAGAGAACTGATATTAATTATCTTTGGCTCATGTTTGTGTGTGCAGGGTCTGTGCTCCAGGGGAGTCTTTTCCTACCAGCTTTTCTTCCACCCCTGAGGTACACACCTTCCCCATCCTGAACCTGTCCAAGTCGTCCAGTCTACGGGTTACCGTCGCCTCTCTACCTCGCACCCAAACCATCCCCGTTCTTCCATGCTACAATGCGGAGCATTCAGACATAGATGGAACCATTGGGAAGGGTCGTGGAGACGGGAAGGAGAAAGATGACGATGATGATGACAGAGAGTTTAGATACGCTTTTGTCAACCCGAGCAGAGAACGGGATCAGCGGAGTGGCGAGGAGCTGAAAGAGGAGCGTAGGCAGAAACATGACCAGCGGGTGAAGCAGGGTTCTAGCGCGGGCGCAGCGTCGCTCCCTGCAGTCCAGGAGGAAAAGATGAGACAGAGAAATGCAACCGCTGCCCAGAAGCTGCGAGTCTTGCTCCCAGAACCCAGAGATGCATCCCCAGTCCGTCCTGAGAAGAAAGGGCCGAGGTTACCAAAGTTGAGAGACAACTCTCCACAGCATGCGCGACGGGTTCCTTTGAAGCCAACATCCTGCGACAACCTCCCACCAAGGCCGCCGTCCGTTGAGCTGGAGGAGAAGCAAGTCACGGCAAAGTTGAAACGCCAGCAAGTGGAGGACAGCAACAGGGGGAAGCACACACCAACCTGTGAGCTGTATTATGTCAGTGGTCAGCCAAGCTTCTCCACGGTGGAGTTGGAGAGACGGATTCGCGAGTTGAAGCTTCAGAAGCTTCAAGAGAGGAGCTCAACTGGGTCTCCCGAGTGTGTGACTTCGACTCCCCCGCCATCTCGAGGGGAGTCGACTCCAAGACCCATCTGTGCTTGGAAAGACAGGACGCCAAGTCTTGAGGAGGATGATGGCATCTTCTTCACGGCCAAGTCCTCCTTAGAAGACCGAGGGTTTGCCGTTCAAGATGTGTTCAGGACCTCAAACAGGTACGACAAGGAAGATGAGGACGTGCCGGCGACAGAGTTTGGCACGCCTCTCTCCACCGTTCCCTGGTTATCCTACCACAAGTCCACGGACTCAGACTCCGGAAACCAGGGCCATATACATTGTGACAGCCAACCAGAAAGCGTCTTTGTAGGGAATCAACCAAAGCATGGTTTCAGTGGGACAGACACTCCGACATCATGTAGCCAATCCCCGGCAAAGAATGGCAATTTATTACACAAGATGCCTGAAATGCAATCCCGGCACTACCCCAATGCAATTCGTGGTGCTGAACCAGTGGGCCATGATGCCTCATCAAGCAGTAACCAACCATTAAGCCAAGTAGTGACCGCCCAAAACCAGTGGACAACGGATCAAGTCCAAGGAGCTTACAGCCATTTGGGTTGCTCGCCAAGTCAGAACCAAAACAACCAAAGCCCATCCCATCTAAACCAGTCCTCTACCAATGCAATCTCAGGGAACACACCTTCTCCGACGTCCTCGCCCCGACACGCTCGTCGGCGGGGCTTCAGCCTGGACAGCCACGACTTTCAACCCAATATCCCGGCACCGTTTCGTAAACCAATGCAATATGAAGGGAATTCAGACAACACAAGCACCAGTGCCTCCTCCCCTTTCACCCCAGTCTTTGGAAGAAGCAAGTCCTTATTCAGGAGCGTTCTGGGAAAGGAAAATAACTCAAGGAGCAAAGAGGTAAGTGTGTCATATGAAAAGGACAGAAAATGCACAGCAGATGCTTCCAGTCTGCTTGACAGGAAACATAACTGAGCACATTTACATACCAAACAAAACAAGTCATGTCACAAATTGCATGAAATTTTGGAAATTAATTTATCAGAAACTTTATGAAATAATAAAATAAGACAAAATACCGGATCTCCCTGACAAAAAATGACAAAACAAACTATATATATATCCAGCATAATCTGTGTCCTTGACATTACTGTCAAAAAAGGGTCACGGTTTTTAAAATCGCACCCTATGATATTCAAGTTCTTTAGACAAATGTAACTTAAAAAGAAAAGGGTTTCTAACAACCCACTACAATGGAAGCCCTATACTCTCAATTCCATATTTTAGTTCCAACGGGAGTGAAAATTAAGGTTTGCTTTGCAAATGACGGTTTTTGTCAAAGTTCTCTCTTTAAAAATGCGAGCATGTTATTAATCAAGCCTGCCACTTGTGAATTTCCCGTATCAGGGTCTAGCTGCTGAGAGCATAGAGGTAACTTCTCCCCCTACTCTATCAGGCTTGAGGAGTGGTCTCATGAGAAGATCCTTAGACAGCTCCAACACCTACGTCTTTAATCCGAGCACAGGACTACCCATCAACTCAAGTCCAGTAAGTCACACTAAAGTGTTTTCTATTCTGTGACTGACTTTTTGTCCTTGTACTACCCCCAAACTGCACTGCCTGTTACTCCCTGTAATGCCCAAGCTACCTCATCACAGTATGGTTGCATGGATTCCTTGGAAGAGAAATATATTTTAGTACAGGTTATTGCCATTGGCAAAGGCCTGTCAGGTGTCATCTTAAAACAACAATGAACTTGTCACATTATGTAATCATCTAGACATAGTTTTCTTTGCACACATTTGTGACCTGTTCTGTCAAAAGCAGACGCTTCTGGGCAGAGGTTGAAATTGTGATAGGGCCAAAAAACGTTGTGGGGGTGATTTTTTTCCATTTTCTAATTTTTGCATATTTGTAATCCTGAGCATGTCTAAAATATACTATAAAAGTTTGAAACCCTAATTTGATCTCTAATTATAGTATTTTTGATGATTTGTTAAGGTATATTAGTTAAAGAAATGTCTGTTTTGTGACGTTCGTGTCCATTTTCTCTGTTTTCTACTTTTCGACCCAATGAACTTCAAAATAGCATAACTTTGCGCAGGAATTACAGGTTTCAAAAATTAAACCACCTATTAAAAAAGAAACAGAACATATTTTAACAATATACAAAAATCTCATTCTTGACCTGATGCCCAGAAAAGTCTGATTTTGACAGAACAGGTCACATTTGTTCGTTGGTAGCAAATACAACATAGAATACACTGGAAAGATACTTTGCGTCTTTGTGAATAATCCCCCTCAATGCATGCGCCCTGCCCCCCCCCCCCAAAAAAAGTTGGAATATTTCAATGTTTCTAAAAGAATTGCCTTTGTTTTCTTTCAGGCACCTCTGAGGAAAGCCAAGACGGAGCATGACTGTGCATCTCTACTCAAGCCCCGCTCTCTTCTTAAGAGGTAAATGACTAAGAATTCGGCATTTCCGCAGTAAAACCATGGCATTCCTGCATTTGGGTATCTTAACTAAACTTGCATGAGCGGATTGGTGGGGGGGGGAGGCAACAGAGGGATTAAGTACATGAGGTTTACCTGTTTGGAACCAATAACTATTTTGGGTCGATTTGATGAGTTGCCGCAAATACTGTTTGGTGCGATGGGACTCTGGAATGCCAGTTTAAATCAGGTGTAAGGCACCCACTGAGCTCAAACTTAACAGTACTCACAGTTTCTCTACATCTGAATATGAAACAATTTTTTTTTTTTTTTAGTTCTCCCTCTTGCAATGATCTTGAGAACTCCAACACGCCACTGTCTCATGCCACAAGGGTATTCAGCACTAGTGCTCCAGCCTCAACGAGCTGTCTGTTGGGCAATTTCGAGGTAATTATGATTAATATGGATGTTATGCGGGTTTAAAGGGAATATACAACATTTGCAAACATCGAAAAAAATAAAACTACCAAGTTTTTACGAAATACCTTACTAGGATGTTGGCAAATGACAGTCTAAAGCATCCTGTAAAATTATGGCACCTGGTGTGAAGTCATTTTCATGAAAATGTTATTTTTGTATACATTTCAAACGGTGGTCGGCCGACCACCGTTGGAAAAACCTAACTATTTTTCAACTACTGCTCCAACTTTACACTTTTTTCAGTCCAAATTTTGTTTGCTATTGGTTACATGTTCATGAACGGGTGCAGGCCAGCTAGACTGGTTCCCTTACCTTACAATTTTCCGGCATCTATAAATTGAACCATTTTATCTTTAGTGGAGTCAAGGAACCAGACTACTTGAACATTTTTGTTTTTCTTGGTTTTCCAGCATTTTCGCAGAAAAAAAACTTCAAACATGTCAGTGTAACAATATTTGATCTATTATACTAACCCCTCCAATAGTTCATTTCTGAAAATTACAGCAAAAGCCAATGATGTACATTCCCTTTAAACTATTCACCCTTCCTATTGTGTAATTTTGGTTTTTAAGTCCCTGTAACTCAAAAAAGTAGCTCCTGGTGACTTTTGACTTTTGTCATATTGGGTTACAATTTACTCAGGGACAACCTCGTTTCCATGGGTACGATCTTGCTGCGCCATGTTGGTTCCCATCATGCCTCTCAACGCCTGGAATTGTGTAATTTAAATGTGCCACTATTTGAGACATTTAAAGTAGGACTGCAGTTGATTTATTGAACGCGCGACGCAATGCTGAAAATATTAAAATTGTTATTTTGTAGAATCAATCCTTTCAAACATGAGATTTCGATGACGAGTTACTTAGCAAGGATTTGTATTAAACGAACGTACTTCTGTTGTCCCTTTACAACACAAGATACAGGCTTTTGGGTGAAAAAAAAAACAAGGCTTCCAGGGTCCAGGCATCGTGCAGTCTTGAAAAAAATGTTCGTATATGATGTGACGTGCAGAAACGCGTAAGCACATTACATGCAGGGCGTGCAGTTCTAGAAATACGCACGCATTACGCACTCAACTGATCAGTGTCGTTTACGTATTCCTCACGGCCAATGGTTTCAGTTAAGTAACGTGCAAGTGCCCATGGAGTCGAGGCTGACTCAGGGAAAGCTTTGCAGGACAACAGACAAGTGCAAAGCAATCTAAAGTTTGAAATAATGTCATTTTTGTGTTTGGCAGGAATCTGTCTTGAACGGAAGGCTTGAACCGCTAGGCACCATCGACGGCTTTACAGCGGAGATCGGCGCCAGTGGGTCATTCTGTCCTAAACACATCATCCTCCCAGTCACTACCTTCTTCTATAGCGTGTCTGATGATGACGCTCCCTCCTCATATTTTGTAAGTCGATGACAATCTAGCCTTTAGGCCAAAAAAAAAAAGTCTCCGGTTTCTGGTATGGAGCTTGTCCAAAAAGTGGTGCGGCGATGCGGCTTTTTTTTTTTTTTACCCGACTTTTTTGCTTCAAATGTGCTTCAAATGTCGGCTGATGACTGCAAATGGTGCCCGACTAAACTTAGTGCAAATATATGGGAGTCCAGAGAGGCCACATAAAGCTTATTCTCGATCATAACCCCATCTAAAAACACGTTGAAATTGCGCAGCAGCAGAATTCCAGTCAAACCAGTGAGTTTGGCGGTTTTGAGACATCATCTTTCATTGAAAAAAAAACTTTTTCATTTTGCCGACGCGCATGGCTACGGCGACGGGCGCGCATACCAGAAACCGGAGACTTTTTTTTTTTGGCCTTACAGACGTCCAAATTTCAAGAAATGTTGTTTTTACGAGAGGTACCTCGTCGGGTACTCGCACCAAGGGAACAACGGTACCTCAAAAGTCGGTCTTTGTAAAATGGTGGCCCACAAGGGAAATTCTAATGAAGAAGGATAAGCGGAAACCAATGGAAGTACCCAATAAACGCCATCCGTACGACTGCGTGTTCTAGTTGAGATCTCTTAGTGTTCAAGTCCAAAGTGCGAACCCACATATCAAGAAATGCACAGGTACATTAGATAATTACTCAATATAGATGTGGCTGAGCTCAAACATGTAAAAAAGACTTTATTAAGAATAATTGCCGTGTGGCGCAACACTGAAGCATGTGGTGCATACACATTAAAAACCAAAAACCAAATATCAAACAGTACATATAGCCAGCATACCGGTAGTTTCTGCATTATCTGTAAAAAAAGACATTAAAAGTCCAGCTTCTGTTCTAAATGTTACTTTATGTTTGGATTTCACCGAAAATTGATTGTGTTGTACATTTAACCCCATGCGCACGGGAAGCGGTCATGGCCGCGGCCGCTAATCCTCATTGGAATGCAGTTGCCAGCTGTGGTATGCCATGGCACACGGCTAGTGGGTAGTTCCACAGCTGCTGCTTTTGTGCAGTCCCGCTACCACACAAAGGCTGTGTAGTCATGCGGGCCACTTGCTCTATGTGTGGAGGAATGTCCCCATTACACCTTGTCCTTAAGGGGTTAAATCGCGCGAATACATGTGATAAAGTACGAAAACGTAAAATTTAAAAGTTAACTTTTTTTCCTTCTGCAGGGTTATATAAACCTTGAGCGCCTTGGCAGGCGTGGATACCACATACCCAAAGTTGGAACCATCCAGGCAGTAAGTCATGACCTTTGACCTTACTTCTGACCTGTACTGTGACCTCACACAGTCTGAAACCAACACTGTTTTGAAAGAAGCCTATCAAGTGGGTGCATGTACTGCAACAAAAACATGGCAGGCATTGAAAAATATTCTTATAAAATTCAATCATACTTGATATAAATAGGTCTTAGTAACTTTTTTGAGAGTAGTGCTAGTCCAGAAACCAGCTTCGAGTCTTTATTTGGGTTGAAATCATTGTGTTTGGGAAATCTTGGTGGAGGAAATGTATGAATCATGAAAAATGAAATGTGTAACCTGTTTTCCCCTTTTTGCAACAGACATTGTTTAATCCCAACAAGACTGTTGTCAAGATGTTTGTCATGCGGTACAACTTGGCCGACATGCCACCCAACTGCCAGACTTTTGCACGTCAGCGAATTTTCTACATGCCTAGCAATGCACAGCTTACTGATGACTGTGAGAAGGAACTTCGTTACCTCATACACATCAGGTATGGTTGCCCTCATTGGGATTGGATCTGTGACTGCCCTGGGATCTGACTTGAGGCTGCCCTGGGATCTGACTTGAGGCTGCCCTGGGATTTGACTTTGGACTGCCCTGGGATTTGACTTGGGACTGCCCTTGGATTTAACTTGGAACTAGCCTGGAATTTGACTTGGGACTAGCCTGGAATTTGACCTGAGACTGCCCTGGGATTTGACTTGGGCTGTCATGGGATTTGACCTGGGATTTGACTTGGGGCTGCCCTTGGATTTGACTTGTGACTGACCTGGGATTTGACTTGGGACTGCCCTGGGATTTGACTTGGGGCTGCCCTTGGATTTGACTTGTGACTGACCTGGGATTTGACTTGGGACTGCCCTTGGATTTGACTTGGGCCTGACCTGGGATTTGACTTGGGACTGCCCTGGGATTTGACCTGAGACTGCCCTGGGATTCGACTTGGGACTGCCCTTGGATTTGACTTGGGACTGCCCTGGGATTTGACTTGGGACTGACCTGGGATTTGACTTGGGACTAGCCTGGAATTTGACCTGAGACTGCCCTGGGATTTGATTTGGGACTGACCTTCGATTTGACTTGGGAATGCCCTGGGATTTGACTTGTGACATGGCCTGAAATTGCCTTGTTATAGTGACCTGGAATTTGAATTTTGAGATGGAATTCACAATAATCAGAATTGGATCAGCAGAAGAATTCTCCCCAAGAAGTCATTTATAGAAATCTGTCTTCTCCATCCTTATCAAAGTTTGCCTTACAGAAAGTTGCTGGCTAAGGCTAAATTTGTTTTGTTTTAATATTATTCATGCAGGTTTCAGAGCTCCAAGTCTGGCAAGATTTACCTGCACACAGACATCAGGATGATATTTGCCCGTCACAGCCCCGATTTGGAGTCTGCTCTGGGTACCTACGAACTTCGCTCTTTCACCGAGACTCCCACCAACCCACGGTTCTCTCCGAAGAAGCGATAACAGTTTGCCCGAACAGGTTTTTGTTTTACCTCAAGAAATTAATTTATTCAGTCCACATCATGAAGTGTTTATGGATTTCATGGATTTGATTCTCCTGAATTATGGATAAATCTTTGGATTTATTTATAAGGCTCATGAATTATTCATGAGCTGTTGTATGCACCTCTTTTAGCATTGCTTGACCATGATGTGTGTATGGTTTGTGTGTGGATAGTGAAGTGTGTGTAGCCTCTTTTGACAAACATGAGAGTCTTTAAACAGAGAACAAAACAATTTTTTGAAAAATCCTTGACATTTTCAAGACTTTTTAAAACAAATTTTCTCTGACTCCTCCCAAAATGATGTCATAATCCTGAGAGGAAGACTGCCAATTCAGGAGCAATACGATTGGAAAGCTTGCTTTGAAAATACTCAATGCAATATCTCTGGCTGGTTATATATACAAGAATCTTAAAAATTCATTTGGAAAATATGCCACCATACTGTTTTGGGGTGTTTTTTTTTTGTTAACAGAAACTTTTGTTTTTTGGACAAATTTCCAAGCAACCCATCTTTCTGGATGTCAAATTTATACATTTCAGCATCTAGGCAGTTTGTTTCAAAATAATTACCATTTATTATTTTTTTTAAACAAATAATTTTCAAGGTTTTTGTATCAGTTCCATCATGGCATCAAAGTTAGGATTAGATGCAAAGAATATTTTAAGATTTTGTTCTGTGTTTTGTCAATTTATTTTCACTTTTTTCTTTAATATATTGATCATCATTTATTTATTTTTATTTATTTTTTGGCGGGGCTGCTTTTAGTTTTGTGCAATAAACGGGTTGAGTAAAAGTTATTAGAACATTTGGCATTAATAATTTTTGAGTCAAAGTCACGAAAAATGAAAGTTATGATCTGGCAAGCCACTTTTAATTTTTTTTTTTTAAGTCCATTTGTTTATTTTATTATTTTGGAATTAATTTCACTATTTTTCAACTTGCTACCCTAACTACATTATGTATGGAGGTTTGTTTGAGAATGACATCTAGCAAAACAGATACAAATAGTCTGGTGCCCGGATTCACCGCTGATCTTCACAGATGTAAGCACTAGTGGCTTCTTGGAGCAAAGCCAAGATGGCTACTAAAGGTTGGCTCATTAACGATGGTTATTAATTATGTGTGCAAACTACTCTTTTATCAAGCTTTCTGAGCCTCCCCCAATAGCAAGAGGCAGTTTGAATTGTTTGAGTTTGGAGTTGAATAGAGATTGCTTTGAAGTTGACTTGTACAGTATTTCGAGATGATTAAATTGGATAAATATGTTTAATTTTTAAAGTGATACTTCTATTTATTTTTTAATTATGATAAAGTAATTATTAACAACAACAACAACAAAATAATGCACTGCCCAGTGCATGTGTGCCAATCTCCCTGTACCCCAATATTTAAACCAAAAAAATATAATACATTTTGTCATTGAATTGTAAGATACCATGATTAATTTGTACAAAATTGTAATCAGTTGGAATGTAGTGAGACTGAATCTGAGGTTTTAAACAACAAGGCACGGAGTCAAATATTTTGGCGCTGCTTAAAAATCACACTTTTTTTGCTTATAGATGGATTTGTTGTTGTTAATTTTTAGCTTTGTTCACAGAGAAAAGTACATTTTTAGAAGCATATTTGTAGAGTGATGCTCTGAAAGTAATCTCAATGTAACCACTTAGTCATATCCGTTGCTAAATCTAATATCGAACACGTGTTTTTTGTTGATTACAGCAACATTTTCTCTTACTTGTGGACTAGTAAAACTTGAAGGGTATTGGGCTTAAATTACCAAATACTTTTAGTTATCCCATGATGAGCACAAGTGGAACACGAAATGATGTAGTGCGTCCGTGTCTCATGTACCGCGAGGCCGACAGCCGAGGGGCATATGGAACATGGATGCACTGCAGTTTTCATGTTCATGCATTAGTGCGAGTGGGACAACGCATTTTATTGTTCAAGCAGACTTGATGCACAGTAGAGATACGTGTGTTCACATTTCAGCTGTTAACGCATTCACATCAATAGAGCAGGAAAACGTATATGGGTCATTCCACCGGGGTTGGGGAACAATGTGTGACATATGACCATATTATAAAAAAGCATGAATGCCTTGCTAGCAGTTGCTCTACATAATGTCTGTTGTTGGGTGTTTCACGACTGCAGAAAGTTTGAAATCATTTCAATGCATTTTGCCAAAAATATGAGCAAAAAAATGTCATTTTGGATGTAACATTGACACCGTGTCAGTGTTACATCCAAATACGACATTTGTACCTTTTTTTTTAAATTTCTGCGAAACATTACCCAAATTCACTTTGCGTACTTCTTACTATACATGCAACACAATAAGAAAAGCTTTTGTTATGGTAGTCAGGTATCAAATGGAGCAGAAATGATAGCTTGGTTGTGTGGACGTAACATTTACACGGTGTAAAACCCAATGTCACACTTCCATTGAGTGATTTTTACACCATTACATCCACACTTGAGGTATTGTTTCTGCTATATTTGAACCCTGACTATACCGAACAAAATCTTTTCTTGGTGCTTAGGTGTCCAGTTGTAAATATGCAATGTCAGTTTGGGTAATATTTTACATATGTGTAAAAAATGGCAAAAAAAGAATATTTGGATGTAACACGGTGTCAATGTTATGTCTGAATCAAAACATTTTTGCTCATATTTTGTCAAAGTACTTTCAAATGATTTCAAACTTTCTCAAGTATTGAAACACCCTCAGACAAATATTATGTTGAGCAATTGTTTAGAATGCATTGATACTTTTAATAATATAACCAAATATATGGATGTAACATGCACTTTTTCCCAACCCGGTGGAATGACCCATATATCGCAGAACAGTGAACGATACACACTGTGGAATTCAGACTGTGAAATAGGGGGTATTATACAATACCTGAATAAATCCACGTCATCTGATTGGTGGGTCATTGATCATATGTCATTGAATCGTTCGTCCCAACCTATGGCCCAGGCGCACTGCAAAAATAGAAGTTCTATTCCACGGTAAATAGAAGTTCCATTGCTTGGTCACGCGATTGGTGGCTCTCTGACCAATCAGATGACAAGGATTTATTCAGGCGTTGTATAAAAAAAAATAATGAATGATTCAAAGTCGTGCAATGGAAAGAATAATTTCCTTTAGTGACAGATGGAATGTTCTATTGCACTCGACTTCACGTCGTGGAATGCAACAATCCATCTGTCACCTCATGAAATTATTCTTACCATTGCACTCGTAAGCATTCATTATTTGTATAACACCACACTGTTGTTCCATGGATAGACCGAATCCGACTTGAGGATTCAAGCTTGCTTGAAGGTGAAGTCGTTTGGACATGGATTTGCAGTGCCTTGCTATGTGACCGTAGACTGTGAACTTATAACTGTACTGTGTACATGAAGATGCATGTTGAAATGTTGGAACAAGAAAAGTATTGACCATAGAGCTATATTAAATGAATAGAGCGCTAACTCCTCATTCTTGCGCGCGGAGACGCTTTGAAGCCGTCCTGGGCGCAGACATTTTGAATTCATGTTCGTGTTTGTAGAACGCAATGAAGTTAGATGGATTGAATTTTGAAAGTGTACTCTACATGCAACGCGCAAGTAGAACACATGCAAACAACTTAAGCGTGTCATGACAGTTCACAAAACGTCACGGCAAAAAGCATCTGCAGCGGATACACACGCGCGCGTTGCGTTGTTTGCGCAGGGCAACATTCATTTACTGATCATGCGTTTCAGTTTTGGGCGTATCAACTTCGGTAACGCACCTGTATAGAATACAAACGCAGATATGCAAATAGCCGTACAAAAGTCGTACAAAATTTCAAGTTTTCCATAGGTTTGTGCACAAATGTGGATGCACTTGCGCCCAGTAGGCATCACTTTGTACATGAGTCAGCGCTCTAATAACTTAATATAGCTCTGTGGTAACAGACACATATTTTTCTGTGTCCTAACAGTGGTGTATATGCTAACAGTATGACATGACGCATTGACAAAAAGTTTTGCTTGGTTAGATAAAATTTCTTGGTGTAAAACAGGTGTTTGTTCATTTGAGCATGCAGTGTCTTGTTCCACAACTTGTTTGTATGCACCTTTCATGAGACATATCAAGGGAACCAGGCATTTTCTATTAGTCTGTTTGCTGTATGGAGACACATTTCAATGAAGTCAGAGGTACAAGGCATGTACTCCATCTGTAAACAAAAGAAATGAATTGAACCGTACTGTGCATCATCAGTGTGCTCAAGAGTCGGTAAACTTTAATTCTCTCGTTAAAAAAAAAGAGAAATTAATTCTTCCCAGTGCAGTTAACGAAAAGCATGTGACAGTTATTGTTGCGAGGGAAGTGATGATATGGCTTCAGCACGACCATGCCGTGTTGAGTAGAGGAAAATATGACAAATAAAGTTGAACAAAGAATTGTCTGAAGCGGGGTTTGAACCTTTGACCTCCGGATTGCCGTTTTGGTGTTCTACCAATTGAGCTATCCAGCCCTATGTTGGCAGCGCCCCAGTTTCTCAATGTCTTTGTTCAAGGGGCACTGGTCAGAAGCCAAAACAAAACAAAAAAAATTGACAGATTTTGTTGGAATCACTTAAGTTAATAGAACAAATTACAATATGCTTATCATACTTACAATAATTTGATATACTGATAATTTTTTTTTTGTCATGTGGTTAAAAGGTGCATGCTATGTACAGTCAATGTGAAATAAAGTATTTATATTAGGATTAATTAATCAATTGATATCAAAGAGTTTTAATTTATCTGGAAGTAAGAATAAAGTATGTATTTATTCATATGTAGACCTCAATTACCCTGAAATGCTTCGTTTGTCTTATGATTTTTGTGTATGAAAGGTACAGTCCATCATTTGTAATTTGTGCATTATGTTCGTTTGAAGCAGCAAAAGTGCTCAAAATCTAAAGAAGGGTGCTTAACAAGATTAAGCTCAGTGAATGCTGTATATTCTGAGAAAAACATTCATGCACCGAACCGACAAATTACAGCAACCGTACGTGCGTGTGCGTCGAGTCAACGCTTGAAAATGGCTTTCTTTCATTGTTTTCTTCAAAATGACAGCTTGCCAGAAAGAATACTTTCACAGGAAGTTTAGTCCCATTACTGTCTCTAAACCGAGTATGCTTTTCAACGATAATTTCGTCAGTTACTTTTTGGAAAGCTGCAAATAATGGACTGTAGATATAATTCATGCAAGCCACGCAGATTCATTAAATTTAGGCAGAGTGGACCATTTGTAAATTGTACATTTTTGTTTTCATTTGAAGCAACAAAAGTGCTCAAAGTCTAACAAAAAGGGTGCTTAACCAATAACCTGATGAAGTTTTAGCTCTGTGAATGCTGTACCATCTGAGAAGACAATATTCCAGGATTTTGATTTCTATTCAAAAGTTGCCAAGGCATGTTCTGAATTGCGCCCAAAATTAGCATCTGGGACACGTTCTCATTCAGCTGATTGCAGCTACACTATATCACGCACTGAACCGAGGAATATTAGTGTGCATCGATTGTGTGCGTCGTGTGGACGCTTGCACGCACCCATTACAAACCAACTACTGACGGAAATTTCCAAAAAGTGTGTCACCTGACACATCTTTGGAAATGACCTTCTTTTATTGTTTTCTTCAGTATGACAGGATTAATTTCACGGGGAGTTAAGCGTCATTACTATCTTTAAGCTTTTTGACAGTATTTTGGTTGATCACTCTTTGGATAGCTGCAAACGGCCCACTCTACCGGCAATGCTGCACAAATGTAAGTATAAAACATTGCTTTACCAAAACTCTTAAACATGTTATAAAGGAAAACTACAACATTTGCAAACATCAAAAAACAAAAGTGAAACATTGTTATGAAATACCTTACTGGACTGTTAGTGAATGACAGTCTAACGCATCCTGTAAAATCGTGGCTCCTGGTGTGCTGTCAGTTTCAAGAAAAGTGGTATTTTTGTATGAATTTCCCATGCTGGTCGGACGTGTATTTGAAAAAAACTCGCTTTTTTCAAATACTGTCCCTAATTTGCCATATTTAGTTAGTCCGCATTTTTTTTGCAATCAATTACACACTTATGAACGGGTACAAGCCAGCTAGACTGGTTCCCTGGCCTTACAATTCCCCGACGTCTATAAATTGCTCCGTTTCATCTTGCATCAGGTCAGGGAACCGGACCACTAGAACATGATTGTTTTTCTTGGTTTTTCCAGCACCTACAAACACAAAATTTCAAACAAGTCAGTGTAACACTATTTCCTATAAAATACTAACCCCCAAATCCATCCATTTCTGTATATTACAGCAAAAGCAAATCTATATTCCCTTCAACAGAGATTTTGGATACAGAGATACAACATAACAGATAAGAGCGACAATGAACAGTTATATAATATTGAAGCCTTGCAGTGAAATAAAACTGCTGAAAGTTGAACTCATTCAAGCCGCAACTCTATCTTGACACCACTTTGTAAACTTAAAATATTTTTTTGGCGGAAAACATTTTATTTATATCATGTGCTTGGATACTGTAATTTCATATATCTAGGATGGCCACGTGTCTGGACAATAAAAATGCACGTCACACACTGAGGGTGATATCACATTGCATTCATTGCGCGCGTTGCGCACGCATGTGGAACCTGCCGCGCTTAGCTTTGCGCAATGAGAACTGCAACGTTAAACGTTCAGTCTCCTGTCCGGCAGAACATCAAAACCTTAAGTTATCAAAGGATGTCGCAGTGATTAAAGAGGTTGTGGAATGCTCGAAGACATTTCTGTCATTTTTGGGGTATATGTAGCCTAAGGTGTGATGAAATAAAAACGACTATTGTTTCTGTCATGAAATGAGTACAAAGGGTACTTTTGAGAGCTATTTTTCAGGTCCTGTTTCGACCCAAACGTGCAATTTGTGTAAAAGTCGTCGTTGCGGGCAGCAAACAAAACACAGTAAATCATGACGTAATAAACAGGACTCGTTTATGCTATTCTGCATCGGGAGTCCTGTTTATTACATCACGATTTACTGTTTTTTGTTTACTGCCCGCAACGACGACTTTTACACAAATTGCACGTTCGGGTCGAAACAGGCATGACAGGACTTGAAAAACAGCTCTCAAAAGTACCTTTTGTACTCATTTTATGACAGAAACAATAGTCGTTTTTATTTTATCACACTTAGGCTACATATACCCGAAAAATGACGGAAATGTCTTCGAGCATTCCACAACCTCTTTAAATATATCTCTCAGACAGTAAAATACCACCATTTATCTTTTTTAAGTTATTGGCACGATATAACAAAACAATTGTTGACTGCTGTGATGTGGGATATGCTGTTTTTAACCCCTCTGGGTGCATTCGCCTCGGGTGCTTTGCGCCCCTCGGGTGTTAAAAACGTCATATCCAACATCACAGCACGCAACAGTTGTTGAGTGTAACTGAAGACCAAGATGACGACACGCATCTGACTCTGCTGCCTGCTCAGTCGTCTGAAAAGAATTCTTCCTCACTTCCACTGTCATAGACCCTGCAAGCGTAGCATTTCCTCTGCAAAAAAAAAACAGGCAAAGGGAAAACAGGGCAGATTAAGCTGGGAGGGCATGCAGGAAGTCTGTGTGGCTCACAATTAAGTCACTTGTTCGAGATCCTAGGTCATTAAAACAAGGGCAAAATTTCATTGACGTGCTACGTTAAAATTCACTCGCAAGCAATACACGTTGCTTACCTTACAGTTGTTAACTTGTTTTTAATAATAATATTATTAATTAAGTGCATGTATCCACCAGTATTGGTGCTCAAAGCGCTACATCATTATTACCCCGGATTAGGCCAATGAAACATTCCAAAGACAATCTCAGCTCCCTGAGGAGTATACAGCTCGATGCTGCCATTTCAGCACAAATCAGCTCAAATCAATCGCAATAACCATCTCTGCCCTCACAGGTCCCCATCTACTACTGGGTGTGAAGAAGCAATGAGTGACAAGGGCGCACGCACCAAGCTGGACTCGAACCCTAGGCTGGATTCGAACCCACAACCTTCAGAATCTGTTTTTGCTGAGGAAATATTTCCCGTGTTTTAGCCAATTTCTGTGCACATATCAATTGAAATCCTCCGCTCATTTCACAGCTGTTTCCCGTATACCTCACCTTGACATCCTTCCAACAGTCCCCACAGTAGACAAAGTCGCATCCCTTTGTAGGACATTTCTGGAATCCGGCCTTCTCATAGTCCTCGCAGATGAGACACTGGCGTCGTCCTAGGTTTAAATATGCCAGACAGCAGCACAGGAGGGGGCAATGGGTACGTAGTGTTCGCATCGTGCCAATCTTGTCCTGATAAACAATGGAGACAGACTGGCATTCTAGAGTCACATCGAACTAAATTATTCCAAAGCTTTGAAAAGATCGCTGTTTGAAACTGTTTGAAACTGTTAGAGTTGATCAGAACGATCCTCTAAAGTCCAGTCAATGCCAACAAATACATTGAAGGCATATATATTTTGCTTTTTATGCATTTTGTTAGTTTCCAATAATAACTCCACTCAAAATCCAAAGAAGAATGTTCCAAACCCAGCCTGTTGAAGTTTCAGCTAGGTGGATGTTTTCTCACTTTTTTGAGAAAATAATGAAACACCATGCACAACCTCTTGATCACAAAACACGGTTTCCTTGTAAAGACTTTACAATGTATTTCCAAAAAAAAATCAGTCAATTGACTGGTCGTCGGAAATCACCTAGATTTCTTGATTTCTTCTAATGCCCCCCCCCCCCCAAAAAAGTCTCCGGTTTCTGGTATGGAGCTTGCCCAAAAAGTGGTGCGGCGACGCAGCTTTTTTTTTTTTTACCTGATTTTTTTTGCCTAAAATGTCGGTTGATGACTGCAAATGGTGCCCGACTAATTAACTTAGTGCAAATATATGGGAGTCCAGAGAGGCCACATAAAGCTTATTCTCGATCATAACCCCATCCAAAACACGTTAAAATTGTGCAGCAGCAGGATTCCAGTCAAACCAGTGAGTTTGGCGGTTTTGAGACATCATCTTTCATTGAAAAAAAACTTTTTCATTTTGCCGACGCGCATGGCTACGGCGACACACGCGCATACCAGAAACCAGAAACTTTTTTTTTTGGCCTAATGCAATGTAATACAATGTATGACAAGTTCTGACTGGTTAAAAACCTTTGCATGTCAACAGAACTCATCTTATAACCACGCATACTTACCGCCAACTTTTGCTCCCTGGCGAGTTGTCTCACCTTCAACCTCATGAATTTTAGGAAACCTACTCTCTTCTTGAGTGTCTCATTGTACAGGAACAGGATGCGCTGTTTCTCTTTCTGTTGTCAGACAAAATTTGAAATGGTGAAGAATAAGATGTTGAAAGGGAATCAATGAGCAGTTTTACACATATGTTATCAATTAGGAGCCTGCACTGGACACAAATAATAGCAACCTTGGACAAAGATGTTTTATTCTCCATCCTAAAATACAAATAAATGTAAAACAACTTGAGTCGTGTTTCAGGTGTTTTCCATTTGTCCCTGTAATATAACACTCTCCCATACACTGTTTCCAACAAAAGACCCAACTCCCTTTGTGTGTCAGTCCTGGGGGGGGGGGGGGGGTGTAGAACACGTTCAGACAGTACATGTTTATATAGGAGTCCACAAAATGGCTCCCGAAGATTAGACAAACTGCTCTAATACCTTTGGGAAGAAGTAGGCACAGATGATATGCCTTAATCTCAGGCCATAGGCTTGCAAGTACAAAAGTAACCAAACACCACATAGCACACTGCCTATCATCATCATCATCTCCTGATCCGGTGGGTTGGGATTGGGCAGACATTCTACAATTCAGGAAAAGACATCGGTATTAGAAACAGAAATACAACTCTTTCTTTTTTGCAGGGGGGGGGGATGTTTCTCCTATCTCACTCAAACAAGTCTGAGTGAGAGTTTTGGTTAACCAACTGGTTACAATAGCCACATGAGAATCACAACTGACCTATCGCCGTTTGTGAGTTAGCCACACCCCTGAAAGTTCGTCAGGTTAATTGTTCAGCACTCTTCTTTAGAATTTGAGCACTTTTGTTGCACTTCAAATGAACAAAATGCACAAATTACAAATGATGGACGGTACCTTTAAGAGTGGCAATGGCAGACGAGATGTATATACGTACGTTTGTTGGTGCTCAGCTTGTCTATCGAATGTTTCTGGTCAAACGTCATCAGAACTTTTCTAAAGAGTTTAGCAATGGTCCCAGTGCCTAGGACTGCAAGGCGCAGAGTATGCTCTCCTGTAAGAAAAAGTCATGATTATAAAAATAATTCATTCATATAATTTCTTGCAAGTTCTGCCATGTAAATAGTAAAAGTTCAGTACATTGTATTGCTCGATTGGGGATGTATTTTACCACATAGTCAGTCACAGCACAAAATCTTTTACTTGGTTGAAACCTAGAAAAGACTAATTAAGACCGTAACACAATAAGACTTTGTTCACATACTTCATTTTTTAAACCAAAAAGTAAAAGCAATTAAAGTCTGCTCTCAGCCAACACGGTTCGTCAACTCGGCATTTCTGCCGCGTGAAACAAGTAAAAAGTTGTATTTCTTCTGGATGGGACGCCAGGCCATCACTGCTTATATACTTTCCCAGCTAATGCTGGTTCCAATTTATACTCCTTTGTGGAGAGAGGCAAGTTGGGGTGAAGTGGCTTGCCCAAGGACACAACATAATGGCCAGCAGCTGGATTTGAATCATGAGCCACAAAAAGCTCACCTTTAAAGGTATAGTCTACGTGACTGTGTCGCCGGATGAGATCCAGCAGGTTGTAGAAAAGACTGTCGAAGAACATTAAGACGACTGTCACAATCACCTGCATTAGGAGTCGTATCGAGCCTACAGCCTGGCCAATAAAAAACAATTCATAAGACATTAAAGAACAAAGGAAATAAGGAAAATTTCTTTTCAAATTGAAATCCTCACTAAAACTGACAATTTCTAGGTTCTAGCTGTTCAGTGAAACTGCATGGCCTGAAAAGTCCGAGTACTAATTTCCACTGATTACATGGGTACATCAGGCGCGGTTCTACAGGGGGGGGGACTAGGGGTTGCTTTAGCCCCCCCCCCAAAAAACTTTTGTTTAGCCCCCCCCCCCAAAAAAATTGCCCCCCCCCAAAAAAAAATGAAATACCAAAGAGCAAATGTTACAAGGTGACGTGCATGCAAACAGTCTACCTCTCCCCCCCCCCCCCCCAAAAAAAAGTAAAAAATAAAAAAAATATTCGCTATAGCAGCCAGGCGCAGATAGTGCAAGATTGTAGGATATTTGATCAGCACTCCAAATTGAAAATATGGTACGAGCCCTCCCCCCCCCCCCCCCCCCCCCCCCTTATTGATTTTCGGAGCCCTAAAAGTCTCCAGAGAAAAATACCGGTCTACATTTCAGCACGCCCCCCTACAAAATTTGTTTGATCACCACTGCTAGCCCCCCTAAAATATAGCCTCTAGAACCGCGCCTTGGGTACACGTATCTGTTTCTGCTTTAGGGCAATTCTTAAAATTATTTGCGCCTTCAAACCTGTGTTGTACCCAAGTCCATCGCGAGTCCCATCGCGAGTCCCAACCCACATAATGTAGATAGGCAACTTTTGAATTTAAAAACAACAGATTCACTTACCATATTTTTCTTCTCCTGCCTTCTCAGTTTCCAGCGAGCCGCTTCGATGATGTCATTGGACTCCATTTTCTTCTGGGGAAGAAGGGTCCTCTTTTTCTGCGCAAACCAAGACCGGCAACAGAATAAAAATCAGTGAGAAGTTTGAGAGAGAAAAAAGTCAATGAGAGCTGTTGCGAAACATTTAGTACAAAGGAAAAGGGAAGAGGAACAAAAGAACATGCACGCACACCCAAGCACGCTTGCTCTTACATGGCTTTATGACCGAGGATCACACACAAAGGGAGCACAACGGTTCTTTTGTGGTCTCGATCGAAGGTCCCTTTGTCCTCGATTGCCGGTCTGCGCACTTAGTCTATGGGAAAGGTTTAGATAAGGGAACAAAGGAAAACACAAAGCTGATCCTCGGAAGCATAGCAAAAAACTACTGCGTGTTTATGGTGTAAATTGAGGATTTTATATTGATCTCTCATTGGTTTTGTACACATTTTCTAATCGAGGTCGTCCTCAATTTGGTTCCTGTCCTCGATAAGCCTCTGTACTGATGACGCCACGCTTTGTTTACGTGCGTGCTTTCCTATGGTGCTCAGTGGACCGTGGGCCCCCACTGGCTCCATAGGAAAGTGCACATGTAAACAAAGTGTGACGTCATCAGGCTTATTCATCAAGGATTTTGCATGTGTGTGTCCTCGATTAGGGTTCGTGACTCATAATCAGAGGGTCAGGGGTTCAAATCCTGTTGCTGGCCATACGTTGCGTCCTTGGGCAAGTCACTAAACAACCACTGGCCTCACTCCACCCAGGAGTATAAATGGGTACCTGCGATGGACTTGATACCTCTATCCAGGGGAAATAGAATCAGAAGTTATTGCATCAATCCCAAACTATTATTCTTGTGACTTTATTTTTTGTTTAAGGCTTGCCTGCTTTCTTCTCCTGGCATCCAGTTTTCTGAAGTAAGCTGTCAGGTAGACATTGTCAAAGCTGATGTTGGTCAGATACTGGGAACTGTAGTTGCTGGCACTGCAACAGAAAATAAATTATCCCAAATAGATGACCATTGTGCCTCTATAACACATTAAGACGCATGGCATACTTGCAGGGATTAGAGATGGGAGTTAATTAGGAGTTTCTTCAAGAAGTTAATGACTTTACTCTCGTTTTGATGTTGTAACATGTGCTTCAGTTTACTTCACTGTCTGTTCAAATATGTCAAAGGCACTCAGAATGGAATTCAATACCAAGCATTGAACCATATTGAAACAACTCCCCAACTTCACAATTGGGACCATATTTTACAGATTAAATAGGTGTCCAGGTTAGCCCTGGTGGACTCCCTTTCCTCCCTACGTTACGGAGGGAGTCCTGAGTACACATGTGATCACAACCGAACGAAAACGAACCGAACGAATTTCTTACCAATAATTTCCATATTTTTACCTTGTTGGAGAAGCTAAATTTACGTCGTAGTATTCTATGTGTCCTTATCTGTTAGTACGCTGGGTTCAGGAATTCCATATGCGATGCTGACTGACGTCAATCAGGAAAATAAACTCGAAAGCATCGTTAAACTTGTACGTGTTTAGTCTCTTTTCATCAGTTTCTCACCGCCGAGTCTATTCTAGTCGTACATCATACCATGAACGTCTGTGCAGCGTGTAGTCTGGTTCCCTAGACCGGACAATTATTCTCGACGCTCATATCACATCTGGTCCGAGGGACAGACTATGCCGCATGAATATGCAGTGCGCACGCGCGATTTGCTTAGTAACCACCCTCATACGCACGCGCACTTACTTGAAGGCGCGGTCGCTAATCCAATGACCGAGCGTGTTTTCGCGCCTGTTACCAGAAACACGTTTCGGCTTTGGTCATTGGTTGAGCGTTTTCGTGACATCGGTTGGCTGGAGTGACGTCACGGTTCCAACCAAAACTAAACAAATGAGGGCGCTAGCGTGCGTGCGCGCTTTCGGATCGTACGCACGTACATTTTGTACATGTACATGTACATTGTACATTATGCATGACGTACGACTCTGGGAATAAACTGATGAAAAGAGACTACAAACACGTACAAGTTTAACGTTGCTTTTGAGTTTATTTTCCTGATTAACGTCAGTCAGCATCGCATATGGAATTCCTGAACCCAGTGGCCAATAGATAAGGATACATAGAGTATGTAGGCGTGAAATAAGCTTCTATAACGAGGTAAAACATAACAAAACTCTGGTAAAAATGTTGGGATGGTTTCATGTAGAAAAGTCTTGTCCTGGACGTTAGTCGTATTGCAATGAAGACTTCGTCCAACCTGGGCTAGTGTCCAGGTCAGTAAGTAGGCATCTTAAAAATCTTTGTAATATGATTTTGGCCCCTTGAGGTATTTGACCTCCTAAATGACTTAAGTCTTCAACCTCTTGTATACACTTCACCTTTTGAAAACCAGGATGAACGTAAACGACAGGAAGATTTTGGCCAGAACTGTGATGGCCTCAAACCACTGCTGGCGGACCCTTATCTCGTACGCCATCCTGGCCTGCAGATCAGTGATGGAAGTGCCATTCAGAATGTCCGGGAACTTGGTCACCTGATTAGCAAAAACACAACAACTTTGCTATAATAAGTAGGGGGAAAATCAAGGTACAACATCATTGTTACCCCTGCTCATTGGACCCACTTGGACCCAACTTCCAAACGCCATTAGCTCGATGCTGCCATTTTGGTAGTCTAGGTTAGACCCTGCATGGCCCTGGCGAGGCCGACCGATGGTCAACTATACGTAAACAAATTCGGCGATTAATATTATGCAAATGGACTGCGTACGACCTCGAGAAACTGACCAATCAGAATTCTATACGGGCATAATCAATTCTATAGGCACGTAATTGGAGCTCTCCGCACGAGTAGCATTTTTGTATAGGTTGTTGTGTTGCAAAAACGCGACATCGAAATCGACCAATCACAATCTCAGTCCTGAATGGTTTCGGAATGAAATGACGTCATGCATGCTTAGTTATATTAGATGTTACTTGTTAGACAGGAGACTGGGCTACTTGGTAAGGGGCGATACTCAGACTACCATTTTGGTGCAAAGCAGCTAAAATCAATCACAGTATGCATCTCTGCCCTCACAGGTACCGTCCCTTTGGGTGGGGACAAGCAATTATGGTGACAAAGTGTCTTGCCCAAGGATGAACGCATCACATCACAATGCCTCAAGTTAGACTCATGTCCACAACCTGAAGAATATTATACCCAGTGATCTTGAGTTTGATGCTTAATTCAGACAGTGAGATCACGGCACTCCACTCTACTGCCTCCACTCAAACTTACTTGCCACTTGAGATCAACCTTGAAGTTGGTGTCTAAGTTATGGACCCCGCCTCGTAGTATCATGTACATCTCGCCCAGACCGGTAGGGGCTTCAGGAATATGCTTACAGATGAACTCAAACACTGCAATTAAGCCAAGTCAAAAGAAAGCATCGTCAGATTTCACGGTGGAGTTTCGTCATTGTTCACGAGAGCTCCGGTGCAGGGAGGCCTAAGACACACTCTGCTTTCTTTGGCCCTTAATTAAAGTACATGTGGGAAATAAATTAGTATTAAACTGCACAAACAAGTTGCACCTATTGTTAGCGTCAGTTGCAATCAGCAGCGTAACTAGGATTAAGCTTCAAGGGGCACCTATTGGTGAACCAGTTTTTAATAGGGGTACTGAAGGCTATTGTTTTTGTTCAATTCAAGATTTCAAATTGGGGGGGGGGAGGGACGGACCTCCACTGGGGGGCACCCCCCCCCCCCCCCCCCCCACACCCCATAGTTATGCCACTGCATGGGTGCCTTTGGTTATGCGTCCAAGGGTCCATCCCAGTGGTCTGGGATTTCTTGTGTGTACTGTGATACATGTACATTGTTCGTGATTTCTATTAAAAAAGTAAACTGAGAATGGAATACTTACAGTAGATCAAATCGCACATTTTTTGAAATTTTAGAGGAAAACAGAAGAGCTTCGCCACTACACCATCTGCCTCGTCCCAGCATTTATCAAACATTGCACCGTATTCCCTTCTGCATTTAGACAATCCAGCATCAAACAAAGCTGCAAATAAAAAAAACGATTTTGTTCTCATTGTTTATTACTGATTGAGTCCAATTTCGAATCACATGTTAGTTTAAGCAACCTGTATTCACTCTGTTCTGAATTCTGATTCAGTCACTTAATTGTTGTCGTTTGGTCTAAACTTAGGATCACTCAAATAAAAGCTTCAAGTTTTTCCAATCAAATCATTCTGTCTTTCCCATCAGACCTGCATGTCAGTCAAACACCAGCTTTTGTTCATATTTTTAGGGGGGCGGGAAACAGTCTAATCACGGCATAGCTCGTCACACTTGGTCACAAGCACTGTGAGGCATGTACACTAACCATGCCAAAGGTGGCTGGGCTTTTAGCCAATCAAGAATAGTCTAGGGTGGCTTGATTTGGGTGCATACCTATGTTCCCCGATACATATGTTCCCCAACCCTAACCCTAGCCATCTAACTATTACCCTTACCCTAAGGAGGAGTTTGGGTAACACACATGTAGGTATGGGGAACATATGTATTGGGAAACATCGGGTAGACCCCGCTTGTTTTTTACGCCACTTGGCTATGCGCCTATGGTGGTGGCTGCAGCCACTACTCGTATACCCTGTGTGTTATTTCCAGCCGCCGAGTGATTCAGACACGGTCAAATTAGTCAGGGCTTGCTAAGTCTCAAGTCACTCAGTGGTATTACTTTTGTATCACAAAGACTCGATTATCATTCATTGTGAACGGTGAACAAACAGCTCAATCACTGAGTGAGATTTGGATCTTTTGCAAAACAATCAGGCCTGTATTGATAGAGTCCAAAACTAGGTCCAAACTCTCAAGTCCCTCTTCACCAGTTCAATGTTAAAACACACTAAGTCATAAGTCCAGTTTCAAATGAAAAAAAAAAGTTTCATGTTCAGTTAGATGCTTCAGAAGAAAGCCTATTTCAGTTTTACATGCTACGAGGACAAAACCCGCGGGAGAAATGACAGCCTTACATTGGCATCTCTCCCCATTCCTGAAGACGTAAGACTTCACAACACTGTCCGCTGTATGCTTTTTATTGAACTTCTTCCTCTCTTCTCCTGTCTTTTCATCCTCGTGCTGGCCTTCCAACTCATCCTCAAGATCTACAAACTCCTGTTGGACTTTTTGGGCCTCATCCTGAATCTCTTCACTCTTGCCCTGTGTGTTTTTTACATAAAATATGGGTAATAGATTGCGTGAAATAATGCGATCAAGCTAAATGAGTCGTTTGTCGGGAACTTTCATTTGGAGATACAGGCCAAAATAGGGCCACTTCATCACATCACTTCATCACATCTCTTGATGTTCAAACTTCCATACTTTTTATAAATAAAGATGGTACCAGCATGCGGTTTTAACATCGGTTATGCTGAGATTGTGCTCTTTTTTAAATTTGTAAAAAATATTGACCAGGGTCGACAAACGACTCATCTAGCTTGATCGCATCACATATTGCCAAGCTGCCTCTTTGCACATAGACTTCAATATGTTGTAGGCAAGAGGCAGTACGTACTGCTTGTGTAAAAGGCAATATGACATTTTCGCCCTTATCATCAGAAGAAGCCTATGGCTGATTTTTTTCAACCATTGTTCTGATTTATAAAAGGCTGCGTTAAAATTAACAGCCTTCCCATTTGTGAATAAATGTATGTACAATTCCAATCACTCTTTAAATTAAAGATGTATACTGTTGAGCTAGATGTTCTTTACTTGCTATTTGTAATAATTTTTGCAACAGTTTTTGGTTGAATGACATACATATTTTACAAATTATTTATGAAGCCTTTCTCAGTGGGTTGCAGATGCCCAAATTTGTGAAAAAATCCCCCCCCCCCCATTAATAAAAACCTACAAATTGAAAACTCACACTTCTTTTGGAGAAAACATCAAAGAGTCAGATAGTACACTTAATTAAAACATATTGGGTGTTTTTTTTTAAAGTTCTTACATAAACAAATTTGGAATTTATTCGAAATGCTACTACGTATACTGTCCAACTAAATGATTACATTATTTTATTGGGCTTAATGACCTTAAATACTCTTATCTCTAATCTTAACAATCCCATCTCTAATCTCAACAATCCCATCTCTAATCTTAACTACCTTTCTCTCCCTCTCCCCACCATTGACTTTGTCCTTTGTGTTCCCCACCTTTTGTGGTCAACCATTCCCTTCCCCCAATCCCCCTCCCTTTTGTTACCCTCCTTTCTGTTCAGCCAACTGCTTTCTCTGTGTATTTTCCTCTGCATCATCTATTTCCACTTGACTGCTTTTGTTACATCAGTAATGTATACATGTACCTGTTTATGTTTATAGTCTTATCATTTAGCCTTCGAGGAAGACTCTGCTAGGGTCGAAACGTCAGGCCACTAACTATTTTTGTACATTATTTTATTATTACATTTTTTTTGGGGGGGGGGGGAATCCAACCAATCTGCCTTTTTTCTGCTAGCTGGGCTTAATGACCTTAAATACTCTTATCTCTAATCTTAACAATCCCATCGCTAATCTTAATAATCTAATCCCATACAAATCTTATCTCTTCCTACCCCAACATTTTGGAAGGCATCTTGGAAGGGTTTGTGGAGGAGAGTGAAGAGTTCTTTACTGTGGTTGAATGTCAGCGAGGCGGTGCATTGGATGGCGCGAGCAGATTCCCTAGAATTCCTCACAATGTTGTTGACGGGACCTGGTGGAAATGTTCCAAAAAAAGTTGCAAATTTAGTGCGATAAGCAAAAGCACTCAACTTTATTTTGGATAGGCCCCCCCCCCCAAAAGAAAGATGGCATTTTTCATCTTCCAATTTCATCCACTCATCACTACCGCACATAAACGATGCTCTTTTACACTTTACAGTAACACTGTTTGTTTATCCTCCCCTCGGAGAGCCTTTAGTCATTCTGATTGGCCAAAGTTTCAGCACACAATTTGCTTGAGCTTTCCAATTGGTTAGATCTTTTGCATAATTGGATGTCCATGACCAATCAAAGCCTCCACAAGTATACACGTGCCGTGCGCACGGCTCCCATTCAGTTCAGTTCGTTCTCAACAAAGAATTTCTCATAAAATGGGCAGAAATTCTTGGGGGCGTTAGCAAAAAAAAAACGTTGCTACGTTTTGTAGGATCGTTAACAACAAAGAGGTTAAAACATAATTTGGTGACACTTAAGGACCATAATTTTACCGGAAAGTAACAGTACGAAGGCGAAGGAGGCAAGAAGACTTCTCCCGTAACGGCTGAAGAAGTTTGGAATGACGAGGACCATTATACACCGCAGCTGGAGCGACAAGGCGAAGCCTGCCGCTAACACGAGGGTGAAGACCGCGCCGAATGCCTCACGACCGTCTTCTGGTAGGGCGGTGATGCGATTGATTATGAAGACATGGAGGGCTAAAAAAAGTATCATCAATGGGAAAATGTCGGTTCTTGAGTGAAATGTACATGTGTACATTAAAAAAATGCATTATATTAACATAGTCAGGAAACACACAGGGCCTATACTATAGGTAATACTAATAGCCCAGGTTGGACGTCTTCATTGCATTATGACTGACGTAACGTAGGGAGGTATTGAGTCCACCTGGGCTACAATATGGGTACAAAATGATTTCGTAAACACGTTTTAGGCTAATCAATGATTCCAACGTTTTATACAAAATTTCCAATTTGTTTAAACTGCTATCCAAAATCGTTACTGAGGGCGGAAATCACTGCACTTTTGTTTAGACTTACCTACACCGAGGAGGCCTCCGAAGCCAAGTCCCAAGACCGTCTTGACGACAATAAACTTTAAGGTATTGGTATCTCCCCAGAGGAGGCAGTACACACATGGGCAGCAATTATAAAGGACCCGCTTCACAGCTGACACACATGACAAAATAATAATAAAAATGAAATCGCTTTCTCGTGAGGCCGAAGCACAAAATGAACATAACTTTCGACACGGCAAATTTCACAACAGCCAGTTGAAACTTACCGGGCACGCATTTATCAAAGAACCCGATCAGGCAGCTCATATTTTATGCCGACAATATTCAACGATGCCTGTCAGAACAAAACAAGTTGAGTCATAACTGAATTTCCTGAAAATACTGAATAAGTTGAAGGATCTGAAACTCCATTGGGCCATACGCGCGACGGACTGCACTGAATTTGAAATGATGTTCCGCGTGCGAGTTCCGCGATCTGTCCGGCCGTACGCGTCATTGATCATATCAAAAGAATAAATAACTCAATTTATTCATTATTTTTGATATCTAAATGTAGGCCTACGCGCGTGGCCGGCCAACGCGTGTGCGCGCGTGCGCGCCGCTGAGCTGAGCTGCTACACTTCAGCAAGTGTTCTGGCCGCTCCCTCCTCGGCCTCCTACGTGACGTATTTCCTGGGCAATTGTTTTAGTGTTTCGTTTTTTTTTCCAGTATAAAAAGGGGTTTAGATTTGGTTGACTAAAATATGCTTTATGAACCAAAATGAAAACACAACCTCGGTCGGTTTTGTTTTATTTGTGTTCTATACACCATTGTGTTCGTTTTGGATAGGAATTGTTGAGGATTTGTTGTTATTTTTATTTACGTACAAATAGTGTAACGTGGGTGAAAATGAGATGTTACAATATAGGTTGATAATTTACGTCATCGCCTATATAAGTAGTGCAACACAACAGGCGCAGTTCTAGAGCCAATATTTGGGGCGGGGGAGGGGGGGGGGGGGCTAGCAGGGTGGATCCAGATTTTTTTTCAGGGAGGCGCGCGACTGCCGAAAATCAACAAATGAGGGGAAGGGGGTGGGGGGGGGGGGGGGGCTCGTGCCATATTTTCAATGGGGAGCGCTGATATGATAAAATCCTACAATCAGGCACACTATATTAACTAAAAGTGTACAATTAAATGCACCCGTCTCTATTTATTTAGGGGAGACCGTTCACATGTACGTCACATTCTTACACTTTGCTGGTGCAATTTTTTTTTATGGAACCAAAACCAAAACCAAAACAAACGAAACGTATACGTCACCTTTAGCAGCTAGCATGCCGCTAATTTAATTAATCGAAACAAGTTTCGTAAACTAGATGTAAAAGTCAAAGCTTCTTACACACGGAATTAAATTATCGTTTGAACCCCTAAATGCTTTAAAAAAGTTAACAAAAAATGAAAGTCATTCTTTAACAATTTTGAGAAAATATGAATAACGACTGACGGCGAGTTTTTTTTTTTTTTAAATACATCATGGAAGGTAATCATTTGCAGGATCGGCGGGCTATTTTCGTATCTGTAAATTGTTATTTGTATCTGCAGGATACTTTCGTTCGTATTGACACTATTTTATTAGAGAATGACGCACGCATTGTTTTCGTTATTTATCCATACATGAAGAAATGACGTACTGGCTACATTAAAAATAAAGGTTGGCGAAAAAGCTCGGTTTCCCCTTCAAATATAGAACCGCCCACCGTACCTCGTAGTTTCGGTTTCGCAACAGTGGAATATTGTTGAGGGCGCTATAACATTTTAAGGGCGCAATATGCACTGGTAGTCTTCAGTCTGCATTGTGATATCAGGCGTGGATCATGTTTACCAGGCAAAAAACTGAGTTTCCGGTATTTTGTAGCCATGAAGTCGAGTGACTGACGGCCGATCGCCCGATTCCAATATTCCAAAAAACGCATTTTTTTCGGAAAGTATGTGCAATATACGGCCAAACGACAATTTATTGAACAGTTGTTCTCATTGACGTCAATATTAACTTTGTAAACGACCATTCAGAAAGTATATGAGGCAGTTTTCTTCATTTAGGCTGTAGTGTCGATCATCGACGTTCGCGGGTCCACCACACGAGAGAGCGTAACACTAACACGGAATAGGCGCTAGGCCGGCGCTCGTGTTTATTGGTGTCGGCCCCCTAGGAAGATGGCGGACGCTGCCGTGGCGCCGGCAGCGGCCAAACCGCCGAAATTAACTCAAGAACGGGACAGAGAACGCACCATTTCGGGAAATAGTCGTAAGTAGTTTGCCACAGTGTCACATATTGTGAGATTTGTAGGGAAAAGAAATATCCTGACGTAGCTAGTACTGAGTGGAGCGCTGAATTACGGGTACCCCAAATGTCCATACTAGCGCTCCACGTCCACCGATTCACCATACTTTGGTAGCACCATCACAGTAGCATAGTCACAAACCCACGCGAGGACAAAAAGACCCCAAAAAACCGGTAAAGAGATTACAAATGAGAGAGACAGTTATCCTGGATTGATCTATACATTCTTGACATCCCATGAGACCCCTTATATTGTTCCCAAACAGCGAACATTTTGGAAGAAAACAGGAAAATAGTCTGAAAACTTACAGTTCAATGTGTTTGCATGGAGGTTCAGTTCTTGAATTAGCTTGTCGCTGAGGGCGTCTGATGTGACGTCACCGTCGTTGCTCGATCGATCGCGAAGAAAAACAAGTCGCGCTTTATCAACGACTGTTTCGTGTAATGATACGTGCTCCGATCCGCGCCGTACGACAGTATGGGCTTTGAACACACCCAGGGTGGAGACGTCATTAATTTGTTTAGAACGTGTACGTTTCAGCCGTCTCCACCTTGGGTGTGTTCAAAGCCCATACTGTCGTACGGCGCGGATTTTACCCCCAAACCCTGCCCTCTATCTATGACATAGGCCTACCTGTTTACTCTTATAATGTCGCCAACTAGTTTGGTCAGTCTATTTTAATTAAAGTGGATTTTGTTCCCTTTTTATAGGAACCGGGTCCATAGTATACACGATCGCCAGAAAAAAATCCGGTCTCCACAAAATGGTCCTTTTCCCTTCTATTATCCCAACCCAGATTCCATGTACATACCTCAAACGACTGTTTTATGCGTTACGCATTTCACAGTGAGTGCCTTCTGCGTTTACAATAATTTACATTGCCAGATCATGTTTACATGTCCTCCGGCATTAACTGGTTAAATTAGGTAAAAAATAACCATTGCTGTCTTGCAATTAGTTTGAAGTTATAGACCTTTAGTTTCTATTGTTTGTAAACATTGAGGGCTATTTTGTATGGGCTGCTGCAAGCGCATAAATTGAAGCCGTGGTTGGCAACATACATTTGTATTTTTCAAAAAAAGTCTTCATAGCACCCTCATTACATAAGAAAAAGACATATTTGGGAATTGTTATGTAGTGTTTGACTTTGTTTATAATTTTGTTATTTCAACAATCAAGTAGTATTTTGGTAATCATAAAATTACTATTCTTCATTTTTGCAGTGTTGGACCTTCCATAGTTGGTAAAATGTGCCAACCAGGCATCGGCTATAGAAAGGTCTATTCTTAGTGTGCATTCATTATGCACTCGCATGTGCTCTCTGTGTGTGTCAGTTGACAAGATTACGTTGTCAATCACAAACATGTATGGTAATTTTTTTAAGGATGTGTGACAATTTTAAAACAAAGATGTAATTCACACTCTAGCCCCAACTGTAAACAACATTCAGGATTCAGGATTTCCTGATACACACGTATGTAAACATTACATGCATTTTTAACATTTTAATTTGGTAGTTAGTGTATTCCTCATAAACACATGATAAAAACATGAAAGGATTTTCTTTTGAGTTTGAACTAAGTTGAAAATATTTTGTCCGAATTTTCTGTCCTTTCCCTGTTTATATATTGTAATTTACTACATGTACGTGCTAGTAACGAAATGTTAAAGCCAGTTCTCCTTTGTTTCTGGCTCAAATTATGATGCTTTGGCCACCTTACTGTCTCACATCGGCTCAATTTCACGGCGCTGCTAAGCACACAATTTTCTGTTAACAGAGCCTCCATCTATTTCATGGAGACAAGCATAACCACAGCAAAAGGCACGCTTACAGAAATTTCCATGCATGCGCGACTGTTAGCACATCACGCGGAAAGAATGTTGCAACCTGACGCTACTTCAGCGGCTGTGTACAAAGTCTGTGGAGAGTCAAGAAAGTTTTCTAAGTATTTCCTAACAAAATTGGAAATGTTTCTCAGTCCCAGATTCATGTCTTATCATCATTTTTGCAACCACTGACCTCCATTGAGTTGTTATATGAAGAAAAAAGCAGCGTCAGGTTGCAACATTCTTTCCCATCGCTCTGTGAAATAGTGCTTAAGGTGAGCAAATTTCTCTGCTAGAGAATCATATGCTAAGCACAACTTTTCTGCTAACTGTTAAGCAGCGCCGTGGAATGGGCCCTGAGCTTGTATCAGTCTGGGGCCACAAAACGTGAGCACCAAACAGCCCTCCCACCAAAAAAAAAAACCCCAAAAACAAAAAAAAACAAATGCAAATATATGCCAAGTAAAATCAGGCCAATTATAAATTAAAGCTATAGTCCATCATTTGCAGCCATCCGAAAAGTAACTGGCGTAATTATTGTTGAAAAACAAACTTGGTTGAAAGATAGTAAGGGAACTAAACTCCCTGTGAAATTATTCCTTCTGGGACAATGTGGAAAGGTGTCATTTTGAAGTAATCAATGAAAGAAGGCATTTCCAACGGTGATTCTTAAGAAGCACCGTAGGAAAATTTAAATTAGTAGTTCGTTTTGTTATTCAGCGCAGCGCGCACAAGTATTGGAACGACGCACATGCGCGCGCAGTTATAATTCGTCGGATCAGTGCGCTACGTTGCGTATGGCTGCAATTCAAAACAATTCAAAACATGATTCAGTAACTTTTGATTTGAAATTGAGATCTTAGAATGCTGTTTTTCTCGATATGTACAGCTGAAGCTTAGCTGAAACTTCATCAGGTTAGTTGCTCAGTATCCTTCATTAGATTTTGAACCCTTTTGTTGCTTCAAACGAACAAAATGCACAAATTACAAATGATGGACTATAGCTTTAAATACATACACACATGCTGCCATTACATGTCTTGATAGTTTATATACACACTCATGCCGCCATGTTTTATTTGTTTTCATGGGAAAACATAAAACCATCGAACACTTACTGGGTAGTTTGTTACTTTTGTATCCTGGATAGGCCCAGTATGCATACATTTTGCGTTAAGATATTACCATACAGTACTTGTACCCTATAAACACCACTAGCGCAGTTTTACATGTCATGCACTTTGCCTTGCCTTGCAACTGTTTCAAAGTCCATCTCTTGTCAGTGCATACTACATGTACACATGTGAGTACATGTGGGGAGATTCTGTTGACATTGTGTGTTATCTTGTTTTGAAGGGAGGGGCGTGTAATTGAATATTTGGGTGTAGACCAGAGTTGGAAATTGATACAAATATACCAGTTTTCTTGAAACTGACAGCACACAAGGTGCCATGATTTCACAGGATGCTTTGGACTGTTATTCACTCGCAGTCCAGATTGGTACTTCATAATAATAGTTTTATTTTTTTGATGTTTGCAAATGTTGTATATTCCCTTTAAGATAACTTTAGTACCTTTACTGCTACCGGCACCTTTGCATAATGGCAACATTGTGATTGCAATGTACTTAAGGCCCCCCCAAAAAATAGTCGGTCTCTGGTCAGACCAAAGTTCCGGAATTGATGCGGCGACACGTTTTTTGTTTTTTTGGGTGGCTTTTTTTTTTTTTCAAGCTTGAATTTTACAGACAAGGTGGGTATTATTTTGCTTTTTTGTGTCCTCATTATACATTGGTGTCCTCCATAATATGCCTTGGTGCCCTTTATCATTTGCCTTGGTGCAATTTCCCCATTCCTTGGTGCTCCCTGGTACAAACATTTGAGGAGGTGCGGCAATAGAGGGCGCTGTTGTAGCTTCCGTGTTAATTTGAAAAAAAAAAGGTTGACGCGCATGATTAAAATCGATGCGCGCGCTGACCAGAGACCGAATTTTTTTTTTTGGCCTACGTTTAACAGTAACAATGATGTCACCATTCATGTACTGAACATGTGAAATACTGCACACTTGTGTATAAGACATGATGGAAGGTGTACTTGTAGTATTGCATACAACAGTGTAGTACATGTATAAAGTATGAATACAATGTATTACTAAATTATTACGATTACATGTAGGCCTACATTGTCTTTAGTACAATAATTTCCGCCATAGTTTTTAGATGGGATTACTTTTAAGGGAAGATACAACATTTGCAAACATCAAAAAACGAAATGATCAAATTATCACGAAGCACCTTACTGGACTGTTAGGGAATTCATGACAGTCTGAAGCATCCTGTAAAATCGTGGCTCCTGTGTGTGCTCACATTTTCAAGAAAAATTGTATTTTTCCAACGCTGGTCGGCTGACAAGTGTTGGAGAAAGCTGTTTTTTTTTCAAAAACTGCTTCTAAATTTTCGTATTCGCATTTTCTTTGCAATTGATTACACACCAGGAAACAAGCCTGCTAGACTGATTATCTGACCTTAAAGTTCCCCAAAGTCTATACATTGCTTCGTTTCATCTTAAGTGGGGTCAGGGAACCAGGCTACACGAACATGATTGGTTTTCCTGGTTTTTCCAGCACCTACAAGCCCAAAACGTGAAACAAGTCAGTTTAACAATATTTTCCATCACATACTAATCCTCCAAATCCATTTATGTCGGAAAATTTCAGCAAAAGCAAATGTTGTACATTCCCTTTAAATTGCATACAGACTACATGTACAAGACATTTACAAATTATAATGCAAGTATGTTCAGTGTTCATGTACATGTACATAGTATATATATAAAAAAAAAAAATGTACGTATGTCAAGTGCAAGCATTATGCAGAGACATGCATGCCCCACTTTAGAGCATGCATATACATGTACATGTATGTATGTACATGTACACATTATACACTGCTTGCAGTACATGTATTACGTACACTGTACATGAAGAACATACTACATGAAATCTTATGTCTGGGTGTGTCTTAATGCCGACACAGTCAGCATGTCAGAGTTCATTGTGTGGAAATGGGAGTGTTGTAGAATCAAATGTTCTTGCTTGTGATGGTCCTAGGTACCCTTAAACAAAAAACATAAATTCAATGACCAGAATATCATGGCAATAAGCAGTGCCATAGAATAGACCATTATCATGTTGCGGCTGTCTTGATTTTTTTCCCTTTCAAATCAACGTAACCAAAGCGAGGCTGGAAGGAAAAATAGTCTGGTTCCTTTTTGCACAAAAACCCATTATTGCTCAGTACAGTTATTGGATACAGGGAACGTGACTGAAATGGTGGCAGCATGATAAAAGTCTATTGGAGCCTAACAAAAACGTGAAGGGTGCATTATCAAGTACATGTAAGCATAATACCAACATAGATATTTTTGTTTCAATTGTAAGTTTAACAATGAATTGAGTGCAGTGGGACGTTAACCTGCAACTTTTGGAGGCTGCGTATTTGGATCCCCCCGTCTAGTAGTTTAATGTACGTTTCCCGTGCTACGTATATTTTTGACTTTCATCCTGGGAAAAAAGGCATTTTCTAAATTGCTGTGTTTCTACTAGCACTAGAACAATTCACATTTTGAATGAGACGTTGACCGAAAAAGAATCTGCCCATGTTTAGTAATTTGAATAAGTGGTGGCCAGACAATAATTTCATTCTCGTGGGGAAGGCTTGTTCCCAACCCCACAATCCATATCGATGATGTACAGGCCAGGAGCTAGTCTGCTCGCAAGGCAAATCTGTTTGTGCCCAAAACAGAAACCTGGTGGGTTTTTTTCAAAGGGTTGCAAACATCCAACATGTCCCAAAAAGGAAAAAAGGAATTTGTTGTTTGGAATAAAACATGGGGAACGCATCTTCCCTAATAACACACCTTAATCCTCCAAAATTCTCCTTGCGGTTTTGGAGGATTTTGGAGGATTGAGTATGAATGGTGCTTGAGAAATATGAGGATTTTGGAGGATTGAGTGTGAATGGTGTTGAAGCACATGAGGATTTTGGAGGATTGAGGATGAATGGTGTTGAAGCACATGATGATTTTGGAGGAGTGAGGATGAATGGTGTTTGAAATTGAAGATGCGGAGGATTTTAGAGGATTAACCCTAACCCACCTCACTCCTCCAAAATCCTCCTGGCGGTTTTGGAGGATTCGAGAGGATTGAGGATGAATGGTGACTGAATCAAATGAGGATTCTGGAGGATTGAGGATGAATGGTGATTGAAGCACATGAGGATTTTGGAGGATTGAGGATGAATGGTGAATGAAGCACAAGAGGATTTTGGAGGATTGAGGATGAATGCATTTTGAGGCAGGACTGTCTGATGATATTGAAGGATTTGGCGTTGGTTATCCTTCATTTAAACACGAGTGCAAAGTTTTGGGATGAGGAGGATTTTGGAGGATTGAGGATGAATGCATTTTGAGGCAGGACTGTCTGACAATTTTGAAAAATTTAGGCGGAGTTGAAAAATTTTGGAGGATTTTGGAGGATTGAGGATGGTTGTAAGCAACAAGGGCCTAGGGGGTTAGGGTTAAGGATGAATGCATTTTGAGAGGCATTGAAACTTGAAGGGGATTTATACCTGCAACTTTTGGAAGGTTGCAGGTTCGAATCCCCTACCAGTTACCTGTAGTTTCATTCGGACTTACTGTCACACAATGAAGCTAGAGGGGAAATCGAACCTGATACCTCTGAAAAGTGAACCAACATGGAGTTACTTTTTTAATAATTTTTTTTTCCTGCGTTCATTACATGTGACTCTTCTTTCTGCTTGTTGTCTAAAAGCCTTTTTTTTTGTCTTTTTTTCTCCAGTCAAAATGGGTTCAATGAAGTACAAAAGCAGATCTGGAACCATGGACGGCAGTGTAAGTTGGAGCTTTCCGGCTTTATTTCTCAAATTTTGTTGTAGAAAGTACAGCGCACCAATACTAGGAATAACAAAGATAAATGTGCTCAATCCTAAGTCATCATGAAAAGTGGACATTCTTCGTCTACATGTAGCACTTACAATTTTGACCGCCCAGAGATTGAGCAACAGTCAACGAAATCTTTGGCAGTCAGCACATTATTACACTAAAACAAATCTATACATTGTACATCCTCTTTGCCTCAAGTACGCAAGTTGAATGTCCAGAAGAGAGTCCCAAACACCTCTCAGGTCATTTGTTTGAGTTGCGGAGAAAACGACCTCCAACAATCGGTTTATATTTTCTTGTCTATTCGCAGAGTCCGCTGGGGGAGCAGCCTACCACTCCGAGACAGAAAAAAATCGGCCACAGACGAGTGGACACTCTCGGAGAAACAACTTACAAAAAGGTAAGTTTGTTTGGAGTGAAGACAGCCTGGAGTTACATGTATCTCTGATCTTTTGTGGATCTTGGATTTTTTGGGTAAAACTCCCTAAGAAGATGATTACTTTCCCCTTTTCAAGTCCACTGTAAACAGTTCGAGAAACGTTTCTCGTGGTTACATTTCACAAGTCATGAGGTTACCATGGTTACTTTTACTTTTACTAGCCAAACTTCTCTCACAAAGACTGACCCGGTCAGTTTACCTGGAACAAAGAGTCCACAGCTGGCTTATCAATCTCCTACAGTCAAAGCATAGCTACATGTACCGGTATATCTACCTTTACATGTATATCAGGTTTCATAACAATCACAGTCAGTCAATCCTGCTCTATGAAGGCAGGGAGCACTCAACTGTTAAAAACAGTCACTTGATTTATTTGAACTGCTGGGCTGGCCTTGTTGAAATTGCCAGCCAGACAGAGAGGGCTAATCCTTCATTTCACACTGGTCGAAATGTCTCTGTATCATTCCCACACCATGTGTTCAAGTCTTAGGTCTTCATTGTCGATTCCAAATTGATAGGGACTCACCGTGGACAGAATTGCTTATTCCCACAGGCCAAAACGAAGTAATGTGATTCTAAAAAAAAACCACACACACATGTAAAGGAAAACGAATGTAGAGTGCAGCAAAACCATGGAAACAGAAATATGCCTACGGCCATTTTCACTCGGTGAAGGCAATTATATTCAGACACTGTGTGTTGTACAGGTTCTGTGCATACTGCCAGTAGGTGTGGGAAACATGTAGGCACATGTACGTGATCAACTTCTAGACATGAGACTTTTTTTCAGACTTTTAGCCTGAAATCATACCTTTGAATCTGAGAGAAAGATAACAGTCGAGAAAGAATGCATCTTTCAGACCTTTTTTTTTGTTTGAATTGACAATCTCATCCCGGAGCTTGACAGTAGAAGACGAGCCAACCGTTTTCCTACGCCGACTTGAATATTTTGCCGTATTGTAACAATCCAACTTGATTGATTTTGATACGTGATTTGAAAGCCTGCAGCACTCATCTGGTTATTGATGATATCTATTCCCATTATCTTCAATCATGCTTCTTGTGTTTGTCGTTACAAATGATTGCTAAAAGGCTTTGCGCATTTTTGATCCAAACGAAGAGACGTTACCTTCACTATCCGGTTCGTTAGTAAAAACGTCAGACACGCACGCGCACCACTGAAAACTAGCGCCCATTGGATAAATGCTCGAGTTGCGTTAACTTCCGGTTTCATTCGTGCTATACTACACCGTGTGAAGTACGCATTGTTGAATTGAGATGACGTCACACTAATGAACCGGATAGACCGGTGCTAATGTGTATGACATTAGTGCAAGTCTGACTGCTGTTGGTTAAATATCAAATGTCAGTGATGTAACCACCCCATATTGCATAATTGCGATTGATGTTTATGCATGGTTAAGTACAGGTAACAGACGAGACGTACATGTACGTGCTCATATACAACTCCGAAAATTCACAAGACATTTAATTGGTAGCTGAGCTGGCCTGCAGGCAGGCAGGCAGGCTGGCATATGCTGGGAAAGATAACTGATGGCCGGTTGACAAGCATTTATAGATGTATCCCATGAGGCCAGTTTTATTGAACTTCTTAGCACTTACGGGCGTGTACATGTACCTTACTAAGCACAGAAACATATCTGCTTAGCAAAAACAGGTTACCAGCCAAAAATGCATGTAATTTATATTGCTTGTGACTGGTACTCAGCTGCTGTGCAGTTAGCCATTCTCATGATCTGTCTAGTGTCTCCTTCAAACACGCCATAAAATTGTTCAAATTTATTATTTGTACAATATGTTCAATTTCAAATACACATGTAGGCTATTCCTCACTGATAAGTGTTGTAGGAGAAATATAAAACCAAAGACACTGAACTTGAAACAGGGTCATTTTTTTTTTTGGGGGGGGGGGGTATATTTCTCTCGTCCAAGTACGTGTTCATCGTACGTGTATTATTCTTTAATGCATAGATGGGATACCATGCATAATGGTATTAAACGTGTGGGTTCACTTTGACAATGAACTACAGATAACAGTTTCGGTTTAGGTGACCTCACAGGGTTTTCTAGGTCACTGCTTTATAATTAACCAAAGGTTACACAACAACTTTTTAAAAATAACCTATGGACAAATTGATAACCTTACAACATCAGTAACTAGTTTCAAGGGGACCTTGTCGTAATACAACGAGGATTGTGGCATTTGTAATGCACTACGCTGTCACTGTTGGAACTCCCATTACATAGTCATTGACACAGTGGTGTGTATTTGATGTGTGGCCAAAGACCACTCTGAAATCAATTGTTAAACGCAACACAAATTCAATTAAAATTTCCAGGAACACTTACATATTTTTCCATCTGTCAGCATGCCATTATGCAGTAAAAGCATTTTGCAAATCTAACAATGCACTATTGCACTCACACAATTTTCAAGTTTAACTCCATATTATATGTGTGTACATGTATGTTGCAGAATCACACAAGCAGGTTGTCTCGAGATGAAACAAGCTTTACATTATACATGTACATGTACAAGCCGTAAATCCCGTCAACAACAAATTATTCAACAACAGGAGGAGACCAAATGTCAATTTTGTACACTGTCATGACTAATGCACAGTATAAATTTATCAAGTGTTTGGCTTAATACTTGGAGAGAGATGAAGTTTATTATTTGATAAATAAAGGATTACAGCACAGGAATATTTGAACATTCTAAGACAGAAAATGACATTCAAAACCTTTCCTTTTCACTGTCAGAGGAGTTACTAACACTTGTAAAGTTGGGTACGGGTACCCGATTCCATAATTTGGAATTGGTTCACGACATCAGTGGACAGGCCCCCGGTTCCGATGCACAGCCCTACTCTGCCCACTGTATTTTGTATAACTGTCTACTGTTGATGACAAGGAATTTCAAAGTAGGCAATCTACTATTTCATCTTTGACAGAGACAGCATCTTACATACTGTCTCCTCGGTCTCCGTGTATGCCACATTGAGCAACTCAGTGAAGCCGACCCACCTCGTCTCGTTCGCATTAGGACAAACGGTTGTACCGGTAGGTCCTTCCCAGCGCAGCCGGCAATCTTGAACGCTTGGAACGTTAGTCCATTTACTGTTTGCTGGACTATTGATCGTTACCGGTAGTCTGTGTCATGAATGTCGTGAGGTGGCCTGGAAAAAAACGAATCAAGTTGGTCTTGTGAATGATGAAGTTTTCCACCTCGTATTGATTGGTATTACTTCTGCTCGCAGTAAGAGGTTAGGGTAATAACATCTATGCATGTACAAGTAGCTGCCCCTCGAAATCGCAATCTCTAGCCCAACTGCCCCTACCCCCCCCTCCCCCCCCCCCCCCACTGATGCTAATTGGCCTTAATCTTCAACGAGCGAGGGCGCTATATAGCGACCCCATGTTGGGGTGTACACAGACAAAATCAAAGGTTATTGATGCAATTTTACACATTACTACATGCACAGCCAAGTACTTTATGTTTGCAGTCTTTAATTTGTAGTTTAAAGTAAAGTTGCTAAACTGCTTCAGAAAATTGTGAATTTCTAGTGTAAAATGGTATCAAATACAGCAGTGTATGGTGCATCATTCACTCAAAAAGTATAAACAGCGACACAAAATGTCACAATTTGGACCCTAATTTTTGACCCATGTGCATTTAACTATGTTTGGTACATGTACCTGACTCCACATGTACATGTACAATGAACATGTACCTGTACCTGAACATGTAGTGTTCTGATACATACAATACATGTATGGAGGTGCATGTATCCTAGGCAAGATATACATGAACACATGTGGTCACGTTGCTCATGTACATTTTTATTCTTATTATTTATTCGGCCAACAAATGAAACAAGCACATTGTCAAAGCATTTATATATCATAAAAGTATACTAAAAGTAAAACTAGAAAGGAACCATGCATGGATCTACACATGCATGAAATGTAATAAACAATGCTTCCCATGGTCACATGTACGTGCCTAATATGAAATCCAGGCCAGTGAAGTGTTCAGATCACAGCGGCATACATGTACATTATGGCATCCTTGAACTTTATGAAATTACAACCAATAGATACCAGTACATGGAGACCTGTGTATTTATTCAATGCAAAACTGTAACTGTGCCATGTACACATGGTTTGTACAGCTTGTTATGCTGTCATTGTATGAATGGACTGTCTGGCCAGATCGTTTCAGGGTCGTATTCCTTCATATCAAATCTGTCGTCAACAATTTACAGGCAGATGAAATATTGATGGCTAATTGTAGTGAACTAGATTGAGAAAAAAAGTACATGCTGTATGATTCTAAAACCATGACAACTGACTTGTTTGGAAAACATATGAAAAACAAACAACCCAATGTTTGCAATTTATTCAACCGGGCAAGGTGCGGGAAAAAATGGATGCTGTCTGGCTCATAGACGAATATTTAATTTGGATCAATAAGTAACGTGTTCAATAAACGTGCTCTATTGTGTTACCCTCTGGATTTGATGCACGTTACATGTACAATTGAACAAATGTGCTTCATGTACAATGCACATGTATGTTTCTAAGCACTCATATAGGTACATGTTGGTGATATTATATTAATGATAAAAAATAATTCATTCATTTGTGAAGTGCAAATTCCTTGATACGCTTTCCTTGTAAAAATTCTAAAAATACACTTAAAATGGTAAATTAATTAACAAAAACAATCCAAACTTCTATAAGAATGCACAGAAACACCGTCCATTCCCTTTGAACCTTTCTTTTTCTATATTTGGTCCTTGGAATAATTTAGTGTCTAGATAATTCACATTTAATTGAATTATACGTCTACGGTTGTGGGTTATTTTTTCTATTATGATTTGTAATTGGATAAATCGATATTGGAGCAGTGATCATGGTTTACGTACGTGTACCTAAAGCAATATGTTTCACAAATGCTTGCGAAACGGCGGTAATAAATTCAAGTTTTATGATCTAACGTCTATGGAGGTACATGTAATTGAATTCAAGGTCTGATGATAATTGTTAACAATTTGCAAGTCTTAATAAAAATCTGAATTTATTTGAGCCCCTCCTTGTTTGCATTATTTTATTCTTTTAGGATAACGCTGTCTATGATTCTGCAAAATGTCAGTCAAAATGAACTTTTTTCCCCCATTAGACAAATAAAATTGTGGCTTAATTACAACAAAAGTGATTAATAATATATTTTTTTTTTAATTTTTGTAAATTTTTTTTGCAATTTTGTATTCGAGTTCATCACAAGTCCTCACAGGTCCATTACAAGTCGCCTATAGCCTCAACTGACCAGCAAAGGAACTCAGACCTTCGTTATTGTTCTTCCCCTGTTACTTGGTACCAGACTTGTGACTGACTCATGACCAGACTTGTGAAAGACTTGATTTCAAAATTGGTAATGAATTCAAGTTTGACGTTGTAACTTCTACGGATGGACGCACATTGTACACATGTCACAGAGTTCAAATGATGGTCTGTTGATAATTGAAAACAATTTGCAAGTTTTTATAAAAATCTGAATTTATTTGACTTGTGATTGACTCATGACCAGACTTGTGATGGACTTAATTTCAAAATTGGTAATAAATTCAAGTTTGACGTTCTAACTTCTACGGACGTACATTGTACACATGTCACAGAGTTCAATTGATGGTCTGTTGATGATTGAAAACAATTTGCAAGTTTGTATAAAAATCTGAATTTATTTGAGCCCCTCCTTGCTTGGATTACGTTTATTCTTGTAGGATTACCTTGTCTGGGATTCTGCTAAATGTCAGTCAAAAAGTGATTATTTTGTTCTGTAAGACAAAAACAATGGTGGCTTAATTACAAAAAAAAGAAGTGATGGATGATTTAAAAAAAAAACTGTTTATCAATTGTTATTTTGTACTCGAGTTCATCACAAGTCCTCCAGTCCCAAGTCAAGTCACCAATTATTCAAATGAACTGAGACAAAGGCATTCCTTTGTTATTGTTCATCTCCTGTTACCATGGTTACTTGGTACCAGACTTGTGAATTGACTTGTGATTGACTCACGACCAGACTTGTGATGGCCTCAATTTCTACACCGCTTATTTAATACTGATATTGTTGTTCCTTGCAGACGAGTTCGTCTGCGTTGATGGCCGCAATTCAGCTGGGCATTGGACACTCTGTCGGTAGTCTGTCAGCTAAACCTGAGAGAGACGTACTATTGCAAGACTTTGCTGTGGTAGAGAGTGTATTCTTTCCAAGGTGAATAATAAACCCAAGTGACAATGGCATTCCAGAGTCGCCTTGAACCAATATTTATTCCGAAGAGTCGAATTGAGTACATGACAAATGTGAGGCGCTCTGGCAAAATGAGACAGAACTGGGCAGAGGTCAAAATGAGGGTTTTGCGGGTTTTAGGAAAGATAATAAAATTCTCCTTACGATACTGTTTGTTGCACTTCAATCGGACGTTCCGTAGACAAGTAAGGGCTGTTTAAAGTTTGCATTTTATCGACATGTCCACAAATAAAACTCTGAGAAAAAAGGCTGTTAAAGCTTTGAGTTTGGATTCATAAAAATGAAAGATGCCAATTGTTTTCCTGTAAAACACTTATTAGCCATATTTTATACTACATGTATATCTCTAACATGTGTAGTAGACATATATCAAAGATTACAAATATGAATAAATCTAGAAATAGAAAATCAACCCCATTCATTTTTGGGGCATTTTTCTCCACTACGGCCTGTGCCAACTTCCCTCAACTTTTGGCAGAACGCCTCACCGATTCTCTGTTTGAATCAGTTAGGAGTGACTTCACTGAAAAGTCCACTGCAGTTGTTTGGAACGGCTCCAGAGTATTGTAAAGTTCATCTGTCTGAAAACCAGATCTATTTTTGTTGGTCTGAGTTGCTCCTTATACGACTTGGTTTTGAGGGTCTCTAGAACGCCACTCAGAACTTATTGTGCAATTGTTTTAATACCCTGAACTTTTAATTCTAACTTAACCGTAATACAGTGTAAATGTCATCTTTTTTTACTCCTTTGATTTTTTTTTTACATCTTGAAAGTGAGGGCAGTAACATCACACCTGCGCACAGCTACCCAGACTTCAGGTTCAAGACTTACGCCCCCATCGCCTTCCGATACTTCCGAGAATTATTTGGGATTCAGCCCGACGATTTCCTGGTGAGTCAAGCAAACCCGTCACTTGGCCCCTCTTCCTGTCACCCTTTAGTTACAAGCTTTGGGGCTGGATCAAAGACTGCATGCACTCGAAACCAGATTCTTTTTGTTACGATTCCAACTGCAGCTAACAAGTTGATGAAACCGTGGCCCAAATGAGTAGGCCAAGCCAATTGGCCATATTGGACGACACGCGGGAGCACTTTAACCCCAGCCCTACTCAATCCTCCAAAATCATCCAGGCGGTTTTGGAGGATTTTGGAGGCTGAATGGCAAAAAATGTCGATTTTGGAGGTTGTGTTGTTTATGTCCAGTCATGCATAATTCAGCCCTGCATTATGCTTGATATCATCAGCACTGCTTCTGAATGTCATCGGCACTGCCTCAACCCATTAACAGTGATTGTTGAAGGATTTTGAAGGATTGAGGCCTTGGTCTCTGAACAAATTCAAGAAATAACAGATGATTTTGGAGGATTGATGTTGAATTCCAATTTTTACATGGGTGGAAAATGGAGGATTTTGCAGACTTGAGGATGGTTCCTAATGTCTTACCGTTCCCGAAAGAAAAGATGGAAAAACCCGGATGTTTACATCGGACGCGTTGGACATTTTGTGGAATACGCATACGTATTTCCAGCCATGTCCTTTCAATTTATGGAACACGCAAACCTGTCTTCACCGTCGATCGTGGACGTCCTATTGTCCCTATTTTGTTTGTACTAACTTTTTAGGAAGACTCCCATAGGTTTTGTACACGACCCTAATCGTGGACGTATGCTGGGAATCGTAGACGATATTGTTCTCTTTTGTTCTCTGGTATTTTTCGTCCACGGTTTGAAAAGATGAACACGTACACGCGGTGTGTTTGTCAAATAATACACACAGTACCAATACACAAATGTTGCTTCTCGCACGTCCCCAGAATGCGAAACACTGTGCAGAAGGATTTACAGCTAGCATTCAGCTCGATTTTTGAGATTCAAATTTTGACTCCCGAAATTCGTTCCCGCATGGTATCCACAAGAATAACACAAAAACGCCCAGTTTTTAAAGGATGGTTGCATGGAAGTTTATATCCTACTCTTAAATGCTCTTTCCGATTAACAATTTGTTTGAAATGCAATTTGTAGCCCAATTAGGCGCATTCCAGCATGTTACGTCCCTTTAAGAATCCTAATATTTTCCCCTCGTATGAGAGCAATTGTCAACTGTCAGATTTTATTCAGTTGTAGGTCACATGTAGGTCACATGTAGGACACATGTAGGATGTTCATAGTCATTAGATTGTGTGACACTTCAATACAAAACCTGGAAACTTTCTTTCTTCCGTCACTTTAAAATACTCTGTGACATAAACAATAAAAGAAAAACCATCCTGTTCGAAAATCCTGGCTAAGGCTTGCAATCACACATGCGCCTATAAAGTGACTGAATCAACATCCCATAGACGCACTTGATACTTCCGGCCGTAGTCAAGGCATTCGGATGCTGTCATATACCAACCTGTCAGATTAAATATATGGCAAGACACCCCCCCCTCCCCCCCCCTCGACCTCCTGCCCGATAATACAGTCACAGAGTTAAGTGAATCACTGGAGGGCTGTCCCCCAGACCGTCGCTCTGGAGGAGATGGCTGGCTAGGTGTAGTCTTACTAGACAAACACGGTGCCAAAAAATGGTCGGGCGAAGGTGGCGTTTGATCCAGTTTCTCGATGATTGCCAATCTGACAAGATAGAGAGGAACTACTTAAAGGGACACTTTCACCCAGAGTTCCCCCCTCCCCCCCCCCCCCCCCTTTGAGGCCCCAACTTTCATTTGACATGAAATGATAATTACATATAGTTGGAAAGTTTGTTAAAAAGAAGAATATTTACACACGTAACACAAAAACACCTTGAAAATGCACAGGTTCTGTGTAATTATCGCGCGAATGATTTTCAAGTAGGCAGAAAGCTACTTGGTTTTCAAGTTGTCATGCCTGACTGCACTCATCTTCAACTACTGATGACAAATTAATACTGATATCATGCAGTAAATGCCACAAAGTGTTCCGCCATTGATTGTTGAAAATATGCACGTCATATTTTGTTATTAAATTTTCATCAAATAAACCAGAGGTTTTATTTAACATTTGGTGAGCAGTACTTTCTGATACCATGTGATAGCAAAACACTAAAAAAAAAAAAATAGCACCCAGTGTTTTTCAAAACCCTCTTGTTTTGTCAGATTTGGTGAAAATGTTACTGACAATACCTCATACAAAGATCAATATTTCTCAATCAAAACACACGTACGATTGGCCGTGGAATTACATAATTACATTTTCTTTGAAATGCTGCCATTTTGAAGGGCTGATACTTAAAATGCATTTTTGTCTTTATTATTTTGTCAAAGAGCCTGAAACCCAATTTTGAATTTTTTTTTTACAAATGCATTTTTATTGTAAAAAACAAATGCTAAATTCAGGCAATTCACAATGCAGTGCGCCACCAAGAGTTTGCGGTCGACAAAATATGGCCCATTTGAATGAGTGTCAGTAGAGAACTTGAGCTATTATGTTATAGATAGAGGCATAGCGTTCTCCCGCCTTACAAAAAATCACCATATTGATGCAAAGAAAATAAAAGGGCAAACATATACTCGAATCACATGCTTACGAAACTACTGACCGGAAAAAACAAACAATTTCAAATGTCCCGCGCTGCGAATTTGGCGACCATCTCCCACAATGCACTGGGAAAAATGAACTCTCCGTGGCAAACTATTGGTGGCGCTCTGCATTGTGAATCGCCGGAATGGTACATACTGGTACATGGTACCGGTACGTTTACACATGAACGCGTACATGTACATGTACATGTTTGGATTATCTGCACTAAATGTGTCAACACATTCAAACATGTACAGTTGGCAAACATGTACAGCAATGTAGCTAGCCTATCTACACATATATCTTTTATGCAATATACATGTACATGTACATAAAAAAAGTATCTCACCACCTTCACAGCAATGCAATTACATTTTGTAATGCATTGCAAGGTGACATATGTACATGTACATGTACATGTACGTACTTGTCCACACACCCTGCATGTACATGTACATTTACCAGTGTCTGCAAATGTAACTTTGCGTGTTAGGCTTCACTGCTTCGGGCGTGCCTAGTTTGTCGTGCCTGACTGCACACTCATCTTCAATTACTGATGACAAATTAATACTGATATTCTGCAGGAAATGCCACAATGTGTTCCGTCATTGATTGTGATAGTTGAAAATATCGCACGTCATATTTTGTTATTAAACTTTCGTCAAATAAACCAGAGGTTTTATGTAACATTCGGTAGGAAATTAATTTTCATAATTACCACCCCTTAAACAAATTGGCACTATTCACATGTACATTAACGGAATGCCGAAAATAATTACCCAGTCACCCGCCATTTTTCCCCGAGCCCTGTTGCTTTTACAAAACATCATGCCGTCGTCCCTTATGTCATCAACGATGTGTCATTTCATTTGCATTGCCAGCCAGCACGTACGTGTCTAGCACCGACAAAAGCCTTTGAAAAAAAAAATGAAATTTGAAAACCAGCTCTCCAGACATGCAGGCCTCTCGGGTTGTTTGCAGTATTAGCATATTGTGTGTGTCTGTTATTTTTCTTTCAATCTAGACATATGGAAAATAATCTCTTTATAAAAAAAAAAACACCTGTAATGAAATATGTCTAATATGACAATGGCATGTACATGTAGTATGAGGCAGGTGTTTGGTTAATTAAGGTCATTCAGTGAACGGTGGAAGCCTGCCGGACCCTGGAGACCTGGGTCTGAGATAGACTGGTACTACTGTCCAAAATGTGGGTAATGGAGCTGAAAGGAATGCTTTATAACAGGGTGGTTCGAATCCCTACCAGTTTCCCTGGGGAGCTGGGTCTGAGATAGACTGGTACTACTGCCCAATACGTGGGTAATGGGGATAAAAGGAACGCTTTATAACAGCGTGGTTCGAATCCCTACCAGTTTCCCTGGGGAGCTGGGTCTGAGATGGACTTGGAGAAAGTTCTTGCTCTCAGACTTGCACAATTATGAAATTGGTTTTTTTTAAGTTGAAAGACCTCAAGAATGTCTTACAGACGGACACTAATAAAAATTTTTTTTAAATTTCTGTAAATGTACATATAAACATACCCTTATACTGACATTCTTTGTTACGGTACATCATTTCATTTTATTTTTTACTCCTTCATATAAGGTGATAGATATTTTTTTTAATTGATTAAAAAAAACCCACTTTAATAGCTTCTTTCTCCTGAGAATTTTTTTTTATGTATATATTGCACAGGATTTGATGTTAAGGTGTAACTGCATATACATATAATGTATATATGTAAATGTATAGAACAAAGTAGGGAAAAAAATGGCTTCCGAGAAAACAGGATGCAAGAAAACATCTTCCGAAACATGAGCCTTGTAATTTCCATCTTTTATGCATAATTACATCTTCCGGGCATGCTTTGTGAATGCACACACACACATTTTGCGCAATATGAAAAGTGGAGGTCACTGCTCTATGGAATAGACAGACGTGCATCCATTTATCTTGTCTGGGGAAAGGCAGGCCTGCCAATTACAGTAAATTAATCAGTTAGTTTTACATGTGTACGTGCCTGCGCTGTAAGGGGGAACAAATGTATGCGGACCGTGCCTGCACTGTCAAGTGATGCCGATTGTCAGTGCCTTGGGCACGTATTGTTCATGCTGGCGACACAAGCTTTAGATAAGATTGCTTTGAGCTTTTAAGCAATTTAGCGTTCATGTACCTACATGTATGTGTGCATTATGGAATGTTGTAGCATGTATACATGTAGCTAATGTCACTGACAGAAACACTGAAAACATGCATACTGAAATGTGTATCTTTGTGGAGACATTTTATGATTTCTTTGTTCTTGTGTACTAAAGTTTTCGAGTTTGAAAGTTCAGTTTCAAAATGCTCTTATGTTAACCAGAATTAATATCCTTGGCTGAAATTTGGACTTAATATCCCTTTTCTAAAACTCTACCATTTGCGAAAGATCAACATACATGTACCTTGGAAATTCCTAGTTTTTCAGTAAAATTCATTTCGTGAAAACCTTGTGGAGACGTATTTATCTATAGAAATTGCCCTGTGGAGACGTATACAATCTTTTGTTCCTATTTTTGTGCATGTCTCCAGAGGGCACGGTGTATCAGATCATCTTTTCTCCCGTTACACACATCTTTGTCAGTTGATAGCTCTTTACTTGTTAATACATGTATACATGTCTATAGATATCTTCGGCAATTGGGATTTTGTTACACGTGTACATGTACATCATGCAACTTTTTCCTTTTTTTTCACATGGATATATTGCATTTTGGAACTTAACTCTTCATTTGGATGTGTGTTCATGTAAGATTCATCTGCATTAAACATACACATAAAGACACATTTGCCCAACGGTTTCCTGGCAATGCCTTAAAAATAGTAAAACATTTTGTCATAATTCCTGATGATATTTATGATGATTTAGCAGAAAGAGCAGGCCTATTGTGTGTCCAGTAACACGAAAGTGCAAGTTTTGATAGACCTGCAGTACCGTAAATAAACATTTTGTACGTACATGTATTCTCCCCTGTATTCCTAACTGTACGAATAAAGAAAATCAAAATAAGAAAGAAAGAAATTACAATTCATTCCACTCCCACAATATACCCCTTATTGCGTGTTGTTACTTTTTTGGCTTTATTGTTTTCTAGCCATGTACGTCGGTTTCACTCTTGTTTGGTTGACATTAGCATTATATGTGAATAGATGCATCTCAGTTCCTCTTTCCATGTATAAATTTACATGTACTCATTTAACTTAATAAAATAATTTGCCCATTATTATAAATATTTGTGTCATCAAATAGCCATTACACTCAGAATTTTGTTTTTAATGCTTATACTTTTTTTAAATGACCCAATTAGCTCTAACATTTTGATCGGAATTCTTAGTTTCACTTGAAAGAACCAACTGAAGCAAAATTGAACGAAGCAGTTTAAAAGTACTGAACTGCTTATTTGTTACACATAATTATGGTCAAGAAGTAGCAAACTACAAACTTTAGAATACATTTCAAAGGGCCTAATGCTGCCTGTCCTAAGCATGCTAAGATGTTCCAAATTACATTGGCTTGTGGTTAAACGTTTGTGATATCTTGTCTGATCTCATTTTAGGAGTGAGTACATTAATGTGGTGCTTGCATTGTTTCATGTTATTGCATTGTACACGTTATGTCTTAAAGTGCCTAACAATTATTACCCCTGTAATCAGGCCCTGGGACCTTTATTAAAAAAAAAAAATATTTTTTTTTGCAGCACATTTCTTTCGGCAACACAATTTTTGTGGTAGCATAATTTTTTTGGCAGCACAATTCTTTTGGCAGCTCAATTTTTTAGCAGCTCAATTTGTTTAGCAGCTCAATTTTTTTAGCAGCAGCTTATTATCTATACAAACTGTTCTCTACCCTCACAGGTACCCGTTTATACCCTTGGGTAGAGAGAAACAATTGCAGTAAAGTGTCTTGCCCAAGAACACAAACATCATATTCCCCGTCTGTGTTCCACATATCTTTGCCCATGAGTTGAGCACCGTACCTTGGAGGTCCTCATTATACCTTCACCAATATAATTATTTGTTTTTGGTTTTTCGTTTGTCCAGATATCCCTAGTGGACCGGTCACTACGAGAGCTGTCCAACCCAGGAGCCAGTGGTAGCGTCTTCTACCTGACCGATGACGATGAGTTCATCATCAAGACGGTACAACACAAGGAGGCCGACTTCCTACAGAAGCTTCTTCCAGGATATTATATGGTGAGCTGCATGGTTAAGACGGTAGGAAACGGCAGTGTTGTAGAGATTGCGCTTGTGATACCGCCATCTTTGTGATCATCTTTGTAATTTCTATTGAAAAAGACGCCCCATCGTGCATTGTATTCTCAGCATGATGGGATGTCTTTTCAATGAAACGCCCCCAAAGATAACCACGTGATCATAGAGACGGCGGTCTGAAACAGTCTGTGTAAAATACAAAGAGGCCTTCCAGAATGATAAACTAAACCCACAAGTAATCTTGCGGTGCGTAAAAATAAAAAATCATCTTTGTGTTTGCTTTCCCACCCCAGAATTTGAACCAAAACCCTCGGACGTTGCTGCCCAAGTTCTACGGTCTCTACACTTACCAGAGCGGCGGTCGTAACATTCGTTTGGTAGTCATGAACAATCTGATGCCGTCGGACATTACCATGCATCAGAAGTTTGACTTGAAGGGCTCCACCTACAAGCGCAAGGCTTCCAAGGCCGAGAGACAGAAGACGTTACCTACCCTCAAGGATCTAGACTTTGTGGAGGAGCACCCCGAGGGGTTGCTGCTGGACAATGCTACCTACAACGCGCTGGTCAAAACACTCCAGAGGGACTGTAGGGTGAGGGCTCACCTCAAGGAATTCTTAACTCTAACAAGAGCCAGTTTCGGCCATCTTACTGCCGGATTAGGGGGTGTGGAGGTGGGGGTTGGGGGTGTTGGGAAGGGGGGGCGTGAATTCCCCCTGCTCCAGAAATACAACACGGATTTTGTAAATACAGTGTTCGTCTTTAGCTTAAAGCTATAGTCCAGCATTTGTAATTAGTGCATATTGTTCGTTTGAAGCAACAAAAGTGTTCAAAATCTAATGAAGGATACTGAGCAACTAACCTGATGAAGTTTCAGCTAAGCTTCAGCTGTACATTCCGAGAAAAGCAGCATTCTAAGATCTCAATTTCAAATCAAAAGTTACTGAATCATGTTTTGAATTGTTTTGAATTGCAGCTATACGCGGCGTCGCGCACTGATCGGACGAATTTTAACAACCGAGGGCGCGTGTGCGTCGTTCCAATACTTGTGCGCGCTGCGCTGAATAACAAAACGAACTACTAATTTAAATTTTCCTACGGTGCTTCTTAAGAATCACCGTTGGAAATGCCTTCTTTCGTTGATTACTTCAAAATGACAGCTTCCCAGAAAGAATAATTTCACAGGGAGTTTAGTTCCCATACTATCTTTCAACCAAGTTTGTTTTTCAACAGTAATTACGCCAGTTACTTTTCGGATGGCTGCAAATGATGGACTATAGCTTTAATATTCAACAAACTGATACATTTTTTGATAATATTACAAACTGGTTACACTTTTTTTTTTGGAGTTAACACTTAACTTCATTTCATTTAGACTGACCACAACTTGCATTTTCTAGCCTTTTTACCCCTTTAGATAATTGGTTAATTTCCTGATTTTATTTTTGGATGCAGGTGTTAGAAAGCTTCAAGATTATGGACTACAGTTTGCTTGTCTCGATACACAATGTGGAACAGGCAGAAAGAGACAGGGTAATTATGACGCACAAGGTGCTGCGTTAAGAGAAACAGGCCTAGTCTGTCTCTGTCAGTAGCCCTTCCTTAGCAGTAGCTCAAGCTTCTTGCATAGCAACTTGATCTCGCTTGACTTACACCTACCATTAGAAACTCAATATTTGAAAGTAAAATTTCATCATTCAAACCACAAAATAAGATCAGTTTGTCTGTTTACATATATGTTACTCAAACTTGAAAGGCCGTCACACATGAACCTAACCAGCGTGTCAATTAAACCTTGTGTCACCCTTCCAGCAAAATGAAAATAACAGTACAGATGGCAACACCGAGTCGCGGACGGCTGACACGCAGCAACTGCAGCAGCAACTGCAGCAGCAACTGCAGCAGCAACAGACCACAGAGATCATCACTCGGCCCACCATGCTCCGAAGTCTGTCCGACTCGGGCTCGGGAGAGGACCATCACGGCGAGAAAACGCCTCATAAACTGGAACGTTCCAAGTCCTATCTCAATAAATCCAAGCGACCGGCGTTCTCTACGACGAGAGAAGCCATCCAGGGCCACGTGAAGCAATCGCTGATGCCCGAGGAGGATGAAGAACCGTAAGAATGCGATCTCTAGCAAGCCTACCCCTCTAACTGTCAACAGTTTACAAAACTAGCAGCTCAAGAATTGCTTACAAGCCAAGTTTTGCTTTACTTGACCCTAACCCTCCAGGATACTCTGGCTAAAAACTGGCAACGTGCAACACTCGTCAAAATGGCAAGCTTGCTCGGTGTAGCAAAGATCCATCAGGTCACAAATCTCAAATCTCAAAGGCCAAACTGTCTCAGAGTCTGTAGTCACCAACTGCAGCAGGATACAACTGTGGCATTGTTCAATGGGACTAAGTCTCGTTATTTCAGAATTGGCCGTCTATGCACTCAATGCAGCAGGGTCCCACAGATGTTTACACCTGATGCACTGTATTGCATCCGGCAGGGTTAGGGTTGAAGAAGTGTACGAAACAAGAAAAGGCTTAATTAGTTGAGCTTGCCCCAAAAGACAGCTAGTCAGTCTCAACCAGACAGCTTGTCTTCCTCAGACAGAGAAATGGCTTTATTTTGTCTTCAGTGTGAATGTCCCCACCTCCATATAATTGACTCCTGATGTGTTGGAATATTTTCAGTGGTTCAGGAGCTTTACTCAATCCATAAAAAAAAATGTATGAGGCATCTTCAATCCTGATTCTTCGCATCAAGTAATTGATTTGGATTTTTTTTTGGTACAGGAGTGGTGGTATTCCAGCCAAGAATTCTAAAGGAGACCGGTTGGATCTCTTCATAGGCATTATCGATATCTTGCAATGTTTCAAGTGAGTATGCGGCAATCATGCATTGCATTGCCAGTGACATGTAGATGGTACAGCACCAGATATTGTTATTTGGAAAAAAAAATTACTCTCTTTAACTTGGGGGCAAAAGTGGCGAAAATCCTCTGTTTTCACTCTGATTTTTGTTTCTTTTCTTCTTGTTCTTTCGACCCAAATCCCATAGATTTTGTACATGTTTCATTTTCGGTGCCACTTTTGACATTAAACGACTTAAATCTTGATCAAACTTAATATAGGTAAATGGAACACAAAGGTACATTTCAAGGATTGCATTTTAACATAATCCGTTTCTTGGGCCCTTTAAGTCCTAATTTTTGTCTGACATTTCGCTGTAGATTGGTGAAGAAGTTAGAGCACACCTGGAAGAAGATGGTGCATGACGGTGACACGGTGTCCGTCCACAGACCCAGCTTTTATGCCTCGCGCTTTCAAGACTTCATGTCCAAGTCAGTCTTCAGGAGATTGCCACGTAAGTCGGACGGGGTCTGAGCCAGGCTGGTTTTGTAAGAGAAGGGTTTTTGGAATCCGAGCGGCCAGTTGAAATTCTGTGGTTGAATTTTTTTTTTCTGGAAGCTCAGAGTTGTTGTGATGTGTGGTTTGGCTTGTTGTGCTACTGATTGATCAGACTTTTTGTGACTTGACAAGCTAATACAGTTCACAGATTTGAGAAACTGTTTAACCCTAAAAGGGCCGGGGGAGGGGGGGCGGAATCCCCCCCCCCCTCAATATTTTCTGTGATAGCCTCTAAAAAAATTTTTTTCACGACCCGAGCTGTTATGACTTTTTAGCCTCGAGCTTTGCGCATCTTTTGATACCAAAAACATAAAAATCGGACCACGGGTTGCCGCGTAGCGAAAAATTTTCCGGCACTACGCGCCGGGAAAACTGAATTTTTGCATATACGTCGTGTACACAGAGCAGAATTGCCATTCGTACATACAGTGACATATGAATAATTAATTAGCCATAATTCCAAAACCCTTTGACCTATAGTCATGAAATTTCTTGGGTATGTTTAGGAAGAGTTGCTCTATGCATGTGTTGAGTTTCAAAATTTTTCGACACTCGATGGCCGAGATCTTAGGGGGGGGGGCGGAATCTGCCCCCCCCCCCCCCCCCCCCCCCCGGCTGAGAGATGGTCAAAATAACCCGGCCCCTTTAGGGTTAAGATTTGAATGCAGCATTAATTTGTGTCTTTAACCTTTAGAACTTGTGTAAGTTATACTTACACACCATATTACGTGCTGGCTGTAGGGTTATGTAGTAGGGTAGGGCTCCACACGATAAAAGACCCAAAGTGTGTAGGGACTAGGATAACTCTTGAATTGATTGTTTTTAATCTAGATTTTTAAATCTAGCTCAATTAATCAATAGTCCAAAATGTTAAAAGTTAAGATTATCTTGCATTCAGATTTGCATATTTTAAACACAAATTTCAGACAGCATGGCTGTGTATCAACTACCAATGTGTGTTCCATTTGAAGTGAAAATAATCCCGTTGCTTTGTGGGGTTTTTTTTGGGGGGGGGGGGGGAGATAGATATTTTGCAATATTGTGTTAAGTAGGTTCGACTTCAAACATTGAAATTAAGTTTTATTTTAAAAACAAGTCACTGTTTGGCTTGACTCCAATTATAGTCTTCACGCTGATTCATTTGTTGGAGTGTTCAAGAAACGGCAAAAATTTTAATCATATCTAATGTGTCCCTTTTTTTAAATTGCCCGCCTTTTAACTGCTTCATAAATATTCATAACTTTTTATTTCTGACAAGAATACAACTGATGGCCAAATATAGACAAAAACCACAAGACAGTTAAAATGATTGCTAAATACACGCAGTTCCTACTCTGCCCATTTTGTGGTTAAGGTCTACAGGGTGAGTAAAAAAAAAACGAAACCCAAATGGTAGGACCAATTTTTGAATGAAGTTTTGCCTGTAGCTCTTGCAAAATTTAAGATATGAAAGCCCTGTTATTAAGCTTTCTTCTAGTACAAGAATCATTCAAATCACTCATGTACTTTTCAAGTTACGGAATTTTGAACACAAACACCATTTTAAAGTTCTGTCCACGGATCACAAAAAAGTAAGTGTTCTTTCAGCAAAACGAAAACAATTCTCAAAGCGATGCATGTGAATTGTTTTCGTTTCGCTGAAAGAGAACACTTAACCTTCTTTGTGATCCGTGAACAGAACTCGTAAACGGTGGTTGTGTTCAAAATTCCATAGCTTAAAAAGTACATGAGTGATTTGAATGATTCTTGACCTAATAGAAAGCTCATTGATTGGGCTTTCATATCCTAGATTTTGAAAGTGCTACATGCAAAACTTCATTCAAAAATTAGTCCTGCCATTTGGGGGATGTTTGTTTTGACTCGCCCTGTATGTAAAATATGAACAACATCTAGCACTGATACAAATCAAGTTTAGGTACATGTACTAATTTTGAATGACTAGGGTGAGGCTGAACTGTTTTTTTTGTTTGCGCTTCATTTCACACTCTGTTTTGTGTGCTTTCTTTTGGTTTTTACGTTTTGCCCTTGGACGCTACTGACCCGTATTGATTGCATGAGTGATGAGAGAGCCCATAACCATTCTGTTTGACATGGTAAAATCTGCTTGCAAAACTTTTAATTTTTTTATTTTTATCACCCATTGTTTTCTTTATTTTTTGGTTCATAACATCGGTGTCATTTTGGGTTTATCTTTAATACACACAAAAGGTTAACCTGCAGAAGCATATGGGACTGGTTTTCATGAGGGTTTTACCCAGAATAATTTAGATAGTTTAGTACTAAATTCTGCCCTTTGGGATTCCGAGAAATTAGCAAAATTTTTCTTGGAAATCATTAATAAATATTGCATAATAATGAAACATATATGTCGTGCAACATATCCACCCAAAGGGTGCTCAAGGCACTTTGTGTGGTTTTAATAATCCAAACAATGGTTTTGATAAACTATTTTAAAAATGCATGATTATCCCTTTCCATTAGGAAGTTTAATTTCACGTCAATTAACGCAATGCATGTTGTTTTGTTGCATGTACATGTATAACACACCCCCTGATATTTAAATACTTTTTAGAATCGAAGCTCTTATTCCAATTTTTTGTTTTGTTTTGTTTTTTTGTTTTTTTGATTTTTGATGGTATAGGTTCAAAATATTGGTGGTGGTCATGATTTAAAATTTGTCAATGTTTTCAATCTTAATCCTTATGTTGGTGTTGGGAACAATTTTTATTCACAATGTCAAAATAAAAATGTTTGGATTATACTTTTTATAAAAGGGTTTTTCGGGTTGTCTGTTAATCAGCATCAACCTCTGCATGTACAAAAATGTATGGAGAAGATTTCATCTTTAAAAAAGTCACTTTGCATGACAAGCATGGGCATTTTAATGCAAGTGCCACACTCATCCAACAACTGCAAACACTTTACTTTAATTTAAATTTTATAAAAAAACAGCCGAGACAAGCCTAGATATGCTGGGCCCAGAGTGTACAGTTTCAATTAAATTGATTCAGAACGGCCAATCACTGGAAGTCTTTTCATGCATGTGGTCTACACAATGGGCCGGATTGAGCCCATTCATTGGCATGACGGGGTAATCCTATATGATAGCACTGCCCGACTCACAAGTGACAGTCAGTCAGATGTGTGCAAAGAGGCTGGCACTCTGGGACCAGCAAAAATATTGCCTTGAAAAAATTGAGTTTAGGTGTTGACACCATTTTGATGCAAGTGACAATCTTAAAGAACTTTAATAGAAGCTTATAATAAGTCTTATCAAAATCTGTACAAATTTTGTATGTATTTCATTTATTTCTCATTTTTTAAGCACACCCAGGCTAAATTAGAACATTAGTCAACCTACATATATATCTTAATCATTATGTGACCTTTAATACTCATTCATAAATACCTCAGACAGTTTAGCTATTCCTATTGGTCGAGAGCCCGTCACGTGGCCGGTCTTAAACGGATGAAAAAGACATGGCTAGCTGGTCTTAAACACTTTTCCAGTGTCACATAAAATGTGGACTCCTAAAATTCCAGTGCCTCTTACCGTTTTATTGGTTGAACGTTCACAGTCCTCACGTAGGCATGCGCAACACTACAAGCGAGTCAGAATTTTATAGTTCTAAATTCAAAACGCAACGCCCCAGGTGCGTTCTGCGCGACATCGCGCAGAACATGCTACGCGCGCGTCAATCTCCATAAAAGGGTTGTTTACATCTTACTTGCCAGCTGAACACTCCATTATTTTGCTAGAGGGATGTTTCAAAAAGCATGAAGTGAACTTGTTGAACAAAACCGGGATTTTTTGAACAAATTATTTGATTTTTTTTACCGAAAAGGTATTTATGAATGGGAATAAATGTGTGCTCGGTCGGTATTTATCACTCTGTTTAAGACCGCTTAGAGTCTGGGTGCTCCCAGACTCTAAGCGGTCTTAAACAGAGTGGTAAAAACCTCCGGAGCACACATTTATTCCCTTAATAGTGCACAGATGTTCACATATTAAAATTTGTAGCATTTCATTGTCATTGTCTATTAATAGAACTGACATAAACGTACAGCATATTGGAAATTTCAGATTATTTTCACGTTCATGTGAGGAACATGGCATGCTAATCAATCACCAATTGCACATTCATCTGACACAAGTACATGTACATTTATTAACCAATTCCACAATTTGGTCCTGTTTTTATAAAAAAAAAAAATACTTACTTCATGTTTGATCTACTTTTGTTGATGCTATTTTTGTTTAAATAGTTTTGTCATAATCTGCAAAAGAGAATTCATAGGCTGATCCCCGTATGTCAGAGCCCCTGTCTCATGATATCCGCAATGCCATCGTCAGGGAACAAGACCTAGAAAAATTACAAACCCACTGAACACTGATAAAATCTGAAATAATTGTCATTCACATTTGTTTGTTTTTGTCCTTTTCCATCAACAGCTTCGAAACATTCTCCCTCTAAACGAAAGGGTTTTAATTACACTCCATCAGTAGGGGGCGGCAGACCCAGAGCGCGCACCGTGCCAGCCGAGCTGAGTGATCCGCAACGAGTCCACTCATCACACGGGGGCAGTATGTCAGCAACGCTAGAAGCAGGGGTGTCACTCTCGCACGGAGGCCAGGGTAAGTCTGGCCATGTTCTGTTAAAACTGGATGCTCGTTAGCAGAGCTTGATATCAAAATAAGACAACCCCCCCCAAAAAAAAAAATGGTGGGGGGTTCATTTTCTTTTTCGATTTTCAGTTGATGAACATTTTTAGATCCTATGTCTTAAATTATGATTGAAATATAAATACAAAATATGATTTTTTTTTTTGTAAACATGATTGAAGTTTGCTTTTTAAAGCTGAGTTTCGTGGATGATTTGTATAAATTCAAGAAAAAAACTGTGTTAAATATAACCCAAACTTTAAGAGGGAATTTCTGTTTTCACCTATGCGCTATCACACACTTCAAATTTGCAAACTGTTGCCATGGAAAGTCCGTTATCAAAAATTGAATTGCCAATTTGAAGGGAAGAGTCTATATATTTAAATGACCTATTTTTGTCTAGCTGCCTAACAGACCCATAAAGTGAATCGTAAATTTAGTTGTCTTAGTACTTTTGAGTAGTAGGGCTTCTTACAAATCTTGTACAATGACAATCAACAGGAACATTCAACATATTTACCCATGAAATATCTGCAAATGAGTGAGGCATCAAAAATTAAAGTATTCATTTTTTACAGCATATGAAAAATTAATAAGTTAAAAAAAATGTCTCAAGACTCAATTTTTCTTTGACATCGCCTAATGCTTTTTCTCTTCCCAAATAATAAATGCTCTCAGGTGGTGCTAAGCCAAAGGTCACGCGGCCTGACCTGGTGCCGAGCACACCGCCCAACTACGGTGAAGCCTTACAGATCACTAGCTCACCGCGGAAGCTGAGCTCGGGCAGCGGCAAGCGGCAAGACGCTAGCGTCACGTTTGAGAGTCCGACGCGGAGCTCGGACGAGGACGGCGCAGCGGTGGACGTGGAGGACATCACGATACGAACCGAAGCCATGGACGAACCCTTCGCTACGGAGGAACTCCAACAGAAACTGAGAGAAATGGACGGGAATCTAGACTACAACCAAAGGTAAGAAGGAGGAGAAACACTATAGACCTCGTGCACAAGTACCCCCTCAAGAGGTGACACAGAGAGAGGTGGGGGGACTCTCGAATACAGTGCTGCCGAATACCCAGCAATAATGCAAAGACGATATAGGTTTGTTCTTAACCAGAGAGAAATTAATCGTGTGTACATTGCGTCATGTGGGGAGTGTGGCCTATTGGTTAGGGTTCGTGACTCATGATTAGAGGGTCAGGGGTTCGAATCCAGCTGCTGGTCATATGTTGTGTCAGTGGGCAAGCCACTTGCCTCCCTCCACCCAGGAGTATAAATGGGTACCGGCATTAGCTGGGGAGTAACCTGAGTATGCATACTCCTTTATACTCCTGGGTGGAGAGAGGCAGTTGTAGTAAAGTGTCTTGCCAAAGAACACAAGCACCATGTTCCCTGTAAGGGCTTGAACCCACAAACCATGGCATGTGAGTCAAAATGCCGTAACCATTGGACCGCAGCGTTCCACACATGAATGCACAAATCACCGGCAACCTGTAGCGTCTTTGCAGGATGGCCGGGCGTAACCGCGACAGCGGTGTCCAAGAATCTGCCTAACTCTCTTTTTGTCACTGCGGACGGGGTACTTTTACACGGCATCCATATTTTAGCTCAGTTGGTTTGTGATAAGGAAATATTTGGGGTACCTGGGTTTTTGCATCAAAGCTTCGCACTCAGAAATGCCTCATAAGTTGAGTGGATAGTAGTAAAAATAATTGTGACTGGGTTTCAGAAGTTGAAGCCTTAGTTGAAACAATTGACAGCCAACTGGTGTGCCTCATAGATGCCAGAGAATATGTGAAGATACTCTGTGAATGGAGCTTGAGTTCCATTGCGATACTCACAATAAGTTGAGGAGCCATCAGAGATTTAGGCTGTCATATTGCTGTGACTTTTTGGCTGAAAAATTGTTGAATTGCTACACTGGTGCGTCTTGTTTTCCGCGTAGAGAAAGAATCACAAGAGGCATTTTTTTTGTAAGAAATTTCAGACTTTAGAACATTAATTCACATTTTTCTATAATGGCTTTGGCATGAGAATCCCACAGCACAAATAATTACTGTTGTAAAAAGATTCCCGTTTAAAATTGCATCATGATGCAACTATGTCATTGCATTCTTCCAAAGTTACATTTGCACCCTTTTTAGACAGAACACAACTCCACATCACATATCCATTCTGTAGAACGGTCAGGACTTACTTGCACATGCGCTCCGAGTTTCACAGGCCTTGCTGTGCATTGGCAGTGCATGAAATAATGTATGTAGCCCAATAATTGGACTGTTCGTTAGTCCACCTCTCTAAGTGTCTGTGTTGGCTCGGCCATCAGTCTTCACAACACTGCGTTGCAGAGTCAGAAAGTGTCAATAATTAATTTCAAGTTTGGTATCCAAATTTGCCATGTTTCAACAATGTTTCAAGAAATGTTAATTTTGGATGGTTTGGCTTTATTAAATATGCATTGTTTTGACTGGAAATGTGGTACATGTTACATACTCACTAGATTACTTGTATGTGCATACTAGCAAGGTGCTTTCCAACATATTGTCAAGCTTGTCAAATAAAATCGATCCTTTCAAATTTGGAAAGTTTCATGTAGAGTATATTGACTAGAGTTTAAGGAAATCGGTTTTCGTGGATCGTGCAATTATTGGGGTCAGTTTGCGTTTATTTATTACAAAAGTTGAATGTACAGTGAGCATGACGCATGTTTGGGATTGCAATACTGCCTAATCATTCAGTCAACTAAACTCAGCCATAACCCAGTTGCTTTGAATCAACTAAACCACACCTTTGGCTAGCCATGGCTAGCCATAAGCATCAACCATCCTCAACTTAGGGCAAGTTCGCGCAAGGACTATAGTTAACCATTGGTCGACTAACGCTTGCCCGAACTCGGTCTAGTCGACGATGGTTAACTACGCTAGTCGACTATTTGGAACCAACCTACTGGGGTTGGTTGCTTCGTTGGTAACCATAGCCGCGCGCGTTCATAACGTACAGCAGGGAGCCAGGATCCAGACGTTTTGCAATGACATTTTGACCAGCGTTTGACTAGAGACGTTTCCTCTTTGCTATTAGTGCGCAGGCGTAAGGTACGTCACAAATCAACCACTAGTCGACTAATGGTCCTTGCCCGAACTTGGCCCTAAACCACACCTTTGGCTAGCCATGGCTAGCCATGAGCATCAACCATCCTCAGCTTAGTCATCAGCTAACATGGCCGCCGTTTACTGCAGGCATTATCCACATGCATTCAGGCTCTGTCTAAATTAGTTGGCTATGGCTAGCAGTAACACGCATGTCTGTGGGAAGTGGCTTCGGCTGCTTCCCATAGACGCATGTGTAATTGCACGCCGTAGCCAAGTAATTGAATGTGGCCTAAGGCCGTGTCCGAATTACTTGGCTACGGCTTGAAATTACACACGAGTCTATGGGAAGTGGCTGCAGCCGCTACCATAGACACTTGTGCAATTTCAAGCCGTAGCCAAGTTGAAATTACACACAAGTCTATGAGAAGTGGCTGTAGCCGTTACCATAGACTCGTGTGTAATTTCAAGCCTTAGCCAAGTTGAAATTACACACGAGTCTATGGGAAGTGGCTGCAGCCGCTACCATAGACACTTGTGCAATTTCAAGCCTTAGCCAAGTTGAAATTACACACAAGTCTATGAGAAGTGGCTGTAGCCGTTACCATAGACTCGTGTGTAATTTCAAGCCTTAGCCAAGTTGAAATTACACACAAGTCTATGGGAAGTGGCTGCAGCCGTTACCATAGACTCGTGTGTAATTTCAAGCCGTAGCCAAGTTGAAATTACACACGAGTCTATGGGAAGTGGCTGCAGCCACTACCATAGACTCGTGTGCAACTTCAAGCCGTAGTCAAGTAATTCAGACATGGCCTAAGTCTCCTGCCTGAACTATGCACTAGGCCTGTCCTACAGAGGGCGCTGTTTGCAGTGACCTGCATAGTGTATGAACATGCCGGTGTACTTGCTTTAAGTTCAGGTATTCAGTTGCTTTTCTGGAAGAGACAATAAAATTAGCCAGTCAAAATTATGTATTACATATTTGCATGTACTTCAGTTTTGTACCCCAGAAGGGTTTTGAAAAAATACTGACATTCTTTGTTTGGGTTGCTGCTTGAGTGTTGAAGTGTGCAGCAAGCCCCTTGGAGTTGGGGCAGTGTTATAAGACAAATTAATTTGGTGAAAAGTTCATTTGGAAGTGAATTGTTTACTGCACTATGTGGCATTACACGTACATGTAGAAGTTTCTTCTTTTCTATTAAATGTTTCTTGGAACAATAGCAAGGAAATTCCGTCTCTGAAAAGTTTCACATTTTATTTTTTTTTACAAAAATGTCTATAGAACATGACTTGCTCCATACTTTTGTAGCTTGCTGAACACTGTTCAACACATCATGAGTGAAACGTGCCTGCCGGTTGAATCAAATGACCAGTGTGTGCTGTGCTTAAATAGATAAAAAAAAAAAAGCATCAGGTTGGTAGTCTGTGTCTAATTCCTTAATACTGTAATTGACATATGTAGAGAAACTGGCAATAGAACATGAACACAGAAAAGTGGGCTAAATTTGGAGGCCCCCCCCAAAAAAAAAATTGATGAAATTGTCATCAATTTGAAGGCTGGAATATTCTTAGCTGTGCATGTTGTGTACATGTGTGTTATAATTATGGATCTGTGTATACAGATGTTTTCTAATCATATGTTTCTATTGTCTTGTGAGACAGAGCGCTTGGATAAATCTCACGATTTAAGTGTCCAAGTTGTAGCTGGTGGCTTACTTTAACTATTGTAGCTTTGGCAATTTCTGACTCATTTGTGCAAGAGTTTTGCGGACAGGTGTTGAGGAATGCACACACAGACGAGTAACATGGGCTTAAAACTAACCACATTAGATCATTCATTACTAACATTCATTGCTTGCTGCTTACCCCACCCCCCTCACCTCCCTATCCTCTCTACATCTCTGTCGATGCTCGTCACAGGCCCACGCTGACTACCATGTTCCCCTCCACCCCGACCACGACCCCAACCACCTCCCCGACAATGACTCCCCCTTCCCTGTCCACCCCTCGCACCTACAGCGGTAGCAGTACCATCGATACGCAGAGCGAGTCCTCGCCGCGCAAGACGGCCGACCTGTCCACGGATTCATCCGAGAGGCTACGGGAGTTGCCCAGCCCGACTAGAGAGGGCGATGTCGGTCTGAGGATACTGAGCAAGGAGGAGAAGGGGCCGGAGTTTGAGGAGGGCGCTGGTCAGGGAGACGAGGAGGAGGAAGATGAACAGTGTTGGTTGTGAATAGATTCAGCTTTTGTCTACCGTCAACTGTAACCGCTTAACATCATGTTATATGAAATCAAAGATCTCATGAGAAGGCCTCTCCAGACTGTCTTGCTTTTACATCACCAAAGTTCAGACCATCGGACTGACCCTCAAATTTACAGCCTTGTCAGTCTGGTTGGCGATTATAGAAAAGTATCAAAATTATTGTTGTTAATCTCTTTGTTTTTGGTTGTTTTTTTTGTTTGGAAATGTATTGAAGATGCTGCAGTGTGGATATTTGAGTTCCCAACCTGGGGCAAATCTTGGGATGTCTCAAGGTTTCGATTTGGAAAGAAATGAAAATGATGTCAGTGTGAAAAGGCCTTAAAATGAGTCAGATAGTGCCAAAGCCCGATTGGAGGTTCATGCTCATGCACATGTAATAACCACTCATCTCTATTCTAACAGGACTGGCTGCTATATGCTCATTGGCCAGTGTGCCTTGAAGCATCTCGTCCGCCATCTTGGGTCTCCAAAACATCACCTTTTGCAATTAAGGTTTTGTACACTGAAAACAACAATATCCCTAGTCCCTATTTCAATCTGAAAATTTAAACAAAATGCAAATTTTGAACTAAAGCAGCATGTAAAGTTGCATCAAAAACTTGGGAATCACACCTTTTTGTTACCCCCCCCCCAAACAAAAATGGTTGGTGTTGCAGCCTTTCATTTGCTGAAGAAAGAACAGCCTACTCAGGCCTTTTGTGATAGAAATTTTCAGAAATCCTGCAAAATCCACCACAAATGGCACATTCTTTGTATCATAACTCTCAAGAAGCATGAAGCTCCATGTAAAGTAATTGATGTATCCCTGTACCTGTTTCCCAAATTTTCCCTTTTTTTGCTGTTCAGTGCCTGATCAACCAAAAAACAGCAACACCAAATGTTTAGGTTTGTTTTCTTCGTCGGAAACCATTTCGCATAATTTCTAAAATGTTTCAAATGCAAGCTTCTTATGGTGGCAGTAATTCTGCTTCAGATATTTCACGTATATTGTTGGAAATCCATACTTGGGTAATAAAATTAAAGGTAATATGCAACATTTTGCAAGCATAAAAAAACCCAAAACTACCAAGTTATGATGAAATTCCTTACTTGATGGTAAGTGAAAAATAGTCTCAAGCATCCTGTGAAATCATGGCACCTGGTGTGCCGTCATTTTTGAGAAAAGTGGAATTTTTGTATCAATTTCCAACGATGGTCAACCGGCCATCATTAGAAAAAAAATAACACTTTTTGAAAATACCGCCCCTAATTTACCAAATTAAGTTAGTCCGCATTTTGTTTGCAATCAGTTACACATTGGTTCCTGACCTGACAATTCCCCGACAACTATAAATTGCTCTGTTTCATTTGAAGTAGGGTCAGGGAACCAGACTACAAGAACAGCATTTTTTTCTGGTTTTTCCAATATCAGTGAAGACAAAACTTAGAACAGGTCGGTGTAACGGTGTTTGCCATTTAATTCTAACCAACAAATTCACCCATTTCTGAAAAATAAAGTAAAAACAAATGTTGTATATTACCTTTAAAACCTGTTAACATGTAAAATGATGTAAAGTTTTAAAAAGTGGATAATATCGTTGTTTATTCTGAAATTAAGTCTCCTTTTCTGTCTCTTGTATCTAAAAATGTGTTAACCGTATTTGTTTCCAAAAAAGAAAGCATTAATGCCATGTAAAACTGTCTACTACCACTTTTGCATATTAAATGTTGTTGTATATGATTCAGGTTTATATTTTGACAGATGTTTTATGTTTTAAATTATGTGCAAATATGAATAAATGAGGTGTCTGCATTTTGCATGATAAAACAGTTGCATATTTATGTAAGAAAATTGAAAGTGAGAGATGGCACCAGAGAATTTTTAAAAAAGTGTCAAATTTAAAATGTTGTTGCTATTTTATACGAAGTTGACCATTGCGCACATGCGTCAGTTGTTGCCAGAATGGTTCTTGGACTTAACTTCCCTTAAAAAAAAAATCCTTCAGAGCCATGAATCAGAAAGCAAAATTAATTCCACTGTAATAAAAAGTGGGATTTGATTTAAAGCAGAAGTAAGAAAATAAATATTGCAGGAAATTAAAAAAATGATGATGATTCAAACGCAGCAACTTAAGCATTCCAAATGCACAGTCATCCTTGTTAGTTATTGAATCGCTTCAATCGCTGTTGGCATTTTAAACCTCATAGAGATTTGCAATGTTATGTTGCAATGCTGTAACTATTGCCCTTGAAAATAACGCATTATGGCTTCGGTAAAAATAGCCACTTCAAATTTAAAATATATCTTGTTGACAAGCTAAAAAAAAAACAGTCACCAAGATACTGCATTGTCTGCGTAAGATGCCGCTTTATTTTACATTCATTTAACGCATACTGTCATAGACAAATTATGCAAAGGGGCATTCCAAACATAAAAAGCTTCAAACAACTTGAAGTTTTCTTGGACAGAAATCATACTTTGTTACTTGAATGATAACAAAGTTAATGTGCAGCTCTAGCTGGCAAAACCATAGCAGGCCTTTTTGACCCAGAGGAGTCTGGTCATGTGCATGTAATTAGGGTCATGTGACACTATGGTGTCATGTGATTTTGAGTATCATGTGGCGTATGTGTGACTAGGGTCATGTGACACTTAAATTTCCTGTGATTTTGAGTATCATGTGACCTACAATGTACATGTGCACTAAGTATCAGTATCTCTTTTTTGCACAGCTGAATGTGATGAAAAAAAAATTAAGTTAATTTTTTTTTTACATTCAAATGTTTTCATCAATAAAAAACATGGTATTAAACATTTCCAATGTGTAATCAATATTGAGCCAGATTCAGTGATTTTGGAATTTGTACATTACTGCTGTTTTTTTTTCCTTCTTAATAATTACCAAATATAGAGGTCCATGTTTAACCTTTTTACAAGTGTCTAAAGTTCAGCAATTACCTCTTATGTTAAAGTACCTGACCTTTATAAATAAAAGAAATTGCTTACTTTAAAAAAAAATCTTCAGATTGAATAAAAAAAAGAAGACTTTCTGATGAAGAAGTTATTTCATGCTATAGGCCTAAAACTGTAAAAGCATTTTATCTCTGTATTCTTCAGTTGATTTGTTTTTATTCCCATTGGTATCCAGTGGTCTTGTACCCAGAGGTGGTTTGATGTATAATGTTGATATTTAAGCAGTCAAGCTTTTGGCAACCAGACTGATTGTATGTAAATTATTTAGGTGAAAAAAACCACGCTGGTGTATTATTTTTTTGTGGCATGCATGTGTAATTTGCTTTTTGTATCTAACTCCGCTATTGTTTAAAAGTGAAAAAAATAAATAAATGAAAATTAACCACATGCGTATTAACATGCTCGCTGTACAATGTTAACAGTAAAACAAAAAGTTGTAAATAATATTTATCATAATGTGGCTTGTCCCCAAACTGACAAAAATGGACCAGTTCTGATTTAAAGTTGTTTCATTCAATAAAACAAGAAGAAAAAATGAAAATGGTGGCACTAACTTCCTTGTGTATTGTATTTTTATTTTATTCTGTTTTGGTGATGACGAGATTTCTTTTGTTCCTCTTCGGTTCCGTCCTTTCTTTGATTTTGTGCAGTGATAGGGAAAAGGGGGCGGAGTTATCCGATTCATCCTGAGAGGAGCCAATGAGCTTTCACAGAGAGACTGATTGACAATGTGCCAGCCAATCCGGATGGGTGTACCAGTACAGTGAAGCTTGCCATTCACTAATAGCCAATCAAAGCAGGTGTACCGTGGTTGATATTCAGCTCAGAGTTTGTTACACACGACATGAGAATAGCTGTGGCAGACTCCTTAGAAGCAGTGTGACGTCTACATCAGCAGTAAATATGCTCAATTACACAACGCCTGGACAGATCCCCGTCATCTGATTGGTGGATCGTTGATCACGTGTCATTGAATTATTCGTCCCAACTCACGGCGCGGCCACACGGCAGAAATAGAAATTCCATTCCACGGTAAAAGGAAGTTCCATTCCACGGTCACACTTTTAGCGGATCTGACCAATCAGATGACAAGGATTTATTCAGGTGTTGTATAAAACAAATAATAAATGTTTCACATTCGTGCAATGGCAAGAATAATTTCATTCATTGACAGATGGAATGTTCCATTCGCCTCATGAAATGGAACATTCCACCCGTCACCTCATGAAATTATTCTTTCCATTGCACTCACAAACATTCATTATTTGTGTGCTATACAAGAGAATCATCAAATGACCTACAATATATAAAATGGAAAAATGTACTTTGAGGAGCTTTTGAAGTCATTTTCACTATTGTTGTATTTTTGTATCGTTCATCTGTTAACAAAAATGCCAAGTATTCAAAAGTGTGTCCAAAGACTTGTGTGAAAGTTGAAAACAACAATAAAACTCGAGTTAATCTTGATTATGTTAAGTGGTTGAATGAAATTTAAAAGAAGGGTGGGAACAAGATTTTCTGAAACTCACAATTTATGAGTTTTCTGATCACACACTTCTTTTTGAAATCCTGTATCAGGAAATGATGTACTCTATGTTGTAACTAATCATATCGTTATGAGGGATCCATTTTTTTAATGTAAAATAGGGATCTTAAAAAGATGAAATAAAAAAGATGATATTAAATAGTGTACATAATAGCTGTAAAAAGAAAATCATACTTTTGGAAATGGGTTTAAACAAAGTGGAACGAATAAATGACTGTAGTAACATGGGGACTGATGCAAAGCACTTTTATTTTATCATTGCTCCCTCTGCGATGGTTAGGTTCCTAGTGGTGCATTTTTTGGGTTAATTTTGCAAATCTTCCTCAAAATGAAGTTGGTAATCAGTAGACAGTTACTTATTTATCATGACATGTTTTTATCAAAAAAAGAATGGTACATTTGCTTGTTAAAACTAAACACTGCGCTTCATTGAGTTCTGTTCCATGATTGCACACAACCAGAGCCTCAGTTCGACTACGACTTTGTCCAAATTACTCGCCATGGCCGGCAAAATAACACACGCCTATGAGAAGCGGCTTAGGCACATCCATAGCCACATGTGTAAATTTTGCAAGCTGTGTTACGGTGCTCTGATTATGTTCTTCTCAATGTTTGTAGTTTCCCTATTTTGTATGAACTGTATAAAACTTTGCAGTTTGTACTATGTTGTAGTGATTTCTACTGATTTGTTTAATCAAGTGAAACAGCTAGGTGTAGATGTATTTATGTATTTTTAATTTTTTTGAATGAGTTTGTTGTTACGTTTCCTTGAATACATTTTCATAATTGCTGCTTTTTAAAATCCTTTGATTTTTCCCCCTCAGTTGGCATTAGTTATTGACTTATTTTTGGATCCTTGTTTTCACATACATGTATCAGTATAATAGTATAGACTGGTTTCGTGGCTTTGTACCGGACATACCGTAAGTACATATTAGTTAAATATTTCCCTGCATAGAAGAACCCACACAGTACAGTGGTGAAATTGCAAGGCGATGGAGTCTGCACCAAAATGTAAATTTTTCACTTACTTAAAAAACAAACCTGTAACTATATACTGTTAACTGATATTCTGTTCATTGTAACTATGAGTATCTGTGCACCATATTTTTGTAATTTACCCTCTCCACCAAATAGCCAGCACCAAACCCTGTGTGTGCTGGATTTTGGAGGTTGTCATTTAAAGCTATAGTCCATTATTTGTAATTTGTGCATTTTGTTCGTTTGAACAAAAGTGTTCAAAATCTAATGAAGGATACTGAGCAACTAACCTGATGAAGTTTCAGCTAAGCTTCAGCTGTACATTCCGAGAAAAACAGCATTCTAAGATCTCAATTTCAAATCAAAAGTTACTGAATCATGTTTTGAATTGTTTTGAATTGCAGCTATACGCGATGTCGCGTACTGATCTGACGAATTATAACAACCGCGCGCGCGTGTGCGTCGTTCCAATACTTGTGCGCACTGCGCCGAATAACAAAACGAACTACTAATTTAAATTTTCCTACGGTGCTTCTTAAGAATCACCGTTGGAAATGCCTTCTTTCGTTGATTACTTCAAAATGACAGCTTCCCAAAAAGAATAATTTCACAGGAAGTTTAGTTCCCTTACTATCTTTCAACCAAGTTTGTTTTTCAACAGTAATTACGCCAGTTACTTTTCGGATGGCTGCAAATGATGGACTATAGCTTTAAACAGTTCAAATCGGATGACATGTACACATGTACACGCAAAGGTTTTGAGGTATTAAGAACAGATGACGGATAAACACGCAACGAGCGAGACCAGAAATATCTGTCTGTGACCCGCTCGCAGCGAGCGAGGCCAGAAATATCAGGGTGTGCTACCCGCAGATGACGGCCTGAACCCGTCTGGCATTGAGGTTTGTGAAAAACAATCCCGCGCCTGGGTCCGGTCAATGTCAAAATAATTCCGGCGCGAACTGGTTAACAGAACCCAAGTTGGGAGAGAGTGTTACATTTGTTTAATTCTTGAATCTGCTGGAGACTGCTAACAGAGCGTTGGATTGCCAAGTCAGTAGAGGGCGGAAATGTGGCTCCAAAAAAACAAGGCATGACTTCGTAAAGTCCAGGACTTTTCAAGTTCTTTGTAAAAGTTTAAATAAAAATACATTTAGGAGAAAATTAACTAATTGACATGCACAGATTTGAGAATTTGTAAACCGTAGATTTTTTTCTTTCTTTTTCTGTTAAGAGAAATCAAGAAATGATTGAAATTTGATGAAATTTTCGCACAAGTATTTTTGGTATCTGACCGATTTTCAACGCCAACTTTCAGAAGAGAATTTTGTATGGTATTATATAGAGTTTTAAGTACAGGCCAACGGTGTAACTTGAAATGACACTTGTCTATGAAAATTGTATTGGTCGTGTGTTGCCAAAAGCATAAAACACTTATAGATTTATATTGAATGACCAGAGTTCTAAGTCACTACTCAAATTTGGCATGTTTTGAGTACGGATATTAGCATATATAATTGTGTTACATGCTTGTATTGGTGGTGTTAAAACTGATTTGTCCAAAACAGAAATGCACAATCAGTGACAGAGCGTTCGATTTTGCTGTCCGTAAACAACGCACGTGTCATGGTACATGTACACTGTATGTGCTGAAGATTTTGCCATACTCATGCCAATGCAAACCCATCCGTTGTACTTTCAGCATTGCATTCAAAACACATTCATAAATACCCGAGACAGTTTACCCATTCCTATTGGTCGAGAGCCTGTCACGTGGGTGGTTTTAAACCGCCAGTAAAACACTGCTGCATTCTGCGCCATAGGAGATTAGCACTGCGCACGTGAGGCATACCACATAGCCATACAAGAGCAGATCCAGAACACAAATTTTTTTTTTGGGGGGGGGGGTTTCCAAAAAAATGTTGGTCCTCATATTGGATTCTAGATGCTATGTGGTGCGATCTGGGGCAATTTCTGAACACTTTAAACAATTTATTTTGAGAAAAAGATGGTGGTGTACGCAGTGCCTGCCTTTATTGCGACGTCACTTTTAAAAAAAATGGGTTCGTTTTTTTTGGGGGGGGGGGGGCGAGGGCATGGCCCCCCGTTGCCCCCCCCCCCCCTCCGGATCCGCCCATGTAGACATAGGAGTGTTCCACAAAACATGAATGAAACTTGAACAAAATTGTTTGAAATTTGTGAATTGTTTTGACTTGTTGACCGAAAGGTATTTACGAATGGGAATAAATATGTGCTTGACTGGTTTTTGAACAATTAAGTATAAAACAAGCTAGCGGCTGGGTTGTGGATAATGGGTCTCACCGAACATTATCCACAACCAGGCTCCTAGCTGGTTTTAAATGTACTTTTTTAAAACTGGCCAAGCACATATTTGTTCCCCTTATTCGTAAACTTTTATCTCATTTCATGAATTTAAAAGCCTGTACTCAGGATGGCTTTGAAGTATTCTGTGAAAAGGAGTAAGTTAGTGCTCTAGTTATTTACTATAACTCTATAAATGCAACTCATTTAGGGTTGATATTTTGAAAATAAAGGAAAGATTAATTTACTTTAATATAAAAGAAATGAAATTTGTACTTTTGTTTTTTTCTCGGTTGTTTTGTGTGTTGTGTTTGTTCCATAATAAAAGGGAATATACATCTTTTGCTTTTGCTGTAATTTTCAGAAATGGATGGAATTGGGGGGTTGGAAATATATAGCAAATATAGTTACACTGACTTTTTTGAGGTTTTGGGTTCGAAAATGCTATAAAAACCGAGAAAAACAATCATTTTCCTGTAGTCTGGTTCCCTGACTCCATATACGAAGAAACAGCAGTTTACATACATTGGGGAATTGTAAGGTCAGGGAACCAATCGATTGCAAACAAGTGCGATTGTCAATTGGGGCCAGTATTTGAAAAAAAGCCAGTTTTTTCCAACACTCATCGGCCGATCAGCGTTGGAAATTGATACAAAAATACCACTTTTCTTGAAAATGACAGTATACCAGGTGCCATAATTTTACAGGATGCTTTACACTGTCATTCACTAACAGTCCAGCAAGGTATTTCAAAATGATTTGGTAGTTTTATTTTTTGATGTTTGCAAATGTTGTATTTTCCCTTTAATCATGCGCAAGGCAAGTGCTTAGGAAGTGTTTCATTGACAACCAGTAATAAAACCCCATGCTGCTGACCCATTCACCACTACAATTCTTTCAAGAGATAAAATGAACAAAAAAAAGACACGACAAAGAATTTCATTTTACTGATTCATGTTCCTATTTATTAATAATTCTGAATGTCGATTGTCCCAGAATACAAGGTAAGAGTGCACTGAACCTATAGGTCTCTCTCAAAGGCGGCCATCTCTGTAACAGAACTGCAACTGCGTATTTTACGCAATAAAGCACGCATTGCGCAGTGTTGAAAATGTTCCAAACGCGCCCTCTAGTTGCCAATGCACATAGCTAGTCTGTAGCAAATTATGTCATTTGAAAGAGACCTATACTAGGGGGGAAAAATGATTTGTAATGAATTTACAGGGTTAATGAATAAACCAAACCCCACAATTTTTCCCAAACAGCTGACGGCATAAATACTTTATTCCAGAACAGTGTGATTGCTGCATTTTAAACGGTTACCAAAAACTAGAGCTAACGAAAACATGCTAATCATTTACCCTCCAGAACTTTTAAAAGTCTGTTTTATATTCGCAGATTTCTAATGAGATAATGACTAGTCAGATAATTATTTTACATGTACAAGTCATTCACTCATCATAATTATTCCTTAAACGCATCTTAAATAATTAAAATAAATGACACAGAAATCTGACACGGAAGTATAAAATGACAAGGTGATTTGTTTTATGTTTACAGCTAAAAGTTGCCAAAGTACAATAGTAATATACATTTATATACAAAAATCTAGACAACTGTTTACAAACTATATTTTCCTTAAAATGTGATAAACGCTATTTGGAATTGGTTTGCGCACTATATTTCATGAATTTTAGTCTTTTCAACCACTGGACTTTCAAGCGGTACATTGATATAAAAGGTTATGATGTATAACTGGGGGAAGAAATGAAGCAATTTCATAAGTTTAACCATCGTTCCATGAAACAGTCACCTATCCTGTTTCAAGACCCATTTTTATTCAACGCCTGAATAAATCCCCGTCACCTGATTGGTAAATCGTTATCACATGTCGGTGAATTATTCGTCCCAACCCATGTCCCAGCCGCACCGCAAAAATAGAAGTTCTATTCCACATGTTCCACGATAAATAGAATTCCATAGCAAGGCCATCTGATTGGTGGCTCTGCACAATCAGACAATGAGGATTTATTCAAAAGTTGAATAAAACAAATAATTAATGTTTCACATTCGTGCAATGAAAATAATCATTTAATTCGGTGACAAATGAAATGTTCCATTCCACTTGGGCTTTGCCTTGTGCAATGGAACATTATTTCCGTCACCTCATGAAATTATTCTTACCATTGCACTCGTAAACATTCATTATTTGTATAATACTGCAGTTACTGTGTTATAAAAGCCCCAAAAATTTCATGAAGACGTGCTGGAAAAAACCTCTACAACTGTACATCAATAAAATGAAGTTAAAACGGCTGTTGCCTACATTATGTACACCGTGTATGTACTATCGTATTTATATTTATATTCATGAATAAAAACGTCACGTTTTCAGTTAAAATGAGAATTGGAATTTAAAATCGGAAGACGATACAAGTGATGGTCAAAAAGAGATCGCTAGAGTTCTAAAAAATGGAAAACAAATGCAGCATGGAGGAATGTACATACAGTAGCTGCATTTTAGAATGCAAGGCAGAAATTCTGCAAGACATGATAATCTTTTTTTTTACATCTTGATCGATATTTTACAAAGTGTATTGGAATACTTCTCCGTGTCCGAAATGTAAACAATTTCTACATTCACAGAGTGATTTGACATGGATCACTAAGTTATGACATGCCCTTTTGAAATTTTGAAGCAACTTCCATCACAGATCATTGGCTTACTTGTGGTTTGATTCGTGATAAAAAGAATCTACCACAAGTGCTTTCATTTCAGTGTACGTGACGGCAACACTGGAAGAAATGGATTTCTTTCCCCGTCTTATCTTACCCCTCCCACATGTACCCCTTCCCTTTTAACAAGCTTCCGTTCTTCAAAGTTCTCCAAGTGATAGAGTCCGTCCGCCATCTTATCTCACCCCTCCCGCGTGTACCCCTTTCCGTTTGCCACTCTTCCGTCCTTCAAAGTTCTTCTCCAGGTTCATGGAGACCTCTCGCTGGAGATTTGGGAGGCTGTCCTTCACTGTTCCCCCACCGCTCACCACCCAGGGATGTGCTAAGACCTGCTTGGCCGTGTAGCGTTTCCTCTTACTGACGACCAATAAGTGATCAATCAAATCTTTGGCATCTGTTTCAGAAAAACAAAACAAAGAAAATAATGAAGAGGCTGTGTTAAATTGGACCAATTGAATTGATGGAGACTTCAGGGAATTGATGGAGATTTCAGGGAATCCAACTTTTTTTTGCAGATGCCAATTCAGGACTCAGGAGTGAATTTCATGCAGCACAGAAATCTGTTTAGCACAGAAAAAAAATTTCTTAATATGAATGGTTACCAACCATTTGGTTACCGAATGGTTACCGAACCCAAGAAAAACATTCTGTGCCTACCATCTGAGATGTTGTCCCAGTAAGGTGACAAGTAGACAAACTCTCCAGCCTGGATGAGTTCAAACAACTCCTCTTGGTCTCGGTCCAAGCTGCGGAACGGCGGGAAGCCGCACAGTAAGATGTAGCAGATGACACCGGTGGCCCACATGTCGACTTCGAGACCATAACCTGCCAGAACAATAAACAGAACGTGTATTGGATAATGGACTCATGCCTGACCAATAGAGGGCGCTTTGTGACGAAGTACAAAATCAAAATCTTCCAAAATCTTCTAGTGGCTTTTTAAGGATCTTAGAACGTTAGCGTTACATAGTCTCATAGTGCAGTAATGTCTTCATTCCTGATTTAAACAGTGAACTTTTCTTTGTTCGTTGGTTTTTTTATTTTCAGTTTTTGGAAAGTCTGTGATGCTAATTGTCTCAAATAACGTAATTTAAAGTTTCAGACCATAATTTTGCCTCCAAGTGTGATTGTAGATGATTTGTAGATGCGTATCAGTTCAAGGAGTGCATAATCAAAATGTTATTGTGCTATTTCTTACCCGTTTCTGCTAGTATTTCCGGGGCGACATACGTGGGTGTCCCACACACCGTGTAGATGGGTGCTTTGACTTCCATGGCCAGGCCAAAATCAGCCAACTTGAGGGTGATGTCACCTGAGGAAGACTTGCTGACCTGAGAACGGAAATGAAGGGGGGGGGGGGAATAAATAAAATGATTAACAAGTTCTACACCAGTGGATTACATGTAAATTGAACTATTTTCAGTTCTGCATGTCACACCTAGAAGCTTTAGTTACTAGGACTTTACAAAATATGAATCAGGCAAAACAGAACAGTGTCAAGCTTACATGTAGATATGTCTCATGTGAAACTGACATACATGTTCACGTTACTCCAACACATACATGCTGGAGAGCGTTTTTTCGAATACCATCCAGGTAGCTTCAACTTTTTTTGGCACAATTTTTTAAGGTCCCTTTACCATGTTTACAATGCAATCTAATAATAATTTTCAAACAGTAAACAGTGCTACATGCCTACAGTGTGTACCCTTACAAACGCACACTAAAATCTTAAAAGTGCATAAATGTGTTTCCAAGCGTGCATACACATCAAACATGCATTTGTAACCATACTGTGTATCAAATTTTCAAAATTTCTTTTTTTTTCTGCACTTTTCTTCATGCTCAGCCGCAGATAAAATATAATGACTTTAATAGTCGTAAGCATTTGTGACAATTTACAATCTGAGCGTCAAGGGTTCGAATCCAGATGCAGGCAAAATAATGTACATTTCATGCAGAGAAGATTAGGGACAAATAACCCATATATCGCTTGGGACAGACTTAACGTATTTCAGACATAAATGTCACCAGAAAGAGTGACATGGTGAACAAACCTTGCTGTACCATGTACAATTCAACACCGGAAATGTCTAAGATTGCAGCAATATAACCCATCCAAAAAGCCCATAGCCACAATAGCCATGCAATTATCTAATGTAAGATCTAAAAAAACCTTTATAGTCTGCAAATTGGTGCAAAAGCAAAAGAGAAACTCGTGCATGTGTCATACTATAAGTGGCAGCATTTTCCTTTTCAGAAAAGAGTTGTTCAAAATTAAATTGCCAAAGATTTTCTCAAATCACACTGATTTTTTTTCTCTGTATTACTGCTAATGCAAGCTCAGTTTTTCAATAATCTAAACATTCCATGAAAACATGTGTGCTGTATAAGGGGTGCAAGTTTGTTGTTAATCAGCAAAGGCAAACAGGCATTATTTTTTACAAATAACTTACCGGACGATTCACAAACTAGCACGCAGAAGGGGGAAAAATGAAAATTTTTGAAGGCACGACAATAGAGCATTAGAAATATGCAGTCATTCGGTACAGGTAAGCATGTATATATACATGTAGCTCAAATGGAAAAAATAATAATAAATACATAAAAATAAGAACCCTCAAAAATATGTCTGAAAGGTTTCCGAAAAGTCTGAATTACAACATTGGTCTAGCAGGAAGTTTTTTTCCTCGTAATCCTTTTGTTCGCGTACAGTCTACAGAGGGACTGAGTTTAATTACTTAATTTGCCCACACAACCAAAAGGTCGCGCCTGACAGATGGTGCATTTCCAACTTCAATTTCAGCAAAGTGCTTTGAATTTAAATGCATCTGAAGTGTACTTCACAACTATCCATATTTTGAGGGCCGAACATTCTTGAATTGTACAAGTATGTTAGTTTGAAAACCCAACGTAAAAATACACAACAGCCTTTTCAGCATGTTGCAAACAGCTTTACTACAAATGTAAAGAGTTTTTCTGTTACTTTTTTTTAATGTGTTTACTGCTTATTTGAGAATGATTTGAGCCACAACTTACCAATAGGTTTTCGGGTTTGAGGTCTCGATGGACAATGTTGAGACTGTGCAGATAAGCCAAGGCACTGGCCATGTCGCTGATAATAACAGCCGCGTCCGCCTCGGTGAACTTAACGCTCTCCGTGATGGCGTCAAACAAGTCCCCTCCCCGGATGAACTCCATCACCAGGTAGATGTTCTCCCTGGTCTCGTGTTCCTCAAAGAGTTTGACGATGTTGGGATGGTTGATGTTCTTCATGATCCCAATCTCGTTTTCGATCATGTGCTCCTTGCCCGTGAGCTTGGACTTGTCCACAATCTTCATCGCGAACACTTGCTCTGTGTTCTTGAGTGTAGCCTCGTGGACATCCGCGAAATTACCGTCGCCGATTTTCGGGCCGATGGTGTACCTGTTCAGAATCGAATCCTTGTCCACAATCTCTCGTGGGTCCGATGTGAAGTCCAGTTTCTTCTTCTGATTACCTTTGGCTTCAACTTTATCCACAGGTGAATGAAGTTCATGGTTATCATATACACCTTCCTGTGAATCGAAATCTCTTGCATCAATACTGTTGATTTCATCATCTGGTGTCTGAATGTTTTCTAATTCCGCTAATCTTTGTTCTTCTTCTTCCTCTTCCAACCGTCTCCTCTCCGCATCTTCCTCTCTTCTCCTTCGCTCCTCTTTCTCCTTCCGTTGAAGTTCCTCCTCTTTTGCTTTCAGCTCCGCCTCTTTCTTGGCAATGGCCTCCAGTCGTTCCTGTTCTGATTTCTTTTGTCTGTCCTCCAGGAGCTGTTTCTTCAGCTCCTCTTCCCTCTTTCTAAGCTCCTCTTCCTTCAACCTCAATTCTTCCTCTTTCTTCCGATTTGCCTCCTCTCTCTCTGCCTCATCTTTCTTCTGCCTCTGTTCCTCCTCCTTTTGTCTCATCTCATCTTCCTTTTCTGCGTCTTCACTCTCCATTTCGTCTTTCGTCTTTCTAGCTGCATCTCCATCCTCTCTGGGTGTCTTCTCCACATCCTTGGATCTCCTCCCTGCTTTCTTGGGCTTGGCCATGGAGAGAACCTCTCCCCCTTCATCCTCCTCCAAACCACTATCGCTCTTACTGTCCCGCCCCTTAGTCCGTCTCCTATGCCCCTTGGCATAGGGGTTACTGGGAAAGTTCTCAGCGTAGATTTCAGCAATCTCTTCCTTACTCAAGTGGTGTTTCGAAGCGGATGCGATAAACGCATCGTCGGGATTCCTAAAGAAATCTGCCACTCCCTTCACCTCCTTTCCCTGGACGGTATACAGCTTCCGAATCCTGTGGTTTTTGTATTTGGGAAGACCGAATGCATCCGAGATGTCTTGAACGAGCATCTCGTAGGACTGGACACTCCTCTTGTTCAGCAGGAGAGAGACACTCTGGCGCGGCTTGGGTCCGGCCTTGACGATCTTACAGAGCTTTGGTTTGGAAGGACTCAGGTCTGGATGAAGTGACCCGGTGGACTTAGACACGGGCTCTCTCTCTCGATGAGACAAAGGCGGCCTCTTGACTCCAGGGAAGGAGAAGGAGACGGGTCCACTGCCTCCCTTCTTGAGCGAGTCAGAACCTCCTGCAGGACTCCTTGCATAAGCTGCTGCATACTTGCCAGTGCTGGGGTAGGAGTAACTAAACCGACCATACAGATCACTCTGTAGCTGACTGTGTTTGCCTGCAGAAAACATAACAAACCAAGAAATGTTACGGTAATACTCAAGTTGTGCCAGAAAAGCAGATTCATTTGAATTCCTCTTCAAAATCAAGTCCAAGACAAAGCAAATTTACAAATTGATCGTGAGAATTATTTACAGTGATTTCTTTAAGAACAAAGTAAATGAACAGCTCTTTGCAGTCATAGATGATCCACAATATATATTTTTTATGAAATCAGCTTACAATATTGAATCCTTTGTAAATTTTTAAGGAATTTTTGCAAGCAATTGGACGATGGGGGGGGGGGGGCGGATTCTGCCCCCCCTAAGATCTCGGCCATCAAGTGACGAAAATTTTTGAAACTCGGCACATGCATAGAGGACTCTTCCTAAACATACCCAAGAAATTTCATGACTATAGGTCAAAGGGTTTTGGAATTATGGCTAATTAATTATTCATATGTACGAACGATGTAATTCTGCTCTGTGTACACGACGTATATGCGAAAATTCAGTTTTCACGGCGCATAGCGCTGAAATTTTTTTCGCTACACGGCAACCCGTGGTCCGATTTTTATGTTTTTGGTATCAAAAGATGCGCAAAGCTCGAGGCTAAAAAGTCATAACAGCTCGGGTCGCGCAAATTTTTTTTTTAGAGGCTATCACGGAAAATGTTGAGGGGGGGGGCAGATTCCGCACCCCCCCCAGCCCCTTTAGGGTTAAGAAAGGTTGATATCATATGAAGCTGTGATACAGTTTTGTGTAAATTTTTGTATCTATGGCATCTAATGTCTTTGTTTAATACACACTACATGCATTTACTATGTGTATGTCATACGTACACAGAATGTATACAGACTGAATTTATCCTTGACAGTAAAATCAGGGGAAATATACAAGTAGACAGTACAAATTGCTCAGTAACTGAAGTAGTCAGATACCTTGAATTATTTTTTAATAACAACAAATCTCAGTTGCTATGTTACATCATGTATTGTCTGTTTTCTTTTGTGGGTTGCCCATGTGAATTCTTTCATCAGGGAAACACAATTCAACTTGTTTGCATTAGCGCTCCGCTTAAAAGTCAAAGGTTAAAGAATTTACGAACACGGTTCGCACTGTGATATTAAAAAGAAATAGCCGATTGTATGCATACAGTTGTATCTAGTGCCCACGTTCAAATTTATGAAAAAAAAGTCTCCGGTTTCTGGTATGGAGCTTGCCCAAAAAGTGGTGCGGCGACGCGGCTTTTTTTGATTTTTGATTACTGCAAATGGTGCCCGATTAAACTTGGTGCAAATATATGGGAGTCCAGAGAGGCCACATAAATCATATTTTCGACCATAACCCAATCTAAAAACACGTTAAAATTGTGCAGCAGCAGGATTCCAGTCAAACCAGTGAGTTTGGCGGTTTTGAGACATCATCTTTCATTAACATTTTTTTTTTTCATTTTGCCGACGCGCATGGCTATGGCGACGCGCGCGCATACCAGAAACCGGAGACTTTTTTTTTTGGCCTAAATGTTTTGAGTTTCAGCCTGACTTTTTTGAGTTTTTTACTTTGCTATTATTTGAGCAATACAAATATTATTTACTTTTGAATGAGCCACTGACTAAAATGGAGTTGTCTCACATTCATAGAATTACTTTACAAATTTTGAATTATTCAAAGCCAGACAATAATGTGGGGTAGACTGGTTCCCACCCCCTTTCAGAATTGATAATGTATGGGACCGAGAACCTGTCTACTCGTGAACAAGATCTGTTCGCGCACAAAAGTAAAACCAAACCAAAAGCTTTTTGAAAGGTTTGCAGATACTCATAATAGAAACAAAATAGTTTTTTTCCATAATATTTCAACATACAATTTGAAAATTTGTTAAGAGAAAGGCATTTGAAGAGCACAGAAAGTACATCTTTAAAACAGTCCTTTTTCACTCCATTCAGTTCAGACGTCTGCCAGAATTACCTGTGCACTGACAACAGCATCTCTGTGGTCGACCCCAAACATACTTCTTGAAATAGATCGGCCCTGTCACTTCGTCCTCACAAAAACTGCCTAAATCTCCTCTCATTTTGAAGATTTGAAAAAATGTCTTAGATCACACCAAAGGCTCCAAATCCAAATGTCAAAGGCTGCTCTCAGAATACTGCACATCCAAGGTTTCCACAACCAAGACACATGTACTTCTGTCTAAGATAAATGTACAATCTTCGGTGATAACTTAAGTTCTCTGGTGATGCACAAAGACCAATTCTTGCTCCTCGATAAAGCAGGAAAAGTTGATTTCATATTTCAGCACTAATCTCTTCATTTGTTAACCAAAAGCTCATGCTTCCAAAATACCAGCTGGACATCAAGATTTCAGCCTACATGTACCTCAGAGATATTAATCCATGTGTGAATTCCAACGTCTCAACTTTTGTGCGTCCATCATTTTCCAATTCTACACGCATCCACCAATTACAAAGAGTGCCAATTGCCCATGATTACTGCTATACAGCAGAGTGCTCCACTTTAATTCCACATCACAGAAGAAGTAATCATCTAAATTGAGGAGTTTGATTGTCTGCCGAGACGTCTTCAAACACAAAGACCCCGCAATATCCGGGAGGCAATTTCAGGCAATAATCTACGGACTCGTCAAATATACACAAAGTACGGTCGCTTGGATGGACTAGGCATACAACAGCATTGTCCAATCAGGATTAGTTGACATCGAGAGATCTTTTGATTGGTTTACTGAACAAGATATATTGCTTATAGGTTTTATTTTCAGTAAGCAAAAAATCAGCAAAGATCTGGGCCCAATTTCACGGCGCTGCTAAGCACAAAAATTTGCTTAGCACAAAAATAGTCTGGCTTATAAAAGCAGGTAACCAGCCAAAACTCCACGTGATGTATATTGCTCGTGATCAGTATTCAGCTGTTGTTTGCTTAGCATGAAAATCACATGGAGTTTTGGCTGGTGACCTGCTTTTATAAACCAGACTTTTTTTTGTGCTAAGCAAATTTTTGTGCTTAGCAGCGCCGTGAAATTGGCCCCTGGTCAAAAGAAAAAAAAAACTCACACTACATTTTTAGTGGCTCTGTGTTGTTGCTTAGGAAAACCACATTGTGTGAGCTTGTCTTTGCAAAAGAAAATACGTACATATGTACTGGTAGTAAGAATACAATACAAAACTAAGTGAATTTGCATTTTTTTGTTTTTTTTGTTAACACAGTAACACATGAGAAGTTTCATCTAAGTTGAAGTACATACACGTAACTTGCTATCAAAAAATGAACTCATCACATTTATGTAAACTTGCTTCCAAAGTCCATGATGACAATTTCTTATCACAATGTACAGATCCTTGCCAGGTGTTTTTGCAGGTAAAGAATTGTACGTATTGCTAAAAATGCTTAAAGGGAATGTACATCATTGGCTTTTGCTGTAATTTTCAGAAATGAACTATTTGAGGGGTTAGTATACATGTAATAGGCCTAGATCAAATATTGTTTACCTGACATGTTTTGAAGTTTTGTGTTTCGAAAATGCTTGAAAAACCAAGAAAAACTAAAAATGTTTAAGTAAGTCTGGTTCCCTGACTCCACTAAAGATAAAATGGATCAATTTATAATTGTCAGAAAATTGTAAGGTAAGGGAACCAGTCTAGCTGGCCTGCACCCGTTCATGAACATGTAACCAACAGCAAACAAAATTTGGACTGAAAATTGTAAATTTGGAGCAGTAGTTGAAAAATAGTTAGGCTTTTCCAACGGTGATCGGCCGACCACCGTTGGAAATGTATACAAAAATACAAGTTTCTTGAAAATGACTTGACACCAGGTGCCATAATTTTACAGGATGCCTTAGACTGTCATTTACCAACATCCTAGTAAGGTATTTCGTAAAAACTTGGTAGTTTTATTTTTCGATGTTTGCAAATGTTGTATATTCCCTTTAATATGTTTAAGCCAAGTACATGTAGCAGCATACAGTTTGAACATGATCTGAAGCTCATTATTCATGCAAATCTTTTGTGAACAGGTGAAAGTTAAAAGGGTCTGACAATTTGATCCTAGCCGAAAATTCTCAAGAAATACCGTACACAGGCATGGATTATACAGGAAAATGACAAAGAAGGGAAACATGGGACACAAAGAAGGGAACAGAGACTGAAGTGGAGAGTTGGAGGCCCTCAGGGGACCAGGCAGAGGGAGCATGCAATGGAACGTGAATAGGGAAAAGATTCAAAAGACACATTCTACTGTTCTAAATCTTGCATGCAAACACACTGGTTCTTCCTATCACTGAGTATAATTAGTCACAATCAACCATGTCAACAGATTCCATTGAAATCACTTAACGTTTGGATCATCAGGATCGTCAGAGTTGTAGAGTTATTGTCTCTAGAGGTTTTTGACAACCACATACATGTGTACAGTACATTGTACAACTACGCTAGCCCGACAATAGATATAATCGTTGCTTTAGACACCAGTTTCAAACACGGGCAACTTTGCGAAATTTAAAAACTGCAAGGTAATTCTCTCACCATTCCGTTGAGAAATCCTCGGTGACAGCCCGAGTTTTCCATTCACATACATGTTACCAATTCACCATGGCAATGACTTTGGTGGTACTACCATGCACTCACAACAATAGTTGCTAACAAACAAAAAATTCCAGTCAGGCGTTCATCGCAAAAGTCACATCAGATTTGACAAAAGAATGAAAGAATCGTAGCGTGTCTGGTGATATATATAAAAATCAATGGCACAGATGCCGACTGAAGATCCGGCAGGCTAGTACCCGATTGTGAAATTCCAACACTAGAAATTCTTTAGAAGTCGGTTTTCGTTACCCGGACGAGAGGACCATAGACGCTTCTGAACTTTGCACACAAACTACTTGAAGATCAAAACAAACACATAAAATCAACACCACCCAAATGAACCCCATTATTGCGCGGTGTTGTTGACGGCTAGCGTCTTTGTGTTGCCATGATGTTGTGTGAGCAATAGCTTTTTAATTATTTGAATTGTTTGAAAAGCCACCATTTATCAAAATCCTTCCATGTGTATATGCCAGCTGCCGTGACACATCCAGCGAGTTTCCATGGAAACAAGATGCAGTTTTTCAATGAAAAATTGAAGCACTCATTTAAAGTAATCAGAAATTTTGGTCATAATTTCTGTTTGGTAGGGTTGAGAATTTTAGATGGTGTTACTCAATAGCTATTGCATTATAGGAAAAGGGTCGGTACCATAGATATTAAATTACTAGAGCGCTGACTCATAAAGTGATGCCTGCTGGGCGCATCCATATTTGTGCACAAACCTATGGAAAACTCGAAATTTTGTACGGATATTTGCATATATCTGCGCAAGCTTGTATTCTATACAGGTGCGTTACCGAAGCCAATACGCCCAAAACCGAAACGCACTATCAGCAAATGAGCGTGTCATTTTGCTCTACGCAAACAGTGTAACACGTGCGCGTATCCGCTGCAGATGATTAACCGTGACTTTTTGTTAAACCGTTATGACGCATTTAAATTTTTTACGTATACATGTACATGTTCTACTTGCGCGCAGCATTTAGAGTACACTTTCAAAATTCAATCCATGTTCTACAAACACGCACATGAATTCAAAATGTCTGTGCCCAGGACGGCTTCAAAGTGTCTCCGCACGCAAGAATGAGGAGTTAGCGCTCTAGTAATTTAATATAGCTCTATGGTCAGTACATACATGTACATGTACTAAATAATCAACATGTGCATGTACCGTATGTATTTTGATAATGTTATCAAACAAATGTTATAAAACTACATGTTATCCTGTTACATTAGTTTTACAACCACAATCTGAAAACCTGCCTTACATGTACATGTACATGTAGATTATCTCTTCCACTGTTAAATGCAGCCTATTTATCATTGTTTACAGCTACATGTATGTAGTAATGGCAGATTGGATACCTAATCACTAAAACAAAGGGGTCAAGGGAAATGATACTGCCACAAACAGATGTTGTCATTGATCCGTTTCTTTCACTTTGTTGTGCCGAAGCACAGAATTTTCCCATATTTTCCCCATCTTTTCATGCATTTTTCATGTACATTTCTTGATGACTTCAGGCCTGAAAAATTCACCAGGGAAAAATTTCTCAAAGCTCTGCTCTGGAATTACATGTAGTTAATGCATGGAAAGGGCCATTATAGTGGTATTTTTTGCTGCTCCACAGTTGCTTCAAATAATATTTTAAATGCTATAGACTACACTGCAACTATTCAAGGCACACAACATTACCCCTCAATTTAGAATTAACATACAACTGTGAAGTTATAGCTTTAAGAAGACTAGCCTGAACTGTTATTTGTGTTACTTCAGTTCCCTACCTGAGTTGACACACAATAACGTTGTGTTTGCATGAGAACCCTTAAATAAACTTGCCAGTAATCCCTCTGCTGGGGCAAAGTGGCAAATGTTTGGTCTTATTATGTAGTGATACAAATCAAATCTGTTGTTGCCACTACAAACTCTTAATTCCTAGGCAACCAAGGCTTCGGTTAACACCCTGGTTTCTTGGTTTCTGAAGGACATTTTGGATTTTTATATAAAGAAATTAAAACTGATTATTGATATTTAGTAAATGAATCTTGTTCTGTAATTTCTGTACAATTTTGTTAGGTGTGGTGTTTAAACAGTTAAATACATTTTTGAAATTACTCTCAACATGCGTGCGCTTCAACCAATTCATGTCATGAATGTTTTTTATTCTGTTTTTTTTTAATCTTATATTTTGTTTCAACAAATTATTTTTAAGGGCCTCTGAAACCCTTCAAAAAAGGTTCTATTTTGCATTGCTTTTGAACCTCAAAATTCACAAATAGATCCCATGAATTTTGCAGCAAGCAATTTGAAATTTGTAATGTAATTATTCCTAAACATGAGCACATCTTATTCAAAGTCTCATTTAAAAGTGAATAATTTTGTATTGTCAATTAATTTTTAAAGTGGAGGTGGGGGGGGGGGGACCCAAAAATGTAGCATGAAGAAAGCTACTGTAAAATAGCATTTCTTCAATAAATAAACAATGAAACCTTGGAATACATGTATTTTACTCATAAGAAATGCAGATGTTCAGAGGCTGAACCATCAAATATAAATTGAATTAAAAGGTTCGAGTCTAAACCCACTAACAGAGGACAATGCCTCACAACGCTACACACGATTGATTTTAAGCCAGCATTAATTTTAAATCTCATTCGTCCATTCCATTGTCACCGTCTGTTAAATTTTCATTTTACATCCATCAAACGTCAAGTAATTAAATGGGCTTTGTAATTTTGGGCGTTATGCTTGCTGCATACCGTCTGTATGAAAAACTTGAACCTTGTGCGAATATGTTTTGGTGTTTGCTGTTGCAATTACAGACTTTAATTTTTGATTGATGTGTTCTTTGCAAGATTTTCAATTTCATAAATGTTCTATGCCGTCACCATCGTCCGCTTACAAAATCACATGAATTGACAGGCTCACGATTGACAAGGTTTGAAATGGATAGACAAATATTACGAAACAAATGAAGAAAAAAATCAGTCAAAATCAATCAAGTGATTGCTGGTTTTAATTTTCTTGATAAATTTGATATCGCAAAGCTTTGATTGGAGGTGATTGACATGCCAGCTTTACCTACCAGTTATGTGTACCTCTTTAGTGTGTTGATGAAATTTGACAGGACGCAGTGTCTACATGAATGTGATCTAACTGTTGTTTTTACTAGTCTGTGTACAAATGCATGGCAGAGGAAGTGGAAGAGATTTTTGACTGTCTGTGACTGATCAAACAATAGGAGGGTTAATTAGACAGAAAATTATGCACAATGATGTGCTAGTCACTATATTGGCTTGTTGTCTTCAGCACGTATAATTGTGAGGCATTCTAACAAAATGAGACAGAACTGGGCTCAGGCCGTAGTGGACAAAAATGCAAAAAAACCAAATGGGGAAATTTGATTTGGATTTTCAGGTTTATTGATGTAATCTTTGATGTCTATATTACACACAAAATAAGGAAATAGTGTAAAACTTGTGAAATAAAAGTGTTATTAAGGTAAAACACTTAGAGTCTTTCATTTTCATGACCACAAAACGTCAAGCTTTAAAGGCCCTTTTCTCAGTATTTTACTTTTTGACATGTCGATGAATGCGAACCTTAAACAGCCATAACTTGTCAATGGTACATGTATACATGTCCGATTAGAGTACAACAAACAATATTGTAAAGAGAATTTGTTTCTTTTTCCTAATACCCGCAAACCCTCATTTTGACCTCTGCCCAGTTTTGTCTCATTTTTGCGACAACGTCGCACAATTTTAGTCTGATAAATAGGTTTGCCTTATGCAAAACTACACACATGTACCTTACCTCTGTATATAAAGCTTAGGATAGAAGTCAAAATAAACAAATAAAACACGTAAAGATAGGTACCTCCACAGCAAAAACACACTGAACTATAAAAAATAGTCACTATTCCTACTTTTTACGCCTCACCCATAACATCATCCCAACTACAATTAGGACATCTCCAACTATAGTTGGAAACCGTCCCAACTACAATTGGGTCCATTGCTGCAGTTGGGGTGAATCCAGCATAACAGACTTACTTGCATGTCCCGTACTCCAATCGGGCGTACTGTGCTTAGCCCCATACTCCAGCTTTTTGAACTTCTCAAACGAAGCACACACGTAGGACTCTCCATCGAGCAAATTCTCAATATCCGTGATAGATTTTCCGGATTCCGGATTGTAGATTTTCCTCACTCCATACGGGAGGGACATGTGCTTCGTCAATTCGCTCAGAAGGGTGTCAAACGTCTGGAAACGGTTTGGCGTAATCCGTAATCTCTTGCCCCGGAAGTAACGGTCGCCGTTACGGAAGAAGAGGAGTTGTCGCGGCCGCCGCAAGTCCTGGTATTTCTCCTCGGTGATGTCCTTATGCTGCTGCGAGACGGCGGGAGTGGCATCCGCGTTGCGGCTCGCCACTTGCAGCATGGCGTCTCGGTGTTTGCGGCGAGGACGGGCTGCCGCCGCTGCTGTGTCCGAGTTGTTGAAGGGGTAGGCAAGAAGGGTGTCATTTGCGTCGGCATTCATGCGTCCTGGTGGGCTCTTATGCAGGCGTCCCATTACAAATCATAATATCAACATTTCAAGTTGTCGCATTTCGGTTGTTTCACTAGAAAATAAATAGAGACGAAAAAAGGGTTCTATAATTGTCCAAATGATGTACTATTAATACAAAGCAAATACTTTGGCCATTGTGTAGTGTAGGGCCCTGTTCCCTATAAATAAGGGAACAAAAATCCACTTACTAGCAAAACCTAATCTAATCATGGGTGAAGGAATGGAGGAAGGAATGTTGTAACCTGACGCTACTTCAGCGGTTGTGTACAAAGTCTATGGAGAGTCAAAAAAAAATTCTAAGTATTTCCTTACAAAACTGAAAATATTTCTCAGTCCCAGATTCATGTCTTATCGTCATTTTTGCAATGACTAACCTTCATTGAGATGATATATGAAGAAACAAGCAGCGTCAGGTTGCAAAATTCTTTCCGGAATGGACAACTGTCAAGACATTTGAAACATCACATTGAACTTTGAAGTTTGTGGTTACTTTGATCGCAATAACTTTTTTAAAGATTGCACAGAATGGTGGAGTATTGAAGTAATAACATGCGGGACTTTAGTTTCATGTTTTAAGCTCAAACCTGTATGACAAAGTGATCTAAAATTTACATAACAAGGACAAAAACTTTACATGATTGATAATAATAGGCCTAACACAGTGACAGTAAGACAAAAATGAAAGCAGTGCTCCACGCATTTAGAATTTTGTAACTTATGTAATTTGTAAGTTAAGGAAAATCACTCATTTTCTAATCGATTACTCCAAGCAATGGAACAATGATGACGCTTAAGACTGTCAATCTGTTTGTTTTTTTAATTTTTTTTATTTTTACTTAATAAAACAACGCTGAAGTGAAGCTTTTCCCAATTCGATTTCGACCATTGGCAAAACATCACCTCACCTCGGGGATCACCACTCATCATAACGTAGTTTCAACTGTCCACTAATAAATCGTCATGAAGCATACCCACAACTTAAAAACAACTAGAAATACTGGCAATTACCTCATTTGTACTTCACCTATGGAACTCTATTCCAAGCACAACGTCAAGGAGGTTTAATGCAGAATTTCCGAGCCATTTTGATTACTCAGATTGCAAAACGCGTCACATCGAGACAGCTCCTGCCATTACTTTACACTGTTTGCCTGGTACCCAGTGACTCAGTTATACCATTTGCGCATTATATTATCTTGGAGCCAGACTACTATTCAGCTGTCAATCAATTAGTGACGTCATTAATCCAGGTGGGCGCTTTACTTGTTACCTGGAGACAAGTACAGTGTAGTAAACAATGGTCAGAATACAACGGCACTATCTCCAAAAAGAGATTAGCGAACTCAATGGACCGTCACACTTGGACGGATAACTTTAGAAGTTCTGTCCGTTTTAGCAGGAATTGTGTGCTATTTTTGATTTCTTTTTCATTGAATGATACCGAACTCCACCATGCATTAAATGTCAAATAACCAATGGAATAAAGCTGTAATTCTCCGGGGGATCCCCTTTAAACAAACCTACCAACCAATCCAACAAACAAGCAACCAAATACAAAAAAGAGAAAGAAACAAACAGAAAGCCACACTTGTCATTATTTCTTTTCGTTTTGAGTCGTGGGAAAGTGGAAAGTGATTGTGAACTTGAATGTGATCGATATACATCAGTGATTTTTAGGCGGGAATCGTGGGGAAAACAGTTAAAACTAATTTTTAAAAAATCCAAAAAATGTTTTTTATAACTCTTCATCCGATTTACACAAGTAGATTATGTTCCCTGCAAGTTTACTTCAATTTTTGAAAAGGCAGCGGCGGTATATTTTATAGTCTGACGCGAGTATAAGTGTTGTTCTTGGGTGTTGAATCAGGCAGCAATTTCATAATTGATTTTTAAGAGTGGCTTAAGACATATTTAAGGGTGGGAATTTTTTTCTGTGAGGGCAGTTGAAGTTATAATGATTATTATTTTCTCTGAGGCCTATAGATTTAAGAGTGGTTGCCCAATAAACCCCTTTCTTTCAAACTTACTCAAGTTTGAATTCCAATCTGATCATTTGCATTTTTCATGTCAGCTTTTAGAAATAAAAGCTTTTTATTTTTTTACAATTTCAGGTCCAAAAGTACTAACGTCAAATGCAGTAAAACCAAACCAGTTATCATTTTTACTTTTGTATTGCATGCAAGCTGACTCTCAGATTTGACAATAACCTTTTATTTCTAAAAAAAAAAAAGATAATAAGATTTATTTTCTGTGAATTACTTGCAAGACTCCACTTTCTGTTGATTTTAATCTGTCCCAGCTCAAGCATAATGTTACTACTTATCTTTCTTTTCTAAGATTTCTTTTTCTATCCTTTTTATGTAGCCCCTAATGAGTAGCTCTTCAGGGCTTTGTGATGGGCTACTCTCATTAAAATTTCAACTCAAAATCACCAAAATTCGACTCAAAGTCACCAATGGACAAAAGAATTTTTGTTCTTAATGACAACGTATTTCAAATGATAAACATACCAACAACTGTAGTTTATTATTCAGATTCTGTTTATTTAATTTTTCTACTGCTTTGCAATCAAACAATTAAGTTAAGTAGATGAAAAGTAATATAAAAACTATTACAATATATGTATTGTGTCAGTTTTAGAGATACAGATTTGATTAATATAAAATAAACTCTCTATAAAATGTCTTTACTGTTGTTTTGCACGGATTTTGCTCTTGCACTTTGAGGTGTAACTTCAAAATATAATTGTAAAATAAAATATTAATTTTCTTGCAACCCAGCCTCAACAAAACCCTCCTTTTTTAAAATAAAAAAACCTCTTTAATGCGTACTACAAAATGCATTGGCGATACAAATGATGCCTTGTATACATCCACGTTTATATAACAGCGACAGCTGATGTTCTAAATTCCACAAAAACCAAAATAAAACAAAATGAAGAACCCCTTTCTTTCCAACTTACTCAAGATATGCTTGCTTGAAATCCAATCTGATCATTTGCATTTTTCATGTCGGCCTTTTTTTTTTTTTTACAATTTCAAGTCCAAAAGTACTAACGTCAAATGCAGTAAAACCAAACCAGTTATCACTTTTACTATTTTTATTGCATGCAAGCTGACTCTCAGATTTACAATAACAATTAATTTCAAAAAAAAAAAAAAAAATCACTATTTTGTTAAAAAAAAAAATCCATTAATTATTTAAATCAAAACATTACGTGACGAATGATTAAGTGAGGAATTAAAGATACAGGCTGCATAAAAGTGGCCTGTGTGGAAAAAACAAAACAATACAACATGATTCACTATGTATACTTAAATGTAGTATGATATAGTAAAAACAAGAAAAAAATTAATAAAATATTTATTTATCTATTTCTGTAAATTAGATCTGTCTTTAGCAAGGCAAGGCTCCCTTTCCATTTAAAAAGGTCTAGCGACGCTCATGGTCATCCAGCCAGAAGTCAAATTACAAGCTATTCTCAAATAAACTTTGACAAAAGCATTCCTTTGTCATTATTACTTTTGAAGTGACTTGTTATTTGATTTATCACTGACTTGAATGACAATAATTGTCAATTGCATAACTTCAGCTATAGTAATTACATCGGTCATTATTGCATGAATTCAGCCAGTTTCTCCAAGGCCGTCTTTGTGGCTTGTATGTTTGGGTGGTCCCGCTCCAGGAACAACTCAGATATACGCAGGGCCTCGTCAAACTGGTACTTGGCGCGTTGGTACATGTTGGAGGCCATGAAATACAATCCGAGGTTAAACCTAAAAGTAATCAAAAACGCCAAACAAATTAATCATCGAGAATCTAAATTTTAGTAGTAAACGACAGATATTTTTCTTTTTGGTAACTTAACATGAAAAAAAAATGTGCATTCAATCAATAACTCACTGAAATTCTAACATATTTGTACATTTTTTTAATAAAGGTTTATTATTTGAAAGACGTTTTAATAACAGAATGCTCATTAAGCAAAAAAAAAAAATAGGGGGGCTTTTTTTGCATTGTTCACAAATATATGGCTCTCTTAATCCTGAACAGATACATGAATGCCGCATCAAGACAATCTGAAATTCCAAAACGCTTAGGCATCAAGAGTTGAAAAAAAATTCTAAATATTTTATTTATTTTTAAAGTATTTTCATTACTTTTTTTTTTGTGGAATTTTGGACTGCTTTGAAGCACTCTGTACCAAATTTTTGATGTTCACTTCAACAATGAAATGTTTATACGGGGAAAACAAATAACCAGTTCTTTCAATTTGATCAATTCGATCTCACAAGACCGGATCTAGAAATAATCCTTAATGAAAAAATGTAGTTTTGTCATTAAAGAAGCATTCCCTGTGTTATTTGCGAGTTTCACCTAAAAAAAAAAATAGATTTGTTTTTTTCTATTGTTATTTTCCTAGCAATATCAAAGTTATTCACTATTAAATGAGACAGTTAACGAAAAAAAATCGACCGACATTTAGCGATTGAATTATTTCTTCACAAAATATGAAATTGTTAGCTGCAAGACAATAATTCGGCTCACGCATGGCGGGTTAGTATGCACAAAATGAAAGCACTCTTTAAGAGGGTTGCAGACGCCCAAAATCGGAATAAAGTAGTTTTTCGTTAAAACTATACAAATTGACACTTGTTAGGAGAAAAAAAAAAATCCACTTTTGAAGAGCATGGGGTATGCAAATTTAATGGAAAAAATTCAATAGTTTTGGCCGTTAACATACCTGATTGTAGCTACATCCACATGATCCTTCCCATACGCTCCTACCAGGATCCCCAGTACGGCCTGGAAGACTTCGCCAGACATCTTATCATTCATATCATCCAGGACTAAGCCACAGTTATTCAGGATGGCAGCCACGCGGGGGTGGTTCAGCCCCACGTCACTCTGGGTCAGCTTGAGGTCCCAGAGATGAAGTAACATGGCGTTGTCTAGCTTGCTCTGGCTGTAGTACAGCTGGCCGATCTGAAGGAGTAAAACAGACGGCACGTCAACAACTGCAATATTAGCATTTCGACTAAACATTATTCTAAAAGTATACTTTATAGGACTAACCCATAAGTACCTCTATCATTACAAACTGCCCTGCCTGTAACTCCCTGTACCAACTGAAACTACCCGAAACTGCAAAAGCACTCAATTTGTACCGCAGATGGGTGCTGGGATGGTGCCTTTGATGATACAAGCATGGCGCTTGGCACACAGTCAGAGTATGGCTATTTGGCTATCGCAGATTTGTCCTTGGAAAATATAGGTAGAATAATTAGCAATAGCAGTCATTTGAAAATTTTTGAAACTTGCTAGTTATTGTACCTATATTTTTTCAAAGGACAAATCTGCGATGGCCCTATAGCCAAATATCTTTCTTATGACATACTCTGACTGGGTGCAAAATGCCGTGCTTGTATCATCAAAGGCACAATTCCCCCAAATATCTCCTCTATCGGCCCCACTAAATGGTTTTATGGCTTCTGCAGTGAATATATATAATGTGTTACAATGTGGTACAGGTGGTAAGGGGTTAAGGAATAAAATCCATTGTGATTGACTTGAGAATGGCTTGTGATTGACTTGAGAATGGCTTGTGATTGACTTGTGAATGGCTTGTGATTGCCTAGTGAATGACTTGTGATTGAATTGTAATTGGCCTGTGATTGACTGGTGAATGGCTTGTGATTAACTTGTAACTGGCCCGTGATTGACTTGTGAATGGCTTGTGATTGAGTTGTGAATGGCTTGTGATTGACTTGTGAACGGCTTGTGACTGACTTGTAATTGGCCTGTGATTGACTTGTGAATGGCTTGTGAGGATCTGTGAGTACCTGTCCATTGATGGCAGCGACGTAATGATGCTTAGGTCCCAACACATCGGTAGCCACCTCCTCGGCTCGTCTCAGGAAGCGAATGGCTTCATCTGCTTTCAACTTCAAACTCAGCACAGACCTAAAGGTACACAGAGACTTTGCTTTTCAGTAAAAACAATGATGATTTGCCAACAGCGATGATATGCCTCAAGTAAACTGTAAAAGTTTCAGACTGTAATTTTGCTCATTAATGTGATTTTTTTCGGGGATGATTTGTAGAAGTGTAGTAGTTCAAGAAATGCATATAGCCAAAAATTTCAACGGACAGTTTCTCTATTTTCACCTTTGTGACATCATTAACTTTAAAAACCAATTTGCTGATGAAAATTCATTTACTAAAATTAAATTATCATTGTAAAGGGAAAAATCTATATGTTAACAATTCATTAAAACAAATTTGACAGAAAAAGTCAAAATCATGATTTCCCGGTTTCTCTCACCCCATGCCCAGCAGCCCTTTCACCAGCTGGAGCTTCTGTTCAGGCGTCTTGATCTTATTCCGTCTCTGCAGAGCCTCGTGGAAATGTTTACGTGCTGCATCCAGGTCTCCTAGCTTGATGGAGACGGTTCCTAGTGAGATCAACACCTGAAGAACAGCACAACATAACAGCATGATGAATATGCATGTCCAAATTACTTGGATACGGCTTGAAATTACACACGAGTCTATGCTTAAACAATGCGCAAAGGTTTACCTTAATCGGGCAAAGCGTTTTATAATTATGATCAGTAATATTCCACGCTTCTATCTGTGATTGAGTGCAGTTTCGTACAAGGTAGATGGAAAACCAAAGATTTTTTTGATACCCTGTGCTGAAACATTCAAACGCTTTACTAGTTTTTAAAATGTCTACAAGTAGGCTACAAACTCATAAAGGCTGAGCACACACAAACAATTCTGCTGCCTTGATATTTGAAGAAAAACAAAATGTATGTGGGGGGATGAATACTGCCCCGCCCCTTTTAGGGTTCATATTTGCAAATACTTCTTATTATTACCTCCAGAACATCAGGATGAATGCACTTGGTCTTGTACTCGTACTTGGCGTGATGATAAACAATGGTAGCATGGCTACCAATGTATCGGGTCTCTAACTCTGACAACAGTCTCTCATTCAGATGTCTGGATTCAATATGGAAGATGGGAAAATTTGGTCATCTGGAACTGAGGTATCAGACTAAAATGTTTTCAAAGTTAAAAGGTTATAAGGTAAAAAAAAAAAAACACCCAGAGGGTTCTGCCTTTTGAAGGCAAAATCATAAGACATTTCACAACTGTTATAATCAAACTGCCAAACACTTTGACACAAAAAGGTACTTTATTTTATGTTCAAGGTATTAATATGAGGCTATTATAAGAGTAAGTTTGCAGTTGTACCATGAGTTGTAATGAATTATCTTTTGCTAGTTTGATAAGAACCAGTGGAAACCCAACATTCCTGACAGTATGCTCTGCCCATCGCCAGGAGACTCACAACAGAGATTTCATGTCACGTGATGCAACTACAGACTTACTCTTTTTGATGCAAACTGTGAAAAAAAAATGTAATATATTTTTGATTGTGAATTAAAAAAAAACTTCTTTCACCAGTTATGTGGAAGGGAAACACGATGGTTTAAGATACTATTCATAAGATGGAATTTGCATCAGAGTGATGTCAACTCAGTATTGGCATTTGTCCGTCAACAACGTATTTGTACAAACACTATTCTCAGTGTTGTCCTAAGTGATTGTGAGGAAAAAAGTCAAAAACTACTTGGATGGGACTCGAACCCACGACCTCCTGCTTACTAGTGCAGACGTCTTACCACTCGACCACCGAGCTTGCTTGGTAGTTTGCGATTTTTCTCACAAGCGCTTGGGACAACACAAAGCATACAGTGTCAATATAAAGTCGGTAAAGGGAAATACCCAATATTGGGGTTAAGATGCAAACCTTGCTCCTTTGAGTAACCCCAGCTGCATGAAGAAACCAGCCATTGCGCGGATCAGACTGTCTCTTTCTCTTGATTTCTCCCATTCCTCTGACCGAGCCAGGATGCCCAGGTACAACTCCTCTACCTCCTCATAACCTCCAAGCTGTGGACATAAAAGAGAATGACAAAATTTTTTTTTCTAATGCAAGTATTTATTAACAAGGAAATGGAGCCAAGAGCACATCTGAAAATTTTAAGAGAGAATGTTGTTTAAGACAAGCAGATGACAATTTTGAAAACAGGTCATACAAATCACTATTTGCATAATGGAATTTTTGCACAGAATATATCAGTTATATTTCTATAACCCCATTTTTTTTCTCCTGCACAGAGTGAGTAAAAAAAAAAGGAAACCCAAATGTCGGGACCATTGTTTTAGTGAAGTTCTGCATGTAGCACTTTCACAATCTAGGATATGAAAGCCCAATTCATAAGCTTTCTTTTCGTACAAGAATCATTCAAATTACTCATGTACTTTTCAAGTTACGGAGTTTTAAACACAACCACCGTTTCAAGGATTTGTCCACAGATCACAAAAAGTTCAGTGTTCTTTCAGCAAAACGAAAAAAAATCACATAAGGATGTGTGTGAATTGTTGTGTTTAAAACTCCGTAACTTGAAAAGTACATGAGTGATTTGAATGATTCTTGTACTCACCCTGTACAGAGAGAAAGAAATTGAGGTAAAGTTCCTGCTGAGGGACACACACTTCACTTACCAGTTGCCAGGACTTGATGAGCTCAAACTTGCCTTCCTCCGTGCTCATGAGACGCTCAAAGACAGCCACGTTAAGGATGGTAGCTCTAAGACGTTTGAACTCCTTGGCCTGTGACAGGCAGTAGGGCACCTCTTCAACCTGAGGTGGATAATTCATGGACAGCTTTGCTGAACAAAAAAAGGCTTCAACTTATCAAAGCAATGAGATTAAGCCTTGTTGAAAAGTGGGCACAATACAGTACAGTTCAACAAAAAAGGAAGATTAATGAATGGGAGGTTTGCAGTACCATGTGAATGATATCGCATTGTGGGTTGTGTGGTTCTGAGAAGAACCAAGTGGTTTAACTCCACGTTTGGAACATTATTTTTGACGCCATTCTATGATTGGCCATGTTGCATTCTGCACTAATAACCCCGATCAAACCCTTAAGTCTCATTTAAAAAAAGGAAGATGTTTAGTTACAGTTGAACCCATCAGGCCTGCAGGTGTCGCCCTTAAACTGCCCTGCCTGTTTCTCCCTGAACCGCCCAAAACCACACAAGCACTCTATGGTTTTATGGATCCTTCAGGAATTAAATACAATGTGACACAATTCCACAGAAATTGTTCGTAATAGCGATTGTTCAGTATATCGATTTTTAGGTGCCGGTGCTTCGGCACTCACTTTTCAATAGTGCTCACAACATCACCCGGCACGCCGGCCCCGGTAGTTACAGAAAGACGATTTTGAACATGAGCCTACTATTGAATCATGTAATTATGCATTTTTTTTTTAGTTTACTACATACAATAATGGGTGACTTTCCCCTTCTATTCCTTGGGGAAATAATAGCCACTTGTCACTCTTCTGTTGACATTTTTAACAACAATGTTTGGTAAGTTCTGTACAATAAAAATCGGGAACCAAGGATGATGTTCAGTATAAGCCGAATGTTAAGTATGGGCTCCATGCGCCGAAAGAAGAGGGCGCCCTTTTACCTAGCAACGACGTCCCATGGGCGGGGCATTTCGCTGGTTGACGCGCACCGTTCCTTGTGTACGTGTGTGAGGCACGTACACCAGGGAATTTGTACTATATACACGCAGTGGCTGCGCTTTGCGGTAAATAAATTGCAGTCAGGCAAGATGGCGTCGGTCGGTCACCCCCAACTGTACTTGCTTTGCCAGTGAGGGGGTACTTGTGAACGGAGCGGATAGCGGTGTTCAGGGTATAGCGACGTTCCACTGTACTAATGAGTTAAGAATCTACTGCATTTAATAGCCTTAGTCCACATAATTAACACGCTTTTACTTTGAAATATTACGTGGGAAAAATTCATGCTTAAATGCTTTAACTGATGATAAGAAATCAGTGAACAAATCAGTCAGGTTTAATCCACAGACAAACACAGGAAATACACAGACAAATCAAAAAATGAAACTATAACATAAATATATTGCACTACTGACACTGCACTGTATCAAGCGTTTCATCTAACAACCCATCATCCGTCTTTTGCGTGGGTAAATTAAACAGAATTTGGAGACGGGCACTTTGGAAAACAAACGATTAAAAATTATGGGTAGACTTGACTAAAAAACAACATCAACGACAACACAGAATAAAAAGAAGAAATAACTCAATGTTTCTTACACCATTCTATGATTGGCCATGCGCATTCTGCACTATATTGCAGCAAGGGTACCTGTGTACCATGCACACAGTGAGCACACACCCTCCCCTCCGCCCCCCTCCGCCCCCCCCCCCCCCCTCCGCCCCCCTCCTTGTGTGAATTTTCCTAACCAAGGCAGGACAGGCACATTTGTAAATCCCAGATAAAATACTGAATGTATGAACGATTGTGACATACATATCTCTCATCGATATCCTGAGTGTTGAACCAGTTGGCCAGTGTGAGGAACGCTTCTTGTTTCAGCTCAGGGGTGGACAGGTACTTGCGTTCCACGGCCTGACGGAGATGATCGTGGAAGAAGTTGAGGATGCCGTTGCGGTTGACGAGATTCTCCTCCAGGGATAGATAGAAGGGGGACCAAACTTTGCCCGGTACCTTGCATAAAAATGAGGATATGAGAGGAATATTTGCTTATTATTCATTCACTTATCATATATCAAAAAAAGTAACCCATATCATTAAAAAGAAACTAAAAGTTTCAATCTTAAGAGAATGCTGACATTAACTACATATCAAGTTACAATAAGAACCTCTAATGTAAATGGAGTTTAAAGGAAGAGATTAATTAACTGATAACAGTGGCGCACCCAGGATTTGGCTGGAGGGGGGGGGGGGGGCTCACAATTCTTGCTTCAATTCTTGTTTCAAGTGTGAATTTTCAAAAATGTTGGGCTATTTAGGGGGGGGTGAACGAATTATTTTGACGTGAAAAACTGACTTTTTTGATGATGCCGGCTATGGAAAATGTTAAAGTTTTTGGGGAATTTGGAAAAAAATCTAAACTTTTTCTTTTCTCACTGGATACTGAATGTAATGAGTTGAACTCTTCAGGGAATACAATTCTGGCCTCTAGGCACCTCGTGTGAACTTTTGAGCAAATTTGATGAACCTGTATTTTTGGGTCAAAAACTGACTTTTTTTATGATGCCGGCTATGGAAAACGTTGTAGTTTTTGGGGCATTTTGTCAAAAATCCTAATTTTTTCTTTTCTCACTGGATACTGAATGTAATGAGTTGAACTCTTCAGGGAATACAATTCTGGCCTCTAGGCACCTCGTTTGAACTTTTGAGGAAATTTGGTGAAGTTGCATCTTTGGGTCGAAAACTGACTTTTTCGATGATGCCGGCTATGGAAAACGTTGAAGTTTTGGGGGTATTTTGTAAAAAATCTAAAATGTTTCTTTTCTCACTGGATACTGAATGTAATGAGTTAAACTCTTCCGGGAATCAATTCTGGCCTCTAGGCACCTCGTATGAACTTTTGAGCAAATTTGGTGAAGTTGTATTTTTGGGTCAAAAACTGACTTTTTCGATGATGCCGGCTATGGAAAACGTTGAAGTTTTGGGGGCATTTTGTAAAAAATCTAAAATTTTTCTTTTCACACTGGATAATGAATGTAATGAGATGAACTCTTCAGGGAATACAATTCTGGCCTCTAGGCACCCCGTGTGAACTTTTGAGCAAATTTGATCAACTTGTATTTTTGGGTCAAAAACTGACTTTTTCGATGATGCCGGCTATGGAAAACGTTGAAGTTTTGGGGGAATTTGGAAAAAATCTAAAACTTTTCTATTCTCACTGATACTGAATGTAATGAGTTGAACTCTTCAGGGAATACAATTCTGGCCTATAGGCACCTCGTATGAACTTTTGAGGAAATTTGGTGAAGTTGTATTTTTGGTTCAAAAACTGACTTTTTTTATGATGCCGGCTACGGAAAAAGTTGAAGTTTTGAGGGAATTTGGAAAAAATATATAACTTTTCTATTCTCACTGGATACTGAATGTAATGAATTGAACTCTTCAGGGAATTCAATTCTGGCCTCTAGGCACCTCGTATGAACTTTTGAGGAAATTTGGTGAAGTTGTATTTTTGGTTCAAAAACTGACTTTTTTGATGATGCCGGCTATGGAAAACGTTGAAGTTTTGGGAGAATTTGGAAAAATCTAAAAATTTTCTTTTCTCACTGGATAATGAATGTAGTGAGTTGAACTCTTCAGGGAATACAATTCTGGCCTCTAGGCACCCCGTGTGAACTTTTGAGCAAATTTGATCAACTTGTATTTTTGGGTCAAAAACTGACTTTTTTGATGATGCCGGCTATGGAAAACGTTGAAGTTTTGGGGGAATTTGGAAAAAATCTAAAACTTTTCTATTCTCACTAATACTGAATGTAATGAGTTGAACTCTTCAGGGAATACAATTCTGGCCTATAGGCACCTCGTATGAACTTTTGAGGAAATTTGGTGAAGTTGTATTTTTGGTTCAAAAACTGACTTTTTTATGATGCCGGCTACGGAAAAAGTTGAAGTTTTGAGGGAATTTGGAAAAAATATATAACTTTTCTATTCTCACTGGATACTGAATGTAATAAATTGAACTCTTCAGGGAATTCAATTCTGGCCTCTAGGCACCTCGTATGAACTTTTGAGGACATTTGGTGAAGTTGTATTTTTGGTTCAAAAACTGACTTTTTTGATGATGCCGGCTATGGAAAACGTTGAAGTTTTGGGGGAATTTGGAAAAATCTAAAAATTTTCTTTTCTCACTGGATACTGAATGTAGTGAGTTGAACTCTTCAGGGAATACAATTCTGGCCTCTAGGCACCCCGTGTGAACTTTTGAGCAAATTTGATCAACTTGTATTTTTGGGTCAAAAACTGACTTTTTCGATGATGCCGGCTATGGAAAACGTTGAAGTTTTGGGGGAATTTGGAAAAAATCTAAAACTTTTCTATTCTCACTGATACTGAATGTAATGAGTTGAACTCTTCAGGGAATACAATTCTGGCCTCTAGGCACCTCGTATGAACTTTTGAGCAAATTTGGTGAAGTTGTATTTTTGGTTCAAAAACTGACTTTTTTGATGATGCCGGCTATGGAAAACGTTGAAGTTTTGTGGGAATTTGGAAAAATCTAAAAAAAATTCTTTTCTCACTGGTTACTGAATGTAATGAGTTGAACTCTTCACGGAATACAATTCTGGCCTCTAGGCACCTCGTATGAACTTTTGAGCAAATTTGATCAACTTGTATTTTTGGGTCAAAAACTGACTTTTTCGATGATGCCGGCTATGGAAAACGTTGAAGTTTTGGGGCATTTTGTAAATAATTTAAAATTTTTCTTTTCTCACCTGGATACTGAATGTATTGAGTTGAACTCTTCCGGGAATTCAATTCTGGCCTCTAGGCACCTCGTATGAACTTTTGAGGAAATTTGGTGAAGTTGTATTTTTGGGTCAAAAAACTGACTTTTTTGATGATGCCGGCTATGGAAAACGTTGAAGTTTTGGGGGAATTTGGAAAAAATCTAAAATGTCTCTATTCGCACTGGATACTGAATGTAATGAGTTGAACTCTTCAGGGAATACAATTCTGGCCTCTAGGCACCTCGTATGAACTTTTGAGCAAATTTGGTTAAGTTGTATTTTTGGGTCAAAAACTGACTTTTTTGATGATGCCGGCTATGGAAAACGTTGAAGTTTTGGGGGAATTTGGAAAAAATCTAAAATGTCTCTATTCGCACTGGATACTGAATGTAATGAGTTGAACTCTTCAGGGAATACAATTCTGGCCTCTAGGCACCTCGTATGAACTTTTGAGCAAATTTGGTGAAGTTGTGTTTTTGGGTCAAAAACTGACTTTTTTGATGATGCCGGCTATGGAAAACGTTGAAGTTTTGGGGGAATTTGGAAAAATCTAAAAAAAAAAATTTCTTTATGGATACTGAATGTAATGAGTTGAACTCTTCAGAGAATTCAATTTTGGCCTCTAGGCACCTCGTATGAACTTTTGAGCAAATTTGATCAACTTGTATTTTTGGGTCAAAAACTGACTTTTTCGATGATGCCGGCTATGGAAAACGTTGAAGTTTTGGGGGTATTTTGTAAAAATTTAAAATTTTCTTTCCTCACTGGATACTGAATGTAATGAGTTGAACTCTTCCGAGAATTTAATTCTGGCATCTAGGCACCTCGTATGAAATTTTGAGGACATTTGGTGAATTTGTCTTTTTGCGTCAAAAAACTGACTTTTTTGATGATGCCGGCTATGGAAAACGTTGAAGTTTTGGGGGAATTTGGAAAAAATCTAAAATTTCTCTTTTCTCATTGGATACTGAATGTAATGAGATGAACTCTTCAGGGAATACAATTCTGGCCTCTAGGCACCTCGTATGAACTTTTGAGCAAATTTGGTGAAGTTGTGTTTTTGGGTCAAAAACTGACTTTTTTGATGATGCCGGCTATGGAAAACGTTGAAGTTTTGGGGGAATTTGGAAAAAATCTTTAAAAAAATTTCTTTATGGATACTGAATGTAATGAGTTGAACTCTTCAGGGAATACAATTCTGGCCTCTAGGCACCTCGTATGAACTTTTGAGCATATTTGAACAACTTGTATTTTGGGGTCAAAAACTGACTTTTTTGATGATGTCGGCTATGGAAAACGTTGAAGTTTTGGGAGAATTTGGAAAAATCTAAAATGTTTCTTTTCTCACTGGATACTGAATGTAATGAGTTGAACTTTTCCGAGAATTCAATTCTGGCCTCTAGGCACCTCGTATGAAATTTTGAGGACGTTTGGTGAATTTGTCTTTTTGCGTCAAAAACTGACTTTTTTGATGATGCCGGCTATGGAAAACGTTGAAGTTTTGGGGGAGTTTGGAAAAATCTAAAATTTCTCTTTTCTCACTGGATACTGAATGTAATGAGTTGAACTCTTCAGGTAATACAATTCTGGCCTCTAGGCACCTCGTATGAAATTTTGAGGACATTTGGTGAAGTTGTATTTTTGGGTCAAAAACTGACTTTTTCGATGATGCCGGCTATGGAAAACGTTGAAGTTTTGGGTGCATTTCGTAAAAGTTCGAAAATGTTTCTTTCCTCACTGGATACTGAAAGTAATGAGTTGAGCTCTTCAGGGAATTCAATTCTGGCCTCTAGGCACCTCGTGTGAACTTTTGAGTAAATTTGATCAACTTGTATTTTTGGGTCAAAAACTGACTTTTTTGATGATGCCGGCTATGGAAAACGGTCAAGTTTTGGGGCATTTTGTAAAAAATCTAAAAAATTTTTTTTTACTGGATACTGAATGTAATGAGTTGAACTCTTCAGGGAATTCAATTCTGGCCTCTAGGCACCTCGTATGAACTTTTGAGCAAATTTGATCAATTTGTATTTTTGGGTCAAAAACTGACTTTTTCGATGATGCCGGCTATGGAAAACGTTGAAGTTTTGGGTGTATTTCGTAAAAGTTCGAAAATGTTTCTTTTCTCACTGGATACTGAATGTAATGAGTTGAGCTCTTCAGGGAATTCAATTCTGGCCTCTAGGCACCTCGTGTGAACTTTTGAGCAAATTTCATCAACTTGTATTTTTGGGTCATAAACTTACTTTTTTGATGATGCCGTC